CTGTCCATACGTTTAGCTCACACACACATACATACACTCACAGATACTGGGAGCGCATGTTAGGAAAGCACACAAAGCTTTTTGGATTTTATTTTTTGCTTATAATAATATTTTTGGTTAATAATAAAAAAATGTTGTACTAAAAATAGTAGTCTATTACCCATAAGGACTGGGAACAGGCCTACAAACAAACAAAAAAGATTGGAAAGCCAATTAAAAGTGGCTCAAGTGGACCACATTTTATTCAAATTCAAACCAATTGTGGTCATAGGGTTGGCGATCTTATAATGTTAACTACTATTATATAGCAATCATGTTTGACAATATATATACCGTATATATATATATATATATTGTATTTGTGTATAATTAGGATATTGCATACAAATTACAATCAATGTGCTCTATATCTCAAATCAAACAATTGGCTATAAAATAGTAGTGAAGACACATTAATAGTCCTATTATGTAATTTTGAAATGTTAATAATAATATTGTCATTTATATTAATATGAAATACAATGATAATTACTAAATATATACCAATACATATGTAAAGTTATATATATATAAGTATTTGCACAAAAGCATCACTGAAAAAGTCATATGAAACGCCTTATCCATACATGAGTTCACTCAATAATTAAGTATTAGTACTATTTTTTAACGTTAAATTTTAATATCGGAGTCATAGTATTTAATGCAAATATTAATGATTAATTGAAGTCATATTAAAAATTATATTGATAAAAATGTACAACATTTATCAAGCAAACATGTATAATAAGTTAACGTGATATCACTGTTAATAATACAGTAAATACATGAGCTTCAAAAAGTACATGAAATTTATTTAATTTGATTTTTATTTATATTTTTCATTATTTTGAGAAATCATATAATTATTAGTGTATTTAATAAAGTTATTTATAATTATTTATAAATTTTTTCTTCTATAGATATGGTGTCCTGGGAAATAGATTTTTTTAATTTTTGATATTTAGTTCCGTAATATGCAAATTGTTTTGAAAAACATTAGCATATTTAATTAAGTTTAAATTTAACATAATTTTAGTTTAAGTATTAGCTTGATGTTACTTATTATGATATATAATTTCTAAATGTTTTTTGTACATAAATTATTTAGTATAGAAATGTATTATTATTATTAATTTAAGATTTAAATATTTGTTAACAATATAAGAATTAAATTTAACAAAAATAGCTAAATATAATGTATGTATAACTTATTTTTAAAATACATAAATCATTTATCAATGCATACAAAACAAAATTATAGTCACGACATGTTTAAAAATGTTTATAAAATTTACTAAAATTATAAAAATCTAATATTACACAAATTTAATATCTTAAAATTAGGTTTTTAATCTAATGTTATTATTAACAAAGCATCTGTTAAATTTAAATAATTTTAAATCTTTATTATTGAATTGTAAAATTATATACTATTATTAGAATATTATTATAGTAATGAAAAAAGCAAAATTATTGTAAAAAGGTATATAAATTAACTTACAAATATTGATGTCAAAGTTAATAATAAATTATTTTATTTTAAAGCAATAGAAAAAAGATATTTACATTTGATTGATAATTTCAGGCTTAATAAATGTTAATTCATACATTAATCTATGATAATAAGTACTGTATATTTTTTTTGTGTATAAAATACACACAATTGTCGGTCATTTGTTTATATAATTTATATTTTTTTAGGTGCAGTCATTAAAATGGCATTTATTTTCTCATTAATGAACAAAATGTCATTTACATTATTAGAAACAGCTTATATTGCAAATTATCATATATATGGATATATAACAATGATATTTATATTATAGTAATATTTTATTATAAGTACTTAATAGTTGGAATAGTTTGCGACAATACCTGAACACCAATGCATTCATTAGTAAAATAATATTACAATTATTTAAGAATTTTATTACACAGTATTTCTATTACAGAATAAAACTAATAAAAAACCCATAAAATCATAATAATAATAATGTAAAAGAATTTTTACAAAATATCGTTGACTCTCATTATTAATCAGCAAAATCTAATAATTAGAAATATTTATATTATAGATAATGTTAATAATTTTTTAAAATGTAATCTATGATTTAATATGTAGATACTGTATATTTAGGTTTTTATATAATGTGTAGTTATACAAGAAATAAACATTTTTATAAAAATTAAATGGTAATAATTTGTTTATTAATTACAGTATAGTTTTTATATATTGTATATATCGGTAGTATATAATAAACAATATATAATTTATCATATTTTATTGATTAAAATAATTTAATAACTATTGTGGCTAAAGTAATAATCATAATAAATATTATTTGATTAAATGATTTGTAAGCAAATATTATTTGTTACAATAAATATATAATTTTAATATATTAATACATACAAAAAACAAACATTATATGTAATACAATACTGTTATTATACTGAACTATATGTTGAATAATAATGTTTTTTTTTGTATAATAAATTGTAAGTGAATGACAAAAATGTTTTTAGTGTTTATTAATTTTTATTTTTTCATTCATTTGACAAACTGATTATTATAATATAATAAATAATCAAAACAAAAATTATTATTTACTTAATACCTTATGAAATTTAGTATTGCATTACTATGTAATGTATTTTTTCATTCAATGTTATGTAATGATAAAATAATAAAACTGCATTAAATGCTAACGTGATTTGTAAATCAAATATAATAAAATATATTAAATGTCGTGTTTATATTTTTAAAAATATAGTAGAAAATAGAAAAATATGTTTATAAATATAGAAAAAATAGTGAAAAATAAATAGAAAGTGTTATACAAATCAATGAACACTGAAAATAATGTTTTTATTCGCTTATATTATATTATAAATATATTTTGTTGTTATGTTAAACACAATCACAGCTTTCGGTAATTTTATTATTGGATTAATAGTAGTATTTTCACTGTATATTTAGCTATAGACTCTATAGTGTGTTGGCTATACTTTATACTGTATATACATACATACATACATACACACACATTATGCGGGTGAGTGGGTGAGTATATGATTGAGTTTAGTGGGTAAATAAGTGTGTGAATACATCAACATCATCATTACCATCAAAGACATTGAGGTTATGCCTTCAACTTTGTTATTGATTATAGAAAAAACAAGACTTTTTCCCCATAAGACTATCTAAAAGATGTAATTTTAGGTACAATCGATTGGATGTATAAACAAATTGATCGGACCTTTCATTTATACAAACGGCTTATGTTTTTTTTGTTTGTAAAGTGTGTGTGTATACAGTATTTTATAGTAATAATAATAATATTGTATTATAAAATAAATAATCTTATATTTAATATATGTAATATATTCATTATATATATATATTATTTTTATTTAATTATATTATTTAATTATAATTCAAGATTTAGTGTAAAGATTATTTATTTTTACCTTTTTAAATAAATTAATAAATATATTATATATAATAATAATAAAACATAAATTACTTACTTTTATGTAAACTAATTAATAAAAATTATTTTTATACTTTTATTGAAATTTTAAAAATACTGTAAATTTACTAAAAATTTCTAGTAATAATGTTTGTTAATAGAAATGTTTTCTTTTTAATAATTATAATACTATACAGTAAAACTTTGATAATAACAATTTTATATTTGTATAAAATGGACATTTTTAATATATATATATAATTATAAAATATAAAATAAAGTTATTAAACAAATAGTTGTTAATAATTTGTTTTATAATTTATTTTTATTTTAATAATAAATAAATTAGTTTTTTATATTTTAAATCACGCATTTTTCACTATAATTCAAAAAATTTTGATAACTTGTCAGTTTAGTATATACAGTACTATACAAAATAATCTTTGAATTTTATACACTCTATTGTAACAAAAAAATATTGTAATTTATTTTGTATTAGATTTATAAATGAATTAATTTTATAACTACTTATTTTATAAACATTTTTATAATAGTAATTATTATTATTTATGTTTTAAAATCTGATTTATGTTAGAACTTTTAATTTTTAGTTACTATTTTAATATTTATTAATTTTTGGATACTTTACCCTTAATTTTAATAAAAAGTACTGTATATATAGTATAGTACTTCAACAAAAATATTCACCAACACTGTATGTAAAACATTTTTAATAAAATATTTTCAAAATTATAGAAATACATAATTATAGAAATACTTGAAATATAAAATTATTATATTAAATAAAAATTATTATCGAAGTAAACAAACAATAGAAAAAAGATTGAAACAATATTTTTTTGCAAATATATTAAAATTTATAACAAATGTAAAGTTAATTTAGTTCATCGGACTCTTTAAATAAGTTCATTAAAACTTTTGGTAATAATAATAATATTATGATTACTACTAATATATATTGTAATCATAATGTAAACATATGCCAAATGGAAATATTACGTGACAGTAGACACTAGTGATACTAATTATGGCACTCGTTATATAATCTGCAGAATATAAATATGTATATAATTTTTTATGTAACAAACAATACATTGAAAAACGTGACAATCATTTTATTGGGTAAAACAAACCACATATCCATAAACCAGTGATTTTTATGTTATTAGACGACTTCCACAAAAAACATTTATATATATTACATAATATATACAGTATATACTATATACCGTATATATATATAAATCACTAAACATTCAAATATCATTAAATATATATTTTTATAATAAATATCAATAATGTTTTAAGATATATATATAAATTATAATATAAAAAATATTGTACTACTCATCTGGGATTATATGATAACATTACTAATTATTTTGTAGTGACTTTATTTAAATTATACATTATTTACTATGTCATACTAATAAATTGATTAATAGTTACATATATTTTTTTATTCTAATTATTATTTTTTGAGACTAATATTTTTGAACAGTTTGTACTTATATTATGACATTTTATTTGTCACTAATTCTATACTAAAAATATACACAAATTAATTATCAATTGTTTAACTTACTCATAATATAATTTAATATTGAGTTATGTTATCTTTTTTTATTTAGTAGTACTGAGTAATACAATATAGTAAAATTGAATATTAAATTGTTTAAATTTTATAAATAATTTATTTTTTAAATATTTTATATTTACAATTACAATTAAAAAAATGTTATATGACATGGTAATAAAATGCTATAATTTTCTACAAATATGCTTAAAGATATATAAATTATTATTTTTTATGAAATAAAATTATAATTCATAATTAAGTCTAACAAATAAGTATACAAAGCAGTAATATAATAAATTTTAATTTATTTTGTATTGTATATCAATTTTTATATGTTGTATATTAAAACATTACAATGAATTAGCAAATCAATCATAAAATTTGTCATAACTTATAAAATTATAAAATCTTAACCTATATTTTATACTATAAAATAATATTTAAAAAAATATATTGTTTTATTTAACATAAACTTATTGTGACTTTTATTTTAATTTATCTACTTTTACTATTTAATTGCTGTGAAAGATCATTTAAAATTGTAAAATCTTTTTTTTTTAAATTAAAATTCTAACTTTTTTTGTCTTTTATATTAAAAATCCTTTTGATGATCAGTCATTAACTATTTCAATAAACAACTCTCAATGTTAACAAAAGATAAATTATTGATTTGAGTTTAATAAAATTAAAAAAGTTTGAATATATTTCAAGATTATAAAACTTACAATTAATTACTACATAGCGTTTTATGATTTGACCTTTATCATTTTTAATTAAAATATTATGTCATTGATGAATCAATAGCTAATCAATCGGTAGACATTATTATATAAAAAAATTTAGTTAATATAATATATTATTAACATATTTAGACTTTTAGTTTTTAGATTAGATTTTTATAAATTATATTTCAATTACAATAAATAAAGATAATGTTGATATGATATGTAATTTATATGTTATATGTAATCTTATGTTATATAACACAAATACCATAATTATTGATTATGGTATTTAATAATTTGTACAAATTGATTGACATTTAACAAAATAAAGTATTTTATAATACTTTCAATTGTTGTTTTTAAGTGGTTTTTAATACTTAAACTTTTATATCCATTTATGAATATCTGAACTTAATATACAAATTTTATTAAACATAACATTTAGTTGTAATTTTGATTGAAAAGTTTAAAGCAAACATAAAATAAATCTTTTATTTTAGTTTTTCTTGTTTTTTTTTTAAATACCATAAACTTTATATTTATATGTGTTTTGCATAAAACCTTTTTTGTGGATTAATTGACTTAAATCATGCAATGTAAACAGTTAAAGTTAATAAATTATAAAAGAAAAATTATGTAAAAACTAATATTTATTAAAATATAACTCATTATAAAAAATATTTTATCAGTAAAAGTGTTTGTTTTGTATAAAAATTAAGGAAATTAGCAAATTTTGATGTTTTTAATTTAAATTATGATAATATTATTTATATTATTAAATTATATTTTTTATTTTTAATATCAACTTTCAAATTAATAAATGTTTTTATGTGATTTAGTTACTATTACTACTTGAAAAAATATAATTAATAGTTTATTTTTAAATAAACTAATGATAAATCGATTTTATTACCATATTTTTTCTTTACTGATTATTACCTAGATTATATTACTAATTAGTAATGGATTACTATTTTAAGTTTCAATTATATTTAAAAACAAAATACTAATTATTATCACTTTATAAATAGTTGGCAATCAATAGATTTTTTTTTTAATTTTTACTGTAAAGCAATGAATGAATACAATTATACAATAATAACAATAATAATAATAATAAAAACTTGCGAAACGTGTCTCCCTTTTTATATAACATTGAGTATAACTATAATATTTTGTGTGTCTTTTCCCTATTTATTTTTTGAAGGACTTTATTATTATTATTATTTTTAAAAATTCTTGATTCATTATTATATGCAATTTTTACGCTAATTTATATTGTATCTCAACGTTAATAGTGATAAAAGTAAAAATATTGTTTTGTTTTTATCACAAAAGCTATTTTTATGTGTCAAAGGGATAGTTATTTAGTATACAAATGGTAACTCAGAATTAACTGACAAGAAACCTGCAATATATCCTATTATTAGTATTGTTAACTAATTTTAAATTAATTATTTTTTATCACTAAATATATATATACTGTATATATAATTAATAAAGTTAAATTATATGTAATATTATTATTATAAATACTTATTGTGTTTACAAAATTTATTGGTAAAATAATGAAATTATAAAATAAGATAATACTATATTATTTGTCGACAATTTCGGTCAAATGTTTTATGTATATAATTTCATGTGAACTTTGAAGTGATATATTTTTTTGTTTGGTTTATAATTTTACTTTCACTTTTTTTTATTTTTGTTTTGTTATTTGTTTTCTTAATTATTAAATTCAATGATATTTAATTTATTTTTAAAAATGTGTGTTTAGGTACTAATTGAGAGCAAATTTTGTTGGCAAACGCTAAACAGGTTACGGGACTTAAGTTTTTTTTATTAGTTATCTTTTATTTTGTTATTGTTTTTGATTATAATGCTGTTGTTGTTGTAGTTGTTGTTGAATATATCTGATCACATGGTATATGGCTTTCGGTTTCAAATCAATATAAAAAATAACTTGATTTTAACAGTTAATTCACAATTAATTTCATTTAAATGTGTTTATAATTCTAAGTGTTTATACTGTGATTATATTGTCAGTGATTATGCATTAGTTTATTAATGTAATTATTTTATATTAAAAGTTTATTTGACATTTTGTAATATTAATGATTATATTTAATATTATATGATTTCAGTGTTTTTTGTGATTTACAAACAATAATATCAAATGAAATCCTATTACAAGCTCAAGAAACTGTTTATTTGTAAAATAGACATCATATCAATGTTTTGCGATTTAAGGATATATTTAATACAAAATGACAATATATTAAAAGATTTATTTAAAGCTATTGAATCCAAAAATTATAATGATATCAAACGTCTCATTCAGGTTTGAAAAAGTTTTTTAAGTTATTTATAAATATTTTAACTTTTAGTAAAACAAAAATAATTTTTATCTTATTACATTGCTATATAATATTTGCATTATTAACAATTATGGATTAATATATATATATATAATTATATTGTTTTATAATTTACTATATTTCTATCAATTGACTATCAATATTTTTAAAAACTTTTTTTATTAAAGATAATTTTTTATTATTTATAAACTCTGTTTATTAAAAGGAAAATTATGTATAAATAATTAATTTATATTTTTATTACAAATATATTTTTAAGATATTATTTTTTGCATAAAATATGTTTATTATACAAAATTTTGAAGGATTTATTAATTTAAATATTAATTATTTTAATTTTATAAAAATTTTGCATAAACTATTAATTTCTTAATTTTATTTTGTTTATTTTAGCTTATGAAACTTTGCTAAAAAATAACATTTATACTTTTATATAATGTAGTATTAAATTCATGCAAAATTATTTATTATATATAATATTAATTTATAAAAATCATGTATTATAATTTTAACCTAAATATTTAATATGATATAAATTTTATATAAACACTTGCAATTAATTTGTAATAATAATAAAAAATAACAAAATTTTAGTTTTTTATAAAATATAATATACTAATTATAATTTAATAATATAGTAAACGTTTGATAAATTAGTTTAACAAAATTTAGCACAACATAAAATCATACATTAAGGATAACCATTTAGGAAATGTAATATTAATAGACATAATCAACATTTATAGATTAATAATAATCAATTTAAATTATAATTAATCAACATAAAACACACACATATTTTATATTTGCACAAACAGGTATGGCCTGAATCTATGGCATATAAGTCATCATTAGTTATAAGCCACTGTATCGATGGTCAGGCCTACGATGTTATCAATTATCTGTTAGTCAATAGTCTCATTGATATCAATGAAGTTATTAATCAATACGGATGGACTGCCATTCATAAGGCTGTCTACACGAAAGATATTGATTTAATAGTTTTGCTTATTAAATATGGTCAGTTGTTTTTTTTGTTATTTATGATTATATAATTATAATTTATTTGTATTTTTGCAAATATGATTCATATTTATACTATATATATATATTAGAGGTGAACATCAATGTAGTTGATATCAATGGCAACACACCATTGCATATATTATTTCAGCCGACATCACCTCATTTGATAACAATTAACAATAAGCCATATCCTGATTTTGGTGTCAATAATCACTGTTTAATTGTTATATTAAAACTATTGCTTTATTACTGTAAGGTAAGCAATTATTTTACAACTATTAATAGTATATATTGGATATATCTTATAATAATACACTGATTTTTTAATACTAAAGTCTCAAAATATCAATATATTGAATAAACAAAACAAATTTGGCAAAACAGCACTTCATTACGCTGTGGTAAACATCGGGTTTACCGCACCGGTTATGTTAGTATTGATTGACCTACTGTTGGACAGTGGGTGTGATCCCAATGCTAGAGACCGATTGAATCGGACGCCACTGTTCTGTGTTTTCAATGAGTTTAATGTTTGCGAGAAAATCAAACGACAAATAATATTAAAACTGCTTGAATCGGGTGCCGATCCGCTCAATCTCTATCAATTCAAGTCATTTATCGGCACTTTTACTTTGAAACAACTGAGCCGACAGTGTTTGCTGCGAAATAATTGTGTTAAAACACTGCAACAAATTTATAACAATTTACCACAAGAATTGATTTCCTATTTAAGTGTTACACAATTACACAAACCATGTATTAAACTAAAAGCTTAAAAAACATTTTATTTTTGATTTGTTATTTGAATACAATAAATGTGTTTTTAAAAAATGGTTTGACATCAAAGTTGATGACAATTATTAAGAGATATCAAGATTCCGGTAAATATTTTGTAAAATTATAGATTATTCTTTGATTTTGGACAACAGTTTCAAGAATCGGTTTTAACTTTTGATTATATGGATTACCGATCATTGTTTCCGACATTATCCTCTGTCGACACCCGTCATCGCAACTGTTGGCTGCAAACGTACTGTACCGGTGACTGTGCGAGTGATACATTTGCAAGTAGTTGTTGTCAGTGGCAACGGTACGGATCAGATCATCAAACTCTTGGGCATTGAATGCCGACAATGAGTACGACTTAGCCATTGAATACTCGTAATACCAGTTTGGTGTCGACCGGTTGTCTTCATTGGCGTCAATCAAATCAAACGCATACGTCTCCATATCTGTGATCTGACCTATCATTTAATGACATAATAAAGTAAAACAATAACTTATTTATTTTGTAATTATGATAAAAAAATAGTAATTAATCATTATTATAAAGTAATTAATCATTATTATAACAAGTATTCAATGTTTTATAACATTTATTATAACAATAAATTACTTATTTTTTAGGTAAACTAAGTCAATAAAATTTTAAAAACAATTGTTTGATAAATGTTTAGAAAATATATAAAACAATATATACACTTATATTAATAAGTTAAACAAAAACTGTTAACATAATTAATTTACAAGAAATTTAAAAATTAAAATTAAATATTATTATAAATTGAAATAAAAGTTACTGACCATTGCTTTTGCAGCTGATGATCCTATAGGCCGGATTAGACTCGGCATAAGTGGTCAAACTCGGACTGATTATCTCTAATCCAATTGGTTTTGAATAATTATTAACTGAATATAGTATCCGAAACTCATCGTAATGTGTGTGACCAAAAAATTGGCCGACAATTGTATCGCTAAATCTCTCGACTATTGCCATATAGTTGTAAAGCCAGGACTGAGTGCACTCACGATTGTCGGTCGGTATATGTCCGACAATATGAACCGATTCGTCAGCTTTTTCAGCCAATTCCAACTCATATATCAACCATTTTAGTTGATCTGCCGGATCTATCGATCGATAATATGTCCATATGTTAAGTCGGGCGCAATAATTAGTGTTGACAACTATTATCTTAAATCCCGGTCTTAGTTTTAATGAATAATATCCGGCGCTGTCCAGTATATTATTAATATAAAAAAATTAAAATTTTATTATTAATATATATATGATTTATAAAATCACTAACTATTGAAACGTTTGCAGAGATTCCTTTGGCAACCATTGAGACCAATGATTAACCAGATTGTCATAAAGCCATGAAATCGACAAATTATTTTGTAGAGTTGGCGGAGGAAAACTATAATAACCAAGAGTTAGAAATAATCATTTCTAGTATGACATTCCCCTAATACCTGCCTACAGGAATGGTTACATGATTTCCGATGGCCGGCACAACCAATTTGTTTTTGCTGAACGCCTTGAAGTAACCGACAATGATTTCGGTTGTTTTCAGTGATATTTGTTTAGAGTCGCGCCACGTGTCGTGTGGTGTTACGTCTCCCGTCCAATAGGTCCAGTCAATGGATGACCAATCAATATGTCTGAATGTATTGTCTAGTGTTTGCAGGGGTGTATCGCATGGATATGAACCCCAATAGTTTACACTTGCGTTGGGCACAGAAACACCATTATATGTGGATTTCCGACAGCAATAGGGTGTTCCGCAATGGCTTCCCTTGAATGGTATATACTCTAAATCCAGGTGTATATCAGTTAAATGCAATATTTTGTAATTTTTTTTATTTTTGACGACACGTTTTCTTGAAGTTGTATCATAATCTGATTGACGATTTTGTGGTATATCTAGTTTCCAATACAAGTTATTGGATGTACCGCTATAACACTGATCACCCATTAGTAGACCACATATTTCAGTTGTATCCAAATTGGTGTTACCTCTTATATAATCTACTTGACTCTAACATAAATTTTCAGATTTTTTATACATTTTTTCATTACTAATTATTTTTATTAAAAATTCAAACACACCTTAAATAAACTGATATATCCCTCACAGACTTCATATGTGGTCAATCTTAGTCCAGAACAGATGTTAATGAAAGCCACTGATAATAAATCGGCGGAAAGCCATCTGTTAAATATGATGTCCACCAATGCATTGCATGCCAGGCATGTCAGAGTACTGGACAGACCCTCTTTTACTGAATAAAATAACTATAAATAAATTAATGATTAGTTATTTATCCAAATAAAATATAATTGTAAAATAAGTCTACTTATCATTAGTATAACTCTAATATACATATATGTACTAACTATAGAAAAAAATAAATAAAACTAACTGTCGTTGGGTCGACAATATTCAAAATTTTGGTCACACTTTTAGTAACAAAATTACAAATAGTTTCGTCAACTATTAATAGTTTATTATCAGTATTATTATTATTATTATTATTATTATTATTATTATTATTATTATTATTATTATTATTATTATTATTATTATTAGTGTTCAAATAATTAATGCCAAATTTTTTAGTCAATTGATGTTCAAAATGTTTGAAATCAGCAAAAATTTCTTGAAACTTGTTAATAGCCTTTAACTCGGTTTCATTTTTATTACTTTCATTTTGAAATTTTTGAAATAAATTTTTCATTACAACTTCCGCATCGAGTTTACCATTATTTAGACATTTTATTAAATAAAAATAATGAATTAAAACTACTATAAATATTGCTAATTTTGAATATTTCATTAGAAAATTTTGTGAAAATTATAAATTTTTTAAAATTATAAATTTTTTAAAAATTTAAATGACAAAAATATTATACTTTAATAATAAAATGTTTGTGATAAAATATATCCAGGTCATTTATATAAATAAAAAAATTATATATGTCTAATGTTTATGGAGCAAAATGTGCTATAGTGTCACGATTGTTACAATTAATATGATTAAAATATTTATATTAATATACAGTATTTATTTTAGAATTTATATATATATACAAGTTTTTGTTTTTTTAAGTAAATTTTTAGTTGTTTTTGTGTTAAATTGATATTAAAATTAATTACATAAAGTTTTCAATGCTAGAAATGACATAATATTTTCATATTATTACAAAAGCAATATCTCATCATTTTTTCTTAACAAAAACAAAAATCAATTACAAAATTAACATAATATAACTACTTAATTGTACACAAAAAAACTATTATACAATATTTTGTAATTAATGTTAACATATGATTTATTATACAGTATGTCTACTAAGTAATTATAGCTGTATTATATTAATACTTGTATATATCGGGACATATTAATATACATATAATACTACTAATAATCCCTGAAACTTCAAAACCAATGTTTTAAATTGTACAGTAGTATAATGTCTAATATAATAAATAACAGTTTAAAGGATTTCAATAAACAAACAAAATAAATAAATATAAATATAACCTAAATTTGTTTAATAAAATAATTCATGTAACATTTTTATTGTAAAAAATGACAACAATAAATATATTTCATCTATGTCATTAATTCATATTATGTATTTTTATTATTTATTAAAATTCATATTCAACCTTGATGATTATGCTATAATTTTGTTATATTGTTTTTTTAAGTCATTAGTTTTATAAACTTGAACCCCTGGTTGTCCTTCAATTATGTTAATCATCAATATTTGGGTGTCTCATTCACTCACCCTCTCTCTCACTTAAATGTGTAAAATTATATTTAATTAATTTTATTTTAAACCAGTTAAGAATGCTAGAAAGCATTTTCAGAAAAAAAACTTGAATAGCATTGAAAACCATTAGTTTGTATAATTATAGCGGCTATAAAGTAACATAAAAATTTAAAAATTGGTTAAATATACATAATATAAATATTATCATGTATGGTATCAAATGATTCAGTATGACAAAATATTCTCAATTTTAGTCATGCAAGTTATCAAATGACTCAATATTATAAAATAAACACAACTTTAGTCATGTAGAGTATCAATTGACTCGGTATCACAAAATAAACTTAACTATAGTCATGTGGGGCATCAAATTACTCGGTATGACAAAATAAACAACTACTCATGTGTGTTATCAAATGATTTAGTATAACAAAATAATCATCTATAATTATACTTTTGCCGCTTATACTTATTCTTTGTTCCCGTAATATCAAAATTTTAATGCATATTTTTTATTCTTGTTTTTGATGCTTTATTCAAATCTATAATTAAAAAAATTTCTAAAATTTTCTTATACTTTTGCCGCCATTTTAAAAAAAATTATGTTGATATATTATATCATATTTTTGATGCTCTTTACAATTCTAAACGTTAAAATTTTTACCTAATTTTTTTTACTTTGGCCGCCATTTTCTTTATGTTCCCGAAGAGATATCAAAATTTTAATGCATATTTTTATGCTTGTTTTTGATGCTTTATTCAAATCTATACTTAACAAAAATTTTCTTAAAATTTTCTTTACTTTGGCCGCCATTTTCTCTATGTTACCGAAGAGATATCGAAATTTTGATGCAACTTTTCAATACATTATTATTAGTCCTCTAAGCGAATCTGAAGTCAGAATTTCAAAATTCGCAAAATGAAATGCTACAGACAGACAGACACAAAAAGCCATTATAGATTTCAGTAAACAAAACTTTTCAAGTTTTTTTTGAAAATATATTTGAAAACCTTTTAGTCGATCATTAAATTAGTCCTTGAAATGATTGAACAAAAAGCATAATTTATTGTTTAAAACTTTATAATTAATTAAATAATCTATAAATCAATAGACTCATGTGATTTTTATAAATATAATAAAATAATATTTAAAGTTAATTATAGTAATGAACATAATTGTCCATAATTATTTTTATATTATTATTTTTAGATTATTATTTTTATAAGACATTGATAAAAAATTATTTATAAATTAGATTAAATTGTTAAATTAAACAATTATATTAATATTTTATAATAAAAGGTAAATATAAGAAATGTTTGATTCATAATTATGCAATTATTTCATATAGATTAATACATAATTAACTATAAAAATGATAATTTTATTCTTTATTTAAATAATTTTTATAATAATTGTTGAAATAATAGTTATATATAATATAATTTATATAATATATATAAATAAATAAATAATTCAAAATTATCCGACACTTGTAATTGGTTTTGGATAATTTGTGAAAGCATTACATGTCATAATATCGGATATTATTTTAGTTTTACAATCAGTATTGCAATACTGGTTTTCATTGATTGAAAATCGGGTATATCTTGAGTAAAATAGTTGCAGATAATAGTTGTCTCGTTTTATATTTTCAATGTGTCGATCAAAGTCACGATTTGTAAATCTCATTGAGTAGTCATTTGCCATCGAGTACTCAAATGGCCAGTCGGGTGTCCGATCGGGTTCACTATTGGCACGTCTCAGATCCATAGCATAAGTATCAATGTCTTGTATAACACCTGCAATATTTTGTAACCAATTTAATATATATATTTAAAATACAATAGATATTAATATATTCATTAAATACCGTTTTCATAACACTTTATTATACGATAAGCCGGATTAAGATTTAATAAAGCATCAAATGATGTAACACTTGGACTCAATATAGCAAATCCAATAACTTTATTGCAGTCATTGTTTGAATAGTAGATCCGAAACTCATCGTAATGTGTGTGACCAAAGAATTGACCGACAATTGTATCGCTAAATCTCTCGACAATTGCCATATAGTTGTAAAGCCAGGACTGAGTGCACTCACGATTGTCGGGAGGAATGTGTCCCACAATGTGGACTAATTGACCGGCAGTTTCGGCTAATTCAAGCTCATTATACAACCAATTTAGTTGATTATCAGGATCTATGGGATCATAGTATGTCCATATGTTTAGTCGGGAACAATAATTAGTGTTTAAAACAATTATCTTAAATCCGGGTTTAATGATCATTGTATAGTAACCACCACTTAAATGTATATAAAATTTATAATAAATAAAATACTTAATAAAAAATATTTAAATAGTATAAGTAAATAAATATAATCTAATAATATATTTACGAAAACGTTGATTACATGAGAAATGTTGACAACGCTTCAGTTGGCAACCATTGAGACCATTGTTTTGTCATTTCTTCGTAGAGATAAGTGGTCGACAATTTTCCAGTTATTTTTTTAGGGGAAAAACTATTTCATTCAATAAAAATATAACAATTATTTAATATATGAAAAACGTTTTTATTTTTAGTATATAAGCCATACGTCCCGACGGGAACCGATATATGATTTCCAAAGACACTGATAACTGTTTTATTTGTAAACATTTTCAAATAATCAATGATTATTTGTGAGTTTCTTATTGTCCCATCTCTGGTGTCTTCCCATGTGTTGTGTGGCGTCACATCTCCCGTCCAATAGATCCAATCGATTGACTGCCAGTCTATACTAGCAAACAGATTATCCATTAACTTTTTGGGTCCATCACAATGGTATGATCCCCAGAGACCGGCATATTTGTCATTAACTTGACTTTGGTTTTCAACTTTATTATTATTATTATGTCGACAACAATAGGGTGCACCACAATTTGGATCAGTTAGTGGCACATAATCAGTATCGAGATGTATATCTGTTAGATGTAATATTCTGTATACAGTTTTACTATTATTAGTATTTTTAGTATTCTTTGTATTTTTATTTAAAATCGCAATCTTTTTCTTGTCCACAGAATTTGTAGATTTTTTATTGTTTTTAATGAAATCCAATTTCCAGTACACATTGTTTGACGCTTCTCCAGCTAAACACTGATTGCCCAATAATATGGCACATATTTCTGAGGCTGTTAGTCGAGTTTTATGCCGAACCTCATCTAATGGTGCCTATAAAGTAATTAATTTTTAAATATCATTATTGTATATAACTTCTAATGTAGTATTATTTATATGTTTGACTTATTATTATTAGTTACCTTAAAAAGATTAAGATAACCCTCACAAACATATTTAGCGTAAATCAAAGTGCATATCTGTGTGATAATGTTTGCAATAATTGTTATGGGTATCCATTTGCTAAATATAACACCGATTAATGTCGTACAGGCCTTACAGCTAACCGATGTGGACACACCTTTTTGAGCGCCATTTAATATCTTTTTAAAATTTAGTAATAAATAATTCAATATTTAATAAAAAGTTTTTTTAAATCATTAAAAAAAATTACTGTTTGAATGTCAACCAAATCCAAGACTTTGAAAATATGATGTGAAATCATTTTCGTGAGTTTTTCGTGACCTACTTTGGGATCTAATTTATTGTCATTATTGACAAATAATTTAAACAATTTATTCAAATCAGTTAATTTATCATTTAATTTAAATAATGATTCAATTGATTTTATTTCATTTTTATTAATAACAACGATTTCAAACTTTTCAATAAAATTATTTGAAAAGTTTTTATATTGTAGACTATTAACACTTAAATAATTAACAGCAAACATATAAACAACTATTTTCCACATATTGTTATTATTAATCTTTTTTAATAAAAAAAATAATAATTTCCAATAATAACAAAAATATTATTATTATAATGGTTATAAATAATTCATAAAAATTATTATAGAAATCTACAGTATTCAATTAGTTATCTATAAATCTAATATAATAATTATTAATAAATTAAAATTAAACTCAAATATCTGTAAATTAGAAATAAATCCTAATAATTATATGAAATTATAAATACAGGAAATAGATTTTTAAAAACAAAAGAGTTTTAATTATCCAAAACTTAGAGGTTTAGGATCCGATTCAAAAGCATTAGTGGCTATAATATTGCCGATCAGTTTGTTTTTACAATCATTATTGCAAAACTGATTGGCATTTACTGGGAATCGGGTATATCTGGCGTAATATAATTGTAAATATTTGTCGTTACGTTTAATTTTATAAACGAGTCGATCAAAATCATTGTTTGTAAAACCCATTGAGTAGTCTTTAGCCATCGAGTATTCAAATGGCCAGTCGGGTGTCCGCTTAGGTTCACTATTGGCTCGTCCCAGATCTGTAGAGTAAGTTTCCATGTCTTGTATAACACCTGTAAACAAAACAACAACAAAAAATTAAACTATTGAAAGAAAACTTATTCAACTTTTTTTTATAATTAAATACCGTTTTGATTACACTTTATTATACGATAAGCCGGATTAAGCTTCATTTTTTGATCATAAGGTGCAACACTGGGAGATATAACTGCAAATCCAATAACTTTCTTACTATCATTGTTTGAATAATATGTCCGAAACTCATCGACATGTGTGTGGCCATAGAATTGACCGACAATTGTGTCGCTAAATCTCTCAACAATTGCCATATAATTATAAAGCCATCCCTGAGTGCACTCCTCATTATCTGGTGGTATATGTCCAACAATATGGACTTTTTCACCGGCATTTTCGGCCAATTCTAACTCATTCATTAACCATTTGAGTTGATTACCCAAATCTATTGGTTCATAGTATGTCCATAAGTTAAATCGGGAGCAATAATTGGTGTTCACAACTATTATCTTAAATCCGGGTCTAATAGTTAATGAATAGTAACCACCGCTATAAATATAAGTCGTGTAAACATTAAAAATACCGGTAATTAGTTTTAAAAAATCAAAAATATAAATTTGTTATCTATTAAATAGCTTTAAGTAAATAAATTTATTATTATTATTAATTGTAAATTATATCTTTAAAACACTGCTTACTTAAGAAATGTTGGCAAAGCCTTAGTTGGCAACCATTGTGACCATTCTTTGGCAGTTTCTTCGTAGAGATATCTTGTGGATAACTTTCCAGTTATATCTTGCGGTGAAAAACTATTATATATATATATAAATCATTTATAAGTTATATTGTATTTTATGAATTGATTAATAATTATTATAAAACTGTTCATACGTTCCGACGGGTAGTGATATATGATTACCAAAAGCGCCGATAACTGTCTTATTGGTAAACTTTTTCAGATAGTCTGTAATGATTCGCGAGTTTCCAATCGTTTCGTTTTTATTATCGGCCCAAATGTCATGTGGTGTCACATCTCCCGTCCAATAGATCCAATCAAATGACTGCCAATCAATACTCTTAAACAGATTGTCCATCAAATTCAATGGCGGATCGCAATAGTATGATCCCCAATGACCAGCAATTTCTTTCAAGTCTACGCTTTCATTACCGACTCTATTACTAATATTATATTTTCGACAACAATAGGGTGTACCACAATCGGGAGTCAATGGCACATAATAAGTGTCGAGATGTATATCTGTTATATGCAATATCCTGTATAATGTCTTCTTCTTAGACCTATTGTCAGTAATTTTTAATTTCTTGCGTTTTTCAGTGACATTCAATTTCCAGTAAACATTGTCCGACAGTTCTCCACCCAAACATTGGTCGCCCAATACTATGGCACAGATTTCCTTCGGTGATACTCGAGATTTATGTCTGATTTCATCAATAGGTTCCTATAAAATAGTTTCATTAATTATACTGTTTATTCATTATATATCATTACTAATGTTTAATCACTTTGATTAAGTTGATTATCCCATTGCATACAACAGTGTTGTACTTTGATGAACATATTTTGATCATTAAATTTGCCATAAAATCAATTGGTATCCATAAAGACTTTACGATCCCTACAAATGTATTGCAAGCCATACACGACAGCGGCGCGGGTCTAGCTTTTCGCGGAACAGTTAATAGCTAAATAAATTTACAATAAAATCATTACAAATATATACAAAATTAATACATATTTAATACCGAATGAACGTCGACTACATCTGAAACTTTGATGACATGATCTTGAAATTCATCAATCATTTTGTGATTCAATTGTTTGCCATTTTCATCATCAGATTTGATTGTTATCTCTAATTCACTCAATTTATAATTTAATTTATTCAATGAGTTAAAAATGTTTTCTTCAAATTCGTTTAAATTATTAAAATAATTTTCATTTTGATTACAATAAACTTTTAGTGTAATTATAAATAAATAGACAATAATTTTCAACATTTTGATAATATTAAATATTTTTTAAATGACAAGATATACATTACATTATAATTTATAACATATCTAAAAAAACATTCTTTATATATATATATTTTAAATTCATTTTCAAAAAAAAAATTGAAGTTTTGATCAAAAAAAACTTGAAGTTTTGTTTTCTGAAATCTATACTTTTTGAGTCTGTCTGTGTCTGTGTCTGTGTCTGTGTCTGTGTCTGTGTCTGTGTCTGTGTCTGTGTCTGTGTCTGTGTCTGTGTCTGTCTGTAGCATTTATTTGCAAAATTTGAAATTCTGACTTCAGATTCGGTTAGAGAACTTCTAATAATGTATTAAAAAGTTACATCAAAAATGATCCAGCTCATCCTAACCATGATCAAAATGGACTAAAATTTTCATAAAATCATCTTTTTATTGTTTTAGATACAAATATAAAATCTTTCTTATAATAAATATACTAATATAGAGTAAAAAATATAATAACAACTTTGTATCTTATTGTAAATATCCGATAAACCTACTTTCTAATAAACCAAAAAATTGAAAAATGTTTATCGCAGCCAAAAAGATTTATAAATTTACATTAGCTCAGGATATAGTATATGACAAATTATGGTAATTTTAATATTTTTTAAAAATGAAATTTTTAACTCTTGGTATCTAATGAATGTCCTGACCAAAATCTAACGTGAAAAATCATATTACTAGTCAATTAATAATGATGTTTAACCAACTTGATTCTGAGCTGAAATTGACCAGATTTTGTAACCCGATTTTTAAAAATCGTAAACCGTATTTAGTAAACAAATCAATATTTTTTAGTCACTTATAAGATAGAAGAGTTGATAATGTATAAAATAATACTAGGTAACATTTTACTTAAACTGATGATAGCTTACTTTTAATGTGCGAAACATAACTATCTAAATATCGATATTTTCAGTTTTATTTATCATAACTGTACAAAAATTTCACTATTGATCGAAATGTTTTTAAACAACTATTATTGAATTAATTATTTTTTTAAATATCATAGATTTGGTGACAAATGATTTTCAGTCATTTTGAGTCTAATTTTTATGTTACGATTTAGACGTTATTACTACAAACTAATGGTTATCAAAATATTTATGTTATTCATGTTTTTATCTGTAAATGCTTTGTAGCATTCTCAACTGTTTTATTTTAAAAATTATAAAATCATTATCACTTTACATAATTTAAGTTATGTTTATAATAAAAACAATTGAAATGCATATTTCTTATTTTTTCGTCTTATTCATTAAAAAAAAACAATTATTATACATTATATTTGCTAAATATATTTAATTTTAAATTTATTTTCTCAATTTAAAATATAAGTAATATATTTCGAAATTCAATTACAGTATACCGTTATTTTACAATACTAATTACTAATAGTCAACAATTATTTTATAATATATTAATATATTATTAAATAAAATATTAAAAAATTATGGCATAATTAAGATGACAAAAATTTATTATCATTTAATTTTCAATTTGTATATTCTATTAATTAAAATTTTCTATAAAATAATTATAACATATATTGATTATAATATAATAACATGACTATTAAAAAAAATAATTGCTTAACTAAATTTAATACAATAATTCGATGATTATATTTATATATGTAAAACCTATCTAATGTTTGCAAAATTAAAAAATAAAGTTAAATACAATATTAACAATAAACACAATAAACCATAAATTAGATATATAGTATTTTGAAAATAAATACAGATATTTTGTAATATATTATATTAACAACAAATATATTATTATAATTTAATTTATAATTATTACTACTATATATCTAAAAAGGCATTTTGTAAAAATTAAGTGCTTTTAATTTTAATAATAATTTGTTTGATTTTATAACTTATATATATATATATATATATATATATATATATATATATAATACAAGATCTATGTGTTTAATATACTTAATTTATTATTCAATTCCCAATATCTTTCGCGTGTTGTCCTCAGTATGTCTTCACAGAGATCATTGAGGTTTGTATACCTGCACCGATCAAATGAAAAGAAGTCTCTGATCACCGACTGAAGCGACTCTTTAACTAAAAAGCATTTAAATTTCAAGTCTTGATCAGAGCCGAGAAAACCCCAGGCAAGGACTGGTGAGACGTGATCTAAAATCGAGTAGAAGTGGGCGAAAAAGCCGTCAGGAATGGCTAGTTTTGACCTCTTTCGGCGCATGACAGCCGAAACAGCTGTCTGGAGAGCCAACTCTCGAAAACCGGCCGAAAGCCATCGGTTGTTGGCTACAGACGAGACGGCGGACGGCGGGTTCTCCAAGTCGTCGAATGAGTCGAGTATTATATAATCTAAGACCACGTCGTAAAAGGACAGACAGGGTATGGACCGTAAAGCTATCTCTTTTTGGATATCTTTGTGACCGGACGTATCGGACACGTAATCGATGAATGAATAGTACGCTGATATACAATCTGTCGGATCCTGTGGTCAACAAACAAACAAAATAATTAAATTTGTATTAATCGTCAAGTTTTTAATATTCATACACAAAACACATTTAAACAAATAATAATAAACTGAAATAACCAATCAATCAAACAATCAAATGATTAGTACATAATTAACATAAAAATAGCAGAAACTAAAAAAAGTTTTCACCACAAAAATGTTAAATATATGTGATTTTTATTTACATAAAGAGTTACCCGAAGTGAATGATTGAGAAGTATTTCCAATATTTCTTTGCCCATGTCTTTCAAGAAGTTCCGATTGTCGGCCGATTCGCTCAAAATTTGGTCAAATGCTCGCCGAAGACAATCGACTTTGGCTTTGAATTCGTTGTAGTCGTTACAACACATTTGTACGCTGCGGTCAACACGTGGACTGACTATTGAGTCCAAGTCGGCCAAAGACATCTGATAGAGGACAAAGAAGTGCAGATTTTCCTCACATTCCCAATAACCCAATGTTGTTGTCGTGGCGTTTGAGATGATTGACGAGCTCTCCATAAAGTCTTCCGAGTCCTACAAACAATCAATTGAGTCATAAATTTTCACCGATTAAACAATAGTTGTCATACAATAAGACACGACATTAAACTTACACCAAACTTATAGTACGGACTGTTCATCACATCATCAAATGTGTTTCGCGACAGACTATTCCTAAACGAGTGTGTCCTCTGTCGTTGACTACCGCCGCCGCTTTGAGCCACTATATCACCGCAGCCGCCAAACGTGACCGCGTCTATCGTTTTGTTGTTTTTGGTCGGACTCGAAGTGCCGTTAACTTTAAGTACCGACGACAGCGTTGAAATCATACACCCGTCAGTCTGTGTTTCGGCACATCTGGTCATTACCGACGACTGTGACACCCGTTTTGATTGAAAATATCGGTAACTGTTGGCAAACAAATCGGGGAAAACAACAAAAAGTTTGAATATTAAAGTCACCGATAAAAGCATTAATAATAATATTTGTGTCAATACTAACCTCTTGTAGATTACAACCACCGAAACTGTTACCGAAGTGCCGATAATCAGGGCTTTGGTCGCATTGATCGACGGCTTCATTGACAGTGTTTTTAACATTTTATTAATTGATAATTATTTATAATAATAATTATAATTAGAAATTAACTATAATTATAATAAAAGCAATAATTTTTTTATTTTTATTATTTATCACTTATAAGACAATCATTTTATTATTATTTAATTTGTTTGACTATAAAACTCAACAAACAATTTACTGAAACAAAAATCAATTTATAAAACATTATAATTCATTAAAAATCAATAAAACTTTTTTATTAATGATATGTTTGGCTAATATTGATAATTAAATTTGACTTAAAAAATGTTGAATCCATTGAAAGCATGACTACTATTAATCATTCATTCAAAACACATATCAATTTGAATATCATATATGAAAACAACATTAGATTTTAAATGATATTAAATGAAACAGTTATGTGATATTAAAACATGAGTTAATATTATCTATTATTTTGAAGACAATGTTTTGTTATGATATTATTAATATTAATATTAATACTTAAGTTTGTTATTGTTTTGTGTAATATTGAGTGCAATGAGTTTTGTACCGAAAAAACCAAACATAACATTGTTTATAGCGGTTTGTATCCTATTATAACATTTTTCAACACAAATTGGCGCCACTTTTGCACATTTCTAACACATGTATTGTACTGTAAATTAAATAATTTAAATAAAAAACTTACTTTTATTGAAAACACTGATTATTAATACAGTATATTACACTATAGTATTGTACTAAATAGTCAATTGGTGTTCAATATCGATATTATAGACCAATTTACTAGTTTAGTGCTAATAAATGTTTTCAATTACAGTAAGTTTTTACTTAAATTAAATTATTAAATATTTTTGAAAACAATTATAAAGTACCCAATAAAACACGTAAAATAATTATGATATTTGAATGAGTTATGAATTATGATAATATTATAATTATTGTAATTTTTCTTTTATCATAATTAAGAAATAATTAATACAAAATAAAATTTTAGGAATAAATTATAAAATTAATAATTTTTAAAAATTTAATTTAAATTTCTATTTAAAATCATAAATACCATTATTAAATTAAGACTTATTAAAAAATTATCTGTAAATTTAAATTTTACTTAACATTTAAATACAAAAGTCGTGTAATCATTATTATTACAGTATATATAATAATTTTTTTTAAAAATCTTTATAATCACTAATTATTAATAATATATATATATATTAATTAATTAAATGAATATTTTTTCAATCCTATTAGTTTTAATATTATATACAAAAATAACAAAATAATCAAACAAAAAATATTAATAAATAATACATAGAGTAGATAAAGATTAGAGTATCTAAATTTAATTATAATAAGTATAATTACATTGAAAATTTAACATTAGATATATTGTTTTTTAATTTACATTTAATTCATTTTTATATATTAATTATTAATCTTTGTTATGTTTAATTTTAAACAATATTATGATAGTATATTATTTATGAAACATATTTTTTATTTATTTACTAAATTTATATTATCTAATTAATCGTTTTTATATACTTATACAATAGACTACTAAATATAAAGTATATATTACACATGTATTTGTATATAATTAGTTTAATCATATTAAATAAAATAATGACTTATGAATAAACAGTAAACATATTATAATTCAATTTTGCAATTATTTAAAATGATTTCCATTAATATATTTATATAGGAATATACAATAAATGATTATTTAGTAAAAATATAAACTGGTGTTCAATTTTATTACATCCAGTTTTAACTCATATAGTCTATTCATTCACATTACAAACAACACACAATATTTATTAAAATGTTTTTAACTAATTATATTATTTGTTACTATGATTTTATTAAAAATTCATATTATTATACTATTGATAATATTAGACATTTAATGGACAAAAATGTCTCAATCAATATATCTAAATATATGGCTAACATTAAGCAGTTGGACATTATAACAATCCTATTGTTGGCCATTATATTAACCGTATTAAGAAAATTATTGTCGGAAAATATTTTTAAAAAGTTCTCTCAGTTTATGGCATTGAATCCACGGGACAGTCAAACATTTGTTGAGTGTATGTGGCGTTTACTATACTATAGCCTATCGTTTAGTTTATTATTCACACATGTATTCATTGAAATGTCCGGTCATTTCTTTGACAACAATACAAACCTATTTGAAGACTATATGAACCAAAGTAGCACCGGTAGTATACACTCACTAACCTCTATTGAATGGTCAATTTATATGCTTGAATTGGGTTATTATATGCACGCATTGTATGCACTGTTGATATTGGATGAAAACCTAAAAGATTTCAATGCAATGCTTACACATCATCTGATGGCTATAACCATAATGACTGTGGCCTATGCCATACAGATCGGAACAATTGGATCAGTTATCTTAATGTTTCACGACGGCACCGATATCCTGATGGAAACATCCAAATGTCTCAATTGTTTTCGACGTTTGTCCGGCACATGGGGTCAAGTGACCGGTTTATTGACTGTCGTAATGTTTTTGCTATTTTTTATTTCATGGATAGTGTTTCGTCTCTATCTATTTCCGATAACAATACTCAATGAAGTGACAAAATCAGGTCCACATCCGGCAATATTCTTACTATTTCTCTTACATTGGTTACTGTTATCACTTAACATCTATTGGTTTATATTTATTGTCAAAATTTTATTAAACATTTCTGATCCTAAAGATGTCCGACAGCACATCGATTCAATAGTCATCAAAAACAAGAAACAAATATAATAACAAAATTCAACTAAAATAATGTTTAACCACTTGTTAATAATAATAATAATAATAAATTAATTTATTAAATTAATTACTACTGTACAATATATAGATACTTATTATTAATACCTGTATATGAAAAAATATTTTTAAAATTATGTTCACTTATATTCTAATTTTATTTAATAATTATTTTATTTAAGATAAGATTTTTTATTTACAATTATTATTATTACATATTAATATTTTTCTATATATAAAATACTGTTACATCTAAATCCTATATTATTATTTTTTTATTACATTATAGCAAAAATTCAACAAATAATTTAGTTAAAAAACAATTAAAGAGTTTATAAAAATATTATAATTAATTAAAAATTAATAAAACTTTTTTTTAATATGTTTGGATAATATAATAATTAAATTTGAATTCATGTACTCGTGTTTGGCATAGAATTCATTCATTCAAAACACATATCGATTAGAATCTTATTAAATGAAACATTCATATGATATCCAAATATGGATTAAAAGTTTTTGAATCTTCTATTATTTTGAAGACAATGTTTTGTTATAATATTATTTATATTAATATTTTTGTTAAATGTTTTTTTTAATGTTCAGTGCAATGAGTTTGTTCGCTAAAACAAACAATGATTATAAAAAAAATTTAGTAATAGAGAGAGAAAGAGAGAGAGAGAGAGAGAGAGAGAGAGAGAGAGAGAGAAAGAAAGAGAGAGAGAAAGAGAGAGAGAGAGAGAGAGAGAGCTATAAATATAGAGCTAATTATTATCATTACTCTACTGTATTATAAATTATAATAACATTTTTCAACACAATTTGTCGCCACATTTATACACTTTATTTCAAATTAAATAACTGTATAATAATTATTGTAATATATATTCGTATTATTAGTAATTTTGAGAAATAATTTGTAATGAATTATTAATTTTTATGTCGAGTGTACACTCAAACAAACCTTAGTAAAATTTAATTATTTTTGGTAAAAGTAAAATTTTAAATTTTTTATGAAAACACATTTGTAAAATATTTGCAAAAACGAAAAACAGTTTTGAAAATTTTCATTATTTATTGTAATTCAAGCGTAATTCTCTACCATATATTTTAAATTGTTAAGTAATATTTTCAATATTGTAAAGCTAACGTTCAAATTTTACATAATTTATAATTTGAGTAAAATATTCAAAATAAATTTGAAACTATAAGTAAAATATAATTGTATTTATTAAAATATATATAAAACTCAAATATAATAAAATACAGTATATAATTAACAGTTCATAATAAATACAGATAATACATGATATTAATACTCTAGTTTTATAAACAAAATCCAATAAATATAATATATGACATTAATACATAAAATACTGTATATAATATACAGTACATAATAAATACAGACAATACATATTAATAAACTACATAAAAAATACAATCATAAAAATATTATACATTACATATATAACATTAAATAAGTACAATTATAAAAATTTATTTAAAACTAACTTTATATATATATATATATTTGATATTAAATGAATATAAAAATATCAATTATTTTCATAATGTTTACATTACCATTAACAATTATAATTAATAATTTACAGCAAATTGTCAATAAATACTGTATAATAAACTGTATATTAATACTATTAATAGTTTGGTCACTATTTTCATTAAGTTTAATTATTAATTAATCATTAATTATATATCAATATATAACACAGTTAATCACATTAATAACATAACAGTTATAGCAATAATATTAAAAATAACATTAATATGTATACAGCTGGCTGTCCATTACTATAATGGCCTAAAAGAACTTTAATTAAAAGAAATTAATAATATATAATTAATTAGATGATTATAATTTTTTATTTAATTTATTAGTTTAATAAAAGATAAATTAGATAAAGATTAAGTTTTAAATTTAATTATGACCGGTATCTACATATAACTACATTCAAGATTTAACATAACATACATAAACTTTTAATTATGTTAATTCATTTTTATATATTAATTATGATATTTTTCTATGCTATTGATATTTAAAATACAATATTTTTTTGTTTATATTTGTTATGTTTAATTTTTTAGTTTTAATATTAATTAATTAATTATTTTTATATAGTTATAAAATATACAGAATATATTACAATATATCTATACATATTATTGGATTATTATATATTTTAATTATATCAACTTTAATAATGATTATGAATAAATGTTTTCTTTTAAAAATTATTTTCATGATTTCCATTATTATATTTATATATGAATATGCAATAAATGATTATTTCGTAAAACTATAAACTGGTGTTTAATTTTATTACATTCAAGTTTTAACTCATATAGTCTATTCATTCACATTACAAACAACACACAATATTTATTAAAATGTTTTTAACTAATTATATTATTTGTTACTATGATTTTATTAAAAATTCATATTATTATACTATTGATAATATTAGACATTTAATGGACAAAAATGTCTCAATCAATATATCTAAATATATGGCTAACATTAAGCAGTTGGATATTATAACAATCCTATTGTTGGCCATTATATTAACCGTATTAAGAAAATTATTGTCGGAAAATATTTTTAAAAAGTTCTCTCAGTTTATGGCATTGAATCCACGGGACAGTCAAACATTTGTTGAGTGTATGTGGCGTTTACTATACTATAGCCTATCGTTTAGTTTATTATTCACACATGTATTCATTGAAATGTCCGGTCATTTCTTTGACAACAATACAAACCTATTTGAAGACTATATGAACCAAAGTAGCACCGGTAGTATACACTCACTAACCTCTATTGAATGGTCAATTTATATGCTTGAATTGGGTTATTATATGCACGCATTGTATGCACTGTTGATATTGGATGAAAACCTAAAAGATTTCAATGCAATGCTTACACATCATCTGATGGCTATAACCATAATGACTGTGGCCTATGCCATACAGATCGGAACAATTGGATCAGTTATCTTAATGTTTCACGACGGCACCGATATCCTGATGGAAACATCCAAATGTCTCAATTGTTTTCGACGTTTGTCCGGCACATGGGGTCAAGTGACCGGTTTATTGACTGTCGTAATGTTTTTGCTATTTTTTATTTCATGGATAGTGTTTCGTCTCTATCTATTTCCGATAACAATACTCAATGAAGTGACAAAATCAGGTCCACATCCGGCAATATTCTTACTATTTCTCTTACATTGGTTACTGTTATCACTTAACATCTATTGGTTTATATTTATTGTCAAAATTTTGTTAAACATTACTGATATTAAAGACTCCCGACAGCAAACCGATTCAAAGTTTGCCACAAACAAGAAAAATATTAATCAACAAAATTCAACTAAAAAAGTTAACTAAACTAATGAACTATATATTAATTATAATTAAATAGAAAATTATTAAATATATAGACTATATAATATAGTATTGTAGTATAACTACACATTTATTATCAATATATTAAAAATTATTTTTAAAATTATGATCACGTATAATCTTATTTTATTTAGGATAAGATTTTCTATTTATGTTATTTTATTTTGTAATTACAAAATTTTATTAATTACTTTTAAATCAATTAAATATAATTATTTTTTAAAAATTTAATTTAATTACTATTACCAATAAGGTTTAATAAATGATTATTAAAAATTTATTTAAATGGAAAAAATATTTAGGAAATTATCTTTATTTCGTGGCATAAATTTTTATAAACAATTATATTCAATACAATTACAATAATATTTTTTGAGTATAATTTTATTATATAAATATATAAAATAGTGTTACATCTTAATCATATAATAAATCTTTAATTAAATTATAGCAAAAAACAAAGGAAAGTGACGAAAATGTAATCAATAATTAGTTTTCATTATTATTTTTTGTTGAGGAAATAATTTTAAAATATTGTTTTACTATCAATAATATTTTCATTTTTTGATTAAAATATATTGCATTTCTAGTAAAGTTTAATCACTATTTAAAAGACATTATGTCAAAATATAATGTATTAAAACTGCAAAAAAGCATTTTTATGTTTTATAATTAACCATAAATAAGTTTCAAAATTGGGTTATTATGTATTTTTTAAAAAGCGAGTAATAAAATAAAGTAATTATAATTGACAGAAATTTTACTTTTATGTATATTATTTTATAATCAAATAGTAAAAAAACAATAGGATTTATAAACATCCTATATTTTATATTAATATATACCTAACACTAAAATAATAAATAAATTATTTTTTTGTATTAATAATTATTGTATTTATAGTTAGAAAATATAAATAAAATTTTTGTATAATTTTATTTGTATATTTAAATTGAAATTATAATCTACAAGATTTACCATATATGTATAATATTATATTAAAAGTTAATTTAAATTTTAAAGTTTTATATGTTTTTAAATTTTTTTATTTATAATAGTTTCTAGGATTAAATCTGTATATATATTGTATTTTTGTATTTTAAACTTATTAAAGCCATTGTTCGCAGAAAAATCATTTGTGATTAATGAAAAAATATTGTTTTGTTTTAATAAAAATATTCATAAAATTCATATATCGATTGCTTTATTCTTCTAATAATAATTTATTACTTTAGAAAAGTTAAATCATAATTTGTTTGAGTAGTAAAAAATAAAATATACTATTGAATTTTTAAACAAATAAATAACTATAATAACAATATAACATTCATATTATTTTAAATTATAACATTATTATAACAGACAGATCTAAATAGATTTTAAGGTCAATACTCGTAATTTAAAATAAGAGATAAGAAAGTAATCTTTACATAAAATAAACTACATTTTTAATAACTTTATCGTAAATATAAATATATTTTCTCTAAAGCTTTTTGTGTGCATGATTTTAAAAAATAAAAACATTTATACGGTATATTTAATAATTATAATTTACAATATTATAAAAAACATTTTATCTCTAGTATTAAATTATTATATAACATTACAGGTAAATTATCAATATATGATAGCTAAATGTAAAAATAATAATTCACACAAAATTTTATTTAACTCATTATGCAATTAAGCTAAACAAACATAATAATAATAATAACAATAATAATACAGTATATAATATTTATATAGGGTTTATATTTTACTTGTGTATAACAAACTAAATATTAGTTATCGTTATATTTAAAAAACTCTTTTTTCTTTCAAACATTTATTGTGGAAAACAAGTTGTTATCATTGTTTTAGAGCTGAGAAATGTGTTGCACTTCTGTACAGTTATAGCCATTTAGTACTTAAATTCTATGGCTTTAAGTTTTATAATCAAAATCAAAAGATTTATTATTTAATTCATAATTTATATAAAAGTTTGTGATATATATATAATTTAATTTTGTTTCGTCTATAACATGATGTGTGTGATAGAAATTTACAATTCAAACATAATTTAATTTTCTAACAAAAATTTATTTCTTTTCTAACAAAAAATAGATCCCATTTGTCTTAACATTTAATTTTTATTGACAATTAAATTAGTTTTTTGTTTACTGATTCAATTTAACGATAATAACTGAAATATTTTATTTGTCAATTAATGGTTTTTATTATTTTGTTTTGTTTGTTTGGTTGTCTTTTTTCGCTTATATTACACACACATTGCATAACATTTTTTATTATTGATATTAAGTTCAAAATAGATCACTTGTTTGGTGACATCAAAATAAATATTTTTGATAACATTGTCAACAACTTTGTGTTACAAATATTGTTCAAACAAACCCATTGTTGCGGTCATTGTGTTTGTGTTGAGTGACTAATAAATAAAAGTTTTTTTTATTATTTCTTCATTTATTTGTCTTCAAAATCATTTGTTTCTTCTTTTATATTGAGTTTCAATATATTTATATATTTTTAATAGTTTTATTTATATTTGTTTTCTTCTGTATTGAATATCTAAATGAAATGAAATAAAATAAAATTACATTTTATTTTGTATTATGAATATTTGACATTTCAATGTTAACATGAATTTTAATAATTATTAATACAACTTATATATATATTTAACATTTAAGTAAATAGTTTTAATAATTTAATATTAATATTGGTATCAATTTGGTATTTATATTTGTTTTTCATTGAATTAATTTATGGTATCATCAAAAATATGGAAATATTTACAAAAGTAATCATAATTTTTATAGTTTTATCCGAAATAAATTGTGAAAAGTTTTCGGACTTTTCATCTAAAAAGTCTAAAGACTTTATTAGTGATAAAAGTAAAGTGATTCAGACAACTAACAAAATTAATAGAAATTTAACAAATAGTGGCGATCTGTTAGCCAGTGGACAGACCTATGATTTTGTTAAACAAAAAGACAATTTTTATGATAATAATTATGAAAATAAAGATAATAACAAAAGTTTTCTCCGAGAAGTTCATTATTTTCACGACCGAAAGGTTGGCTATGAAAAGGATATTCATTGGACTCCCGGTAAGTGTTTATTAATTTTTATAAAAAAAATATTTTTAATATATATAATATTAATATAAAATTTTAGTTTCTAAAAAATTGTTAAAATCAAATATTAATATTTTCTTTAAATATTTACTTTGATGTTAATAAATAAGATTATTATTTATAGATTATGACAAAGAGGTTACATCAAAGAAAGTAAAAAAAGATTTATATAATAAAGAAAATAATAATAATAACAACAATTATGGAAACAATTATGACATTATAGATCATAAATTTGAAGTGAAAACATGGGACGATAGCGAAAGGGATGTCCCATTTGACTACAATTTTAGAAATGACAACCGGAATAGTAATTATAATAACAAAAATAACTATAAAAATAGTGAGACTGAGAACCGGAATCAAATGAAATACAATAGTTTTATTAACCACAACAACGACAACAACAATCATATGTACACGAGTTATGACACTACCGGTGGTAACAGTAAAAACAATTATAAAAGAAAATACATGTTTGACAGCACCGGTACATACGATAATAATAAAGCCGACGATTATAATCAGCGGAGACCGGATAAATCCAAATGGTTTGTCAATTTAGAGGATAATGACAGCAGTAGTGACAATAATATCAAAGATGAGGACAATTACAATAATTATGATTCACCAAAATTTCTTGTAAACTTTCAAAAATTTAAGCCTTGGAGTAAATTATTGATTGATAACGAGGATAATGACTATCAAAACTATGAAATGAAATCGCTTTATAATAATAATAATAAAATTGATAATAATCATGAAAGTGGGGGCAACAAAATTAGTGGTTTTGGGAAGTTTGGCACCGGTATGCACACCGGCAACAGTGATGATGGCAATCTCGATGACAAATATAATAATTATAAACCTAAAATGCTTACTGATTTAAGTAGCAAAATGAAAAAACAATATAATAATAATAATTATATGAATTATAAACAATTTCAATCCGATGCTGACTTTGGTTTTAATAGACAGTTATTTAAAGATATGACTGACAAATATAGCTCTACTATTGCTACTAAAGGCCGACCCAAATCCAGACGCTATCACTACGAGAAACAGGTTTCTCCCCAAACGTCGTATAAGAGCCCAAAAGATAAAACAAGTCGTTACGACTTTAATGGTGATAATGAAGAAGGTTTAGGCAATGATGGCGATCGGTATATATCATCGATGAGGGATCAGATCAACAAAAAGTTTATTGAATTGCCTTTCGATATGTTTAATAGGGGTTGGAGTTCATCACAGACACCATTGAAATACAGTAGCAATAATAAGAGGACAACTGTCCCTAAAATTAGAGAATATAGATATGGATTTTAAATATATTTGTTTTAATAATAATTTCTAATTGTATTTTATTTTTTGTATTAAAAATTTCACACATATTGACTTACTATCATTGCGCTTCATAAACATATATTGTACTAACAATTGTTAATTTTTTATGTAATTTAAATTATAGTTACTTCACATATTAATATAATACTATAAACATTTAATGTTTTAATTAATTTTTGCTGTAAAAATTTTATGTGTTATTGTTTTTCAAATAACGATTTTATTGTATTAACATTGTTTGAAATTTTAAAAAATAACAATGTCTTAAAACCTAATAATCAAACCAAAAGTATTATATAATGCTAATAATAAAGATATTTAATGATTTTTATTATTATATTAAAGTAATTTATGTAAAATAATGAATTAAGCATTATCATTTACACACATCATCATTAAACAATTATAATACAAAATTACTTGTACTAAATAAATAAAAAATACACACAAAACAAAAAACAAATCACCGATAAATGTTTTAATTAAAACTAAACACTAATAATAATTAAAAATAAATGGGTCATAAACCAAATAATAATAATAATAATTTTCCTAATAATAAAACCGTCCTTAATATCCCGATCCTTAAATTTAGATACTATTATAGGCTACGTTATGTATTTTCTGTGACCGACCAGACGGATCAGCAGAACAGCCCCAGTCAGTCCTCGGCACCCAACGGACCACACTTTCCAAACATGCCTTTTCTGGAAACCATTTCTCAAACTCCGATCGATACCAATACGCCTCCTTTGTTTGCGGTGTGTCTTCTGGCCAACGATCATGACTTTTAGCAAAGTCTTCGTCCGTAACCTTTCTTTCAGCTTCATCTCTGAGCGAATCAATCCACGAATAGCCCACACCGTCGGAGAATTGCTCTTTTTGTCGCCAAAGTATATTATCCGGTAAATAGGGCTCAAGTGTTGGGTCATGACTCGTGTCAAAAGCCCTTCAAGTTTAATGAAAAACATTTATTATAACTATTATTAGCATTTAATATCTACTGAATTATCTTATATAACAATAATTGCTATCAATATTAAAATAATATCTTACTTTCTCAATATAAACTTTTCAATCTTATCCGATGAACAAAGTTTAGACTGTGGATCAACATTCATGGCTAACTTTAAGAAGTTGGTATCGAGAAATGGTACTCTAGCTTCCAGACCCCAGGCCAGAGTAGATTTGTTGGCCCGAAGACAGTCAGATGTGTGCAAGTTTTTCACTCGTTTCACAGTTTCCTGATGTAATGCCTCAGCATTGGGTGCGTTATGAAAGTATAGATAACCGCCAAATATTTCATCTGATCCCTCGCCACTCAATACCATTTTAACGCCAATTGCTTTGATCTTTCGCGACAATAAATACATCGGAGTACTGGCCCTCACTGTTGTCACGTCGTAGGTCTCCAAATGATAGATGACATCGGAGATGGAGTCCAAACCTTCTTGTATTGTAAAGTTGTATTCATGGTGTCTAGTCTTCAAAAATTTAGACACTTCTCGGGCGGCCAACAAATCGGGAGATCGTATAAAGAGAAGATAAAATTAGATATATAACAATCAAAGTTGAATTATGACAAAATATTTAAATAATACATATCTGGCAATCCTATAGAGAAAGAGTGGAGGCGCCCCCACTCTATGTTAGTTACTTCATCACTACTGCTATTCCCATCGTCGACACTACCTGTGCGCACCTGAACCTCATGTTTCTTCACTATCTTTCGGGTCTCTCTCACAGCTATCGACGCAATAAGACTCGAGTCGAGACCACCGGACAGCAGTACTCCGTACGGCACTTCAGACATCAATCGTTTTCGTACTGAATGCTCGAGTTTGCGCTTCAGTATTGTATAATCTACGGGTGCGCTGGGAATGAGCTCCTCTGACCACCAGTCCGGGTCAAACCAGCGTTTAAATTGGCCAGTAGTTGAATCGTAGAGATGTCCCGGCGGGAATGATAGTATGCGATCGCAGGTCTCATTCAGACATTTCATCTCAGATGCAAAATAGATTTCTTGAGGAGCGGTACTGTTGTAGCCATAATAAAGTGTAGTTATACCGATTGGATCCCTGGCCGCAATCAACCGATCGGCTGCTTTATCGTATAAAACAAACGCAAACTGTCCGTCCAAATGATGAACTACTTTATCGCCAATCTCTCGATACAAATGCAAAATGATTTCGCAGTCCGATTGTGTGACATATGGTTGCGGATCGTTCAACAGTTTCTTGAGGCTCAAGTAGTTATAGATCTCTCCGTTTACCGTAAGTATGATACTATTGTCGGCGTTAGTGATGGGCTGAGCGCCAGAATCGACACCAACGATGGCCAGTCTTTCGTGACAAAAAATATGATTTCCCGTTGTTATACATCCCGACCAATCGGGTCCCCGGTGTCTAATTCTGGTATTTAATAAATAATTAGTACTTAATATATAAAAGGTATATAATACATCTACAATATGTTAAAAATTAATTAATTTTTTCAAATATAATTAAAAATAAATATATTAAAATACAAATATTCAATATATAACTTACTTTTTCGATAGATATAGAGCTCGGGGTCTAAATGCCGTGACTTCTCCCGCATAATTATAAACAGCAAATATTCCGCACATGTTTTCAATTCAATTATATATTTTGAAAATTTTATTTATTTATTTATTCAACTTTACAAAAAATATATGAATAATAATTATTATTTATTTATAATATTAATACCAATACTATACAATATGAAGTAAAGTGCTGATTAAATATTATACATATGTGACAATATGATAGCAAATTTACAATATAAATGAATAGACAAATTTTTTTTAATTAAATGAAAAATATGCTTATTTAATAGTAATATGATAGCAGTCGGTTTAAATTTAATATATTTAATTAATATATAAAAATTTATTTATAACTATTAAATATACAGTATATGCCAACACAAAAACTCCAATACAGTATTGTCTGATGCAAACTATATGGGATATTACTTATTATAATATTACTGTAAATTTATATTATGTTAAACTACAACATTATATTGAATTGTATATTGAATTATATATATAATATATAATATATAGTAGTATTAATATATAGCTTGTAGTACACATCAATATGAAATGATACTCAATGTTGTGTGAATTGTGTACTAATACAGTATTACAGTAATACTATTTCTAAATAAATACCAGAATCCATGTGCTTTTGGGCTCAGACATCCAGGTGTGATCGATAATTATAACCTTGAATATCAGTAGTACTGTATTTTCAATGTACTATACAAATGATTTATAGGAATTGTCACTTTTAAAATGTAGTTTTTAATCTTTTTTTATTTTTTTGATAAACGATTGCAAATAACTAAATAAGATAACTTTTTTTAAAAGTAATCATTAGTTATAATGTTATAATAATTTTAGAAATATTTTTGTGCTTAAATAAAAACTAAACTTTTATTGAAGACTAACTATCAAAACTAACATTAATTCAAGAATAAGAGGAGGGATAAAAACATTAAATAAATGCTTAATTTTTTAATAAAAATAAATATTATAACTTTATATACGATAATATTATTAGTTATTATGAATTATAATTTTTCTAATTGAAATGATTCACAAAACCAAATGCAAATCTTATTAAGATTAATGATATAATTATTTTTTTTAATTTCTATTTAAAAAATTCATTTCATTATTGATTATCTTATTGTGTAATTATTTTAAAATACAAATTTAATTAAATAATTGTTTATCAGTAATTAAAATCAAACTAATTATACAATATCTTAATTACTGTAATACAAGTCATTATTAATGTTAATATTTTATCAGATTTTAACATTTATTTCATTTGATTCATTTACAAATATTTTATCAAATGTTATTCAATGGTATTAATCTATAATAATTCAATTACTACTATATTTTATATAGATATTATATGTACATAAATAAAAATCAAATAAAAAATACAAACAATAATTTATAATTATTATAAAACAATTAACAACTGGTAGTAAACGGATGTTAAGTCTTGACTTTCTTTTTCTGAGAACCAAAAGCTTTCATTTCATTAGATTTAGTTTTAATTGGTTTTTTCAGAGAACTGGTATTTTTATTGGTGACGGTTTTATTTATATTATTGGTAGCTTTTCTTTGAGTTGCTGGTGCTCGACCTGCAGTTACAACTGGACCATAAGGTCCGGGAGGTAATGGTAACAATGAATTTAGTATACGATTTCTTCTGACAAGACAGTCAAGTGTGGCCACTGTTATAGAGTTACGAAAACAGCGCTGAAGTCTTGGATTAACTAAATTTCTTCTATTAATTGATCGACCGATTAGACAACGATTTAATTGACCACTTCTTCGGCGATTACACGACAGGGCATTACCACCGCTGACACCACACGAACGGATTAATGTAATCATTTGGGAGTTTCTATTAATACCGTTTTGTATACAATTTGCCACCTGATCCTGTTGTTGATCTGTAGAGCACCGGTCGTCTAAATTAAATGTAATTACAATTTTTTGATACTAGTTTTTTTATTTTTAAAATAACACACACACACACACACACACACACGCCTACAACAACAAAACTAACCACAAAATGCATTGATTGCTAAAATAGTTTCACGTACGCCACGTGCCAATCGGGGACGTACTGCTGCACCGCCGAGTCGGCCAATGCTTCTTCTAATTAGTGGAAATACATGGAGCGGACCAGTGATCGACGGGGTTACCGGTGAGGCCACTGGTGTTTGGGTTATGTTTGAACATAATATACAGGTTTGTCTCAATATAATTGAAAAAACTATTAATGTCAAATTCAATATGTTTGACGAACTTATTAAATATAATATTATTAATAAATCTTTTAAATTCATCTTTAAATTTATTATATATTAGTATAAATAGCATCGTTGCATAAACTTATGATAATATAATTTAATATTTGAAGCATCAATTGACAATTTTAATGAATTTAAAAAACACTAATAAATTGTTGAAAAAAAATATTGAAAAATATATCTAATAGTTTTCTATATATTTATAATAATTACTTTATACCAAATTATTAAATTTAATTAATAATCAAAACAACTTTAATTAATATTATTGTAAACACGCTATTTTAAATTAAACTACTTTAATTAAATATTCATTTAAATATTATATTTTATATATTAATTACAATTAATTTATAATATAAAAAAGATCAATAATATAAAGGATTTATTTCAATGTCACTAATTGTAAACATAGAGTACTAATAACTCATTGTCATAAATAAAATAAATTTAATATTTTTTCAAATGTTTTTTATTGAATGTTTCATACATTGAACAAATTAATTATGATTATCTACTTTACAACATTTACTTTATAATACATTTAGAAAATATAAATTACAAAATATTATAACTAAAAATGTTTGATTTTTTGACCGGAAAGTCTGGAAAAATTTATAAAAATAACAATTTTTTCACAAAATTCTAGTTTATTTGTATATTTTATTTAAGTATTTTGAATACAAATTAATTATTAGCTAAGCTTAGTTTTTTTAATTTAAATTATTGCCTCTAATACTAATAATTTTAAACTAAAATTAATTAACAAATGCTGGAAATTTTTAGTACAATTATATTTAAAATTCTATAAGTATTTATAGAGTGCAAAGTAATTAACATATATTGCATGTAAAAAATCAAATTTAATTAAATTAAATGTGCATAAATATTTAAATTATTTTTTAAATTTTATTATTTATTAATAAAAATATTTATATAACTAAAGTAAGACTTAATCCAATTAATAATTAATTGTTAACTCTATAATTTTATTTTACAAATACAGTATTAATTATGATATAAAAATTATCATAAATAATTGCAGATATTGGAAAAAATATCTAGATGAACATTTTATCGAATTTAAATATTAATATAATTAAATAATATATTATTTTATATTTATACAAATTATTATTATATACAGTTAACTAAAAAATACAATGAATTAGTTTCTAAAGTAAGATTAATAGATATTCATTAAAAACTATTATCAATTATCTCATTAAATGTATTGAAAACTATTTTTATTGTTATCGACCCACAGGTTGTTGTATCCTTTGGTTGACTACAGGACCATATGGTCCGGGAGTCAAAGGTAGCAATGAGTTGAGTATGCGATAGCGTCTGACCAGACAGTCAATAGTGGCCAGTGTTAGTGTAGACCGAAAACAACGTTGTAAACGACGATTAACTAAACCTCGTCTATTGACTGCACGCCTAATCAGACATTGATTCAATCGATTACGTCTTTGTCTACTACATTGTAGGTCACCGTTTGGATTTGAACTACAGGAGCGCAATATAGTAATCATTTGTGAGTTTCTGATGATACCATTTTGCACACAATTGGTAACTGCATCCTGTTGTTGATCGGAAGTACATGAATCGTCTTCAAGCAGATGATAAAAATGATAATCATCGTTGTGTTGAGTAATTTTAAATAAAACTTACCACAAAATGCATTGACAGCAAAAATCACTTCACGTACACCACGTGCAAGTCTCTGACGATTATTACCAATAACACCTCCACCACCACCCAATCCTCTTTGTCCACCAAATCCACTAAATCTTGGCCTAAATGGCGGAAATATACCGAACGGCGGAGCAATTGGTAGGCCTATTGGTGGTATCGGTGGACGTATGTATGAACCGAGAGGCGGACGTATACATGTATTACAAGATGTTTGTCGATAAACATTATATATTGTATTCATTATGTTTGATAAACTCATCACAATTACTATTATTTGCAAATATTTGACATTCATTATGACATTTTTGAAATCTTGAAAACATCTTTATTAGTATTCAATAAAACTTAAAATATTCAATAAAAAAAATTTAAATGATTCTTACATAATTAAAATACATTAAATAATAATTTAAAAATATAGCCTTTATTTATTATAATTAAGGCTAATTAATTTTTTTTTAAAATTAGATCATTTATTATTTGATATTTTGTGATAAATATAGTTAGTTTATTTAAAAACATAATGCAATTAAACAATATACACAGTTTTACTTATACTGTACAATGCAAATAAATAACACAATTGCATCCAATGTCATTATAAGTAAATTAGGATACAAAAAAATATATAATAATTAATTATAGAAATAATTAATATAAATAATATTTATTGTTTTATTTTATTATAATTTTTTTTAATTAACTTTTCTACTATTTTATTACATAAAATTTAATTTTAATTAAATCTGGATCTACTAAATTTTGTGAATTATAAGTTATTTTTCTAAAAATAAAAAAATGTTTTTAATTATTATATTTAATATTTATAAAATTTTATTGATTCATTGAATAAGATATAAAATATTAGTTATAAATTTTGATAAAATTGTTTATATATATGACAAATTTTCGGAAGTATATTTTTACATTATTTTTTGTATTAATAAAATATTACTAACTATTCTAGAAGTTAACAAATATTTATATTCAATTTATATAAATATTTTTAAATAATGTTTATAAATTATAATTATTTAACATAAAATATTTTATCGATATAATTTTAAAGAGAGACAATTTAAAAATGTTTTATAATTGTTAAAATTATTGAAAATTCAAATAAATTTTCTAATTCATTATCGCATTTAAAAAATATAAATATAATTAATTATAATTAAATTTATACATAAAATCACAAACACCTTGATCATCATTGATTGATTAAAGTGATATAAAGTAAATGGTATCCATAGAAATTTACTAAATTATTATACAATTTATTATTACTTTTATGATAATTCATAGTTATTATATAAACATTTGATAAGTAGTGTATTTATTTAATTCATAAAATAATTTTAATGTTTTTTTTATAATTTAAAAATTAGTGTAAAATGTAAGATATTAAAGCTGGAAAACATATAATTAATGCAACATTTCAATTATAAATATATTTACTAATAAAATACTATATAGTTTTTTATATTTATAATAAAAAATGTAATTTATTTTAGTAATTAAATTAAATTTTATGAAATACTTAACTGAATTCACTGTTTGTTTGATTTTTTTGACTCCATATTCGAATATTTGATGAAAAAACAGAATAAAATAGTTTTTAAAACCGAAGTCCTATTCTTAAGTGAAAAAAATGATAATAATTGTCAACAAATTTTTAAAAAAGTTGGTATAAGAGGACAGATAAAACTGTTTACTATTTGTAGTTTATTTTAATAATAGATATAATAACTTAATGTTTATTTTTTAAAATTAAAGTCTAGGCGTACTATTGTGCTTTAATTCTTTATATTTATTGATTAATTTATAATTTTAATTTGTAGATAAAAAAATATGTATAACCAAATAAAATAAAACTATTATTTAAACAATTATTTTTGTTGTAATAAAACTTTTGCGAAAATAAAACATTAAAACATGTGTTATATAAAAAAAAGCATTTTTTTCAAATATCTAATCATCTTTTTAGTGTTGCTTTGTGTCAATATTTATATATGAAATGGTAAGACCTGTACGATCCGGTTGGAACGGGACCTAAATAGGAGAGACCTTTAAATTAGAGTCTCACACAACACATCAACTAACGTATCCTATAAACTATAGTATCTTTTGTTACTATTTTTGTTGTTTTTTAGATTAACAATCTATACACACATTTTTAGTATATTAAATAACTTTTAAATCTATTAATTTTTTAATTTTTAGTTTCAAAAATTGATATTAATAAATTGAAATAAATTGTCATTTTTTATATTAAAATTATTTAAGGCATTACATTAAAAACATATAATCTGTGTACTACAATATTTGGATAATTAAATACAAATAAAACTAATGATAAACTTTTTTTTATTAACAAACAAATTGACAAATTAAATGTCATTGTCATTGATATATTAAAATATTAATATGAATGCGTCAATCAAATAGAAAAACTCACAAAAAATATATCATATATTATATATGCCTTTTGGCTATCCATAGGGCCAGTCATTGGTATTATAATATAAGTTAGAAAAATACAGTACTTCTAGTTGTGTTAGAGATTAAGCACTGGTATTCCCCGGACAACTAATCACATCAATAATCGACAACAACTGATCCCAATTCTTCACCATTTGTTTGTTTAAATTGTCTCACAATATATTATAAATGCAAATATCTATTTAAAATATTTACTCTACTTTTTCTATACATATCATATAATTTTTACTATCCTATTACAGTATAATCTTATTTGTTATTACTTTAATACTGTACTATAATATGACTTTCATTTTAAAATATTTGTGCAAATATGCAACTATTTTCATCACTAATTTACAAATAACTTTTAGCTAAATTTTGACAAATTTTACAAATAAACCTATTGGGAAAATCCAAACATTAGTTTGATATATGTTTATGTTTACAACAAAAATATTTTTTTATGTCAAACTGTATGTCTATTTAGAAAATACATTTAAAAACTATTGAAAAATGTGTTTAAATTTTTCATGAAATCTAAAAACTTGTTTAACTGATAAATGGTCACTATTTATTAATAATATAAATTTTTGTGTCCATACTTATGATATTGTTAATAAGGAATTAAATTTAAATTAAAAAATTACTAGAATTTTTTAATAAAAGATAAATTTCTGAAAATTAAATAAAAATTAATAATTACTAAATAATAAATAATAGACACGTGCAGTGATTAAAAATATAAGTTAGTGAGTTAATTAATTAATAAATATTAGTAAATTAGTAAATGATTAAATTATTTGACGTCAACGGAAACCTTAAAACACATATACTTAGAGATATTTTTTTAGTAAATTTCCTAAAAAATAACAAATTATAAACTAAATTGTTTTATCTAAAATAGAAATTTTTGAATTAAATCAATCAGTAAAATTAATTTTTATAAATGATAATTAATATATAATAATAATAATAATATATTAAAATAGGCCAATTTTTTTAGTTTCAATTCAATAATTACTTTCAATGGACTCAATACAATTTATATATATATATATATATATATATATTAATATCATATTGTTTTTAATAAAATAATTATTGTTTACTTTTGTGTTTAAGCAGAAAAAACCACTTAAAGAGATAAATAAAAATCACGTTTACTTCGTATGATTTACTATTTTTTGCGGATATCTTTACAATAAAAAAGAGTATGAATGAGAGTGTGGATCAAATCAAATGATGGACTCATTTAATTGATGTCTAATCACTTCATCTTCCGGTCCAAAGATCAAACTATTCTGTAATTTATATTAAATTAAGTCAAAACAGTTTGTTTGCTATAACTAAACTAAAAATATTTAATTGATAAAATTTTTAACTTTACTATAAATTAATTAATAACTATGTTATTAAACTAAATAATTGTTGATAAATTTCTTATATTAAGTGAATTTTATGGAAAAAGTTATGTTTACATCCATAAGCCGGAAAAATAACAACAAATTTTTATTAGACTGCTTGGGAATCAAACAAATAATTATCTAATATTTCATTTTCACTGATAACAAGTGTATAAACTTTTTCTCTTTACAGTAAACACTATACAGTGCTTATTGATTATCGCATAATATAATTCAGTTTAATTCATAAAATATTTTGGTAATAAACCTTTAAACACATACACATACATACATAAAAAATAATAACAACAAAAGGAAATGTATTTATAATATTTTATTACTATATATTGTTGTTTTCCTATTTTGATTCATAAAATTTCCAATCAAAATATACTCTCTTACCTACTGTACTAATATACAGTATATATATTAGAAACATCAAATGTATATGTAATTATATAGTAGTGTAAATGTAATATGTATTTTAACAAGAAAAAAATTGTTTATCAAAACAATTTATTTCACAATAAAATAAGTTTAATAACTCATTAACTTAACAGGGTAATAACTTTTAATATAAAGTAATGTTTAAGATCAATCAACTTTAACTTGTAAATCAATCACCCCTTTTGAAGTCTACATTTAATATATCAAATATATATGTAATTTATATACTGTACTGTAAATTAAAATTATTTTTTATAATAAATTCAAAATTAAAATGATATTAAAACAAAAAATTTAAAGCATACAAATCCAAAACCAATTACCATTAAAACTGAGTGGAACTGGTGGTCGACAGGTCCAAACCGGTCATAAAGTGGCAAAATTTTGCTATTAATTTTATTATAGTTACAGTATATATTAATGTATTAAATAGGGTAACAAATAAACCAATTTTGTGTTAGATTTATATATATATACTAATTTATATTTTAAAAATTATTTATAACTAATAACAATAAAAAATTTTATTAAAAATATATGTAATTATTTTTTTAGATAAAAAACAAATTCACGTGCTATATATTAAATGGTATAAATTATTTCAATCTATGGCATCAATACTACTAATTAACTTATTTTAATAATACCAAAAATATGGGTCCTATTGGTTAGCATTAGGACGCACCTCCCGGTTCTCTAAGGTATTTGGAAATTACATGACAGACATACACATACTCCGGGTATTTACAGTAAATTTACTAACTATTCAACATAACTGTGTGTGTATATAGAAAACTACAGTACATATAGATATCTGTTATCATCATTTGAATAAATTAAATACCATTAACCTCACAGTTATCAGGCAGAAAAAACCACCACAACATTTGCCAATAAAATAACTAATGAAATGATTGTAAGGTAGGCCGAACCAAATGCTACCAGTGCTGAGGCCGGAAGATTGCATTTTTGAGCTACAATTTGAGGCAAAAAAAATAATAAATAATTTTATATATAATATTATGTATTTATATGTACTAAAACATGTATATATATATATATATAGATGTTATAATAAGTGATGATAAGGGCGTCAAAAAATGTTAACCTTTGATCAAAATAAACAAATAAATTGATAGTCAACTCCTCAGTTGATTCTAATATTTGCCAAAAAGAATCCGTTTTTTGTTTTTGAATGTCTAAAAACTTGGGTATAAAAGTTGGTTCAACTCTCGACTCTTAAGTCAATCATCTCTTGCAAACAGACCATTGAGTTACTAATAATATAATAAGAAAATAAATCTATATTCAAGTGATTTGATTTGATTTATTAAACAAATACAACAATTATTTAACTAATTGTATCATTCATTGTCTAAGTGATCGCCAAAAAAAGTTATAAAAAGCTTTGGTCTCAACTTATAATAAATCAAATATTTTTAGTGTTTTCATTGTTTTTTATATAAAAAAAAGTTATATAACAACAAAGTTTTCAAAATTACTTCTCTAAAACAATTTTTGAATATATTTTATTATTTGATTGAAAAATCAAAACTCAAATCCAAGCCTAAAATGAGAAGAAAGTTAACAATACTGTTCGCTCCGCCCGATGGTGTCGGACACGTCAACGCGTGTATAGGTATTGGAGAAGTACTTCGGGATCGCGGCCACCGAATTGTGTTTGCGGTTTGCGATATCTGGAGGAATAAGTTAACCAAATATGGCTTCGAAGAAGAGATCATTCGAGAGAGTGATAGTGATGCCGATCCGGGAACCTATTGGGCAGAATTGTTCTCAAAGGGTGGTATGTTTGGCTCGAAGCCACCGATGGAGAAAATGAAGAACTTTAACAATTTGACTGCCAATGGACTCATCAAACAAATCCAGGCGTCGGATGAAAGAGTCAAAGAGTGTGTCGATAGAGTCAAACCAGACATCATTGTCATCGATGGCTTTGTTTGGATGCCGTCGCTAATGAACTCCGGTATACCCTGGGTTTGGTCCATAAGTACAAACTTGTTGTCCATCGATCACGCTTTCGATGACGAAGAAATACCACCGGGAGGTTTGGGTAAGCAATCAAAACTTTATTTCTTAATTTTTGTAAATAAATTTCAATTAATAATTTATGAAATGACTGAATGGCGGCAAACTGTCTATAAAATATGTCATTGAAATTGTATAAACAGTATATTACACATACATATTATAAATGATTAGATAATACAGAATTAAGTTAAAGTAATGATACTAATGAAAGTAGCAAATAATATATAGTACTTATTACTGTATTTTATAGTAGTAAACAAAATATTTTCAATTAGTTGATAATATAAAATAATTTTATTTACAAATAAAAAGTCATAAACAAATTGTATAACAATTAATAACAACTTTATTATTATTATTATGTTCAGGACTTCCGGCAAACAGTGATAAGAAATTGTGGAAAAAATTGAGAGACGAGAAAAATGCTGCATTGACTCCGACTATTGAAAATTTCAACAATTGGCTCATTAGTAATAATTTCCCGACTCTTCCGACACAGAAACTGATCACACCGTCACCCTATCTGAACATATATATGGTACCGGAAGAACTTGACTACACTGATATCACAAAGTTTCCGTCCAATTGGTATCGATTTGACTATTTTATGCGGTCGTGTTGTAATGATATGTTTGAAATACCCGACAAATTGAAGAGCAAACCGGGTAAATTGATCTATTTCTCAATGGGATCTATGGCCGGAACTGATGTCCAACTGATGAAACGTTTGGTCTCCATATTAGCTAAGAGTAAACACAGATTTATTATATCGAAAGGTCCGCTTCACGAACAGTACGAATTGGCCGATAATATGTGGGGCGATCAGACCGTTCCGCAGATCAAAGTACTACAAAAGGTCGATCTGGTCATCACTCACGGCGGTAACAATACATTTACAGAAACCTTCTTCTACGGCAAACCGATGATAGTTTTGCCCATATTTTGCGATCAGTTCGATAACGCCCAACGATTACAGGAAAAAGGTTTAGGCATCCGATTAGATCCATACGACTGCACCGAATCGCAACTGTTGTCCAGTATTGACAAACTATTGAACGATAAGGTTTTGCATAAGAAGTTGCAGCGCATCTCTAAACGCATACAAAAATCCAAAAGCATTTCAAGAGTTACTGAACTTATTGAGGGATTGGCCTCTAATACAGACTCTCCAATTGACTCTCAACGGGGCTGACTATACATTCATCAAAGCTATAATAATAATAATAATAATAATAATAATAATAATAATAATAATAATAATAATAATAATAATAATAATAATAATAATAATAATAATAATAATAATAATAATATAATAATAATCATATAAATAATTTTTATATTAATAATAATCATAATAATTATAAACATAATGAAAGCGACAAAAGCGTTAGATAACTATATAATAACTTTTTACAGCATTATGTAAACATAGATTATTGATAAATATTAGTTACTAATACTAACTAATTTTTTTGATAATTTACTGAACAAAACAAATATCAAACACTTTATTATGATATTTATAATTATTATAAGTAATAATTTCATTCATATATAGATGATAAGCCAATCACACAAAATATTTATACACTAAATACTAAGTCTATTATTATTTTTTTATTATCTTTGTATTTTGAGTTTAAGAAAGTTTATTTATATTTGTATTTCATATTTAATAGCTATTAATGTTTTTTAAAAAGTCGATGCCTTTCATAACAATTTTTTATCTTAAAATATCAGTCGTCTTATTAATGTCATTGGCTTTGGTCTGTTATAATACATTCACTTTTAATTTTTATATACTTTTATTTGTAATTTTAATATTGTTTTTTATATTAAAGTCATTTAGTTTTAATAATTTCTAATCTATATATATATATATATATATATATATATTATATTATTGATAACTTACTATTTTATTTACAAATATTATTGTATTAAGTTGTCATTTTCAATGCATAAACTTTTTACTTAACATTTATAAAGCTAATAATTATACTTATTTTTTTATTTAAATAATAAATATTATTTATATTAATATTCCAGTCTAATTTATATTATACACAACAAAATTGATCTATTTTTTATTATCAAAATTAATGGCCCTTAAAATATTCATGACTTGAATAAAAATTTATAAATTAATTATTATTTAATATTATTATAAATTAAATATTTAAAAAAAAATTATTTCATAGTAAACGGTAGACAATATCTCAGATAGAAATAAATATTTTTTAAATTAATAATAATTTGATTATTATTTTATTTTATAAAACGATGAAGTGTAGGTAAATTATAAATACTTTAAATTCAAATAGATTATCTAAAAAAATTATAATCCTTATTTTTTGAATGCGATTAATTAATTATTTTTTTTAAATCATATCAATTAAATATAATACAGAAAGAGTACAATATTTATTTTTGTGTCGGTCTCTGTGTTTGTCATATGTCTGGTACTGTTTGTCCAATTTGTGAATATATATTCAAATAGTCATCACAATGAAACAGAGACATCATCGCACATACATACGGATCATCACCAATACGATGCATACACCGTAACCATCAATTCATGTCAGTGTCTTTGTCCACGTTTTAACAGGTTTTCAAACTTATTATTAAATATCTTATTTAAAATTATAATTATATTAATTTATTTTCTTTAGTAATGATTCAATTATTAGCAATACAACAGCAATTAATGAGCACAACAAAGATCATAGTCACACAATTGGTGATTAAAATTAAATATTTATAATTAAATATTTATAATTAAATATTTATAATTAAATATTTATAATTAAATATTTATAATTAAATATTTATAATTAAATATTTATAATTAAATATTTATAATTAAATATTTATAATTAAATATTTATAATTAAATATTTATAATTAAATATTTATAATTAAATATTTATAATTAAATATTTTATTAGAGAGTAATATAGAGTAGAAATAGCAATCAAAGTATATGAATATTTACTATTTATAATAATTAAAATTAATTTTAATATGATAAATAAATAATTAAAAACTTCACACATTAACTTAACAGTTTAAATTTTTTTCATATAATATAAAATAATATTATATTAATATACAATATATGGTATATATCTGAAAATAGGTGGATGCCCAAGGTCAATGTTTATATGATCATTGATCACTGGCGGTTCTCATTGTAAATTAAAAATCCAACTGTCCATGAAATGCTTAAAATTTTATATTCAATAGCAACAAGTTTTGTAATGATTCATTTGAAAATTATTTTTTATTTATAATAACTTAATAATAATATAAAAATGTTTACAAATGTTTATTTATTTCAAAAAAATATAAATTATTAAAATTAATAAATATAATCAATAAGTGTCACAAAAATGTCTGTAAGTAATAGTGTTGTAAGAGATCAACCAAAAACTTTAGTGAATGCACCGGAAGATAATATTTTAGTAACAACTAGTTTGTCCACCGATGGACAGACACCGAGCGGTGATAATAACAGTTGTTGTTGTGGTCAGTATTGTTGCGATTGTTTGGACGGAATTTCTGAGTTCTTTGAGACCATCTTTTGCTGCAATGAATTGTGTGCTCAATGAATGTCACAATAATTTTCATATATTATTTCATATGTCATCATAATATATGCATCAATGAGTTAATACTGTATTAATATTTCTGATTTTTATCAATAATTTTGTTAACAATATGTTTGTAAATAATATAAAATTATAAAATTAACTTGTACAATTTTTAAAATTAATATTCAAGTAGCAAATAATTCTAAACAAAAAAAATGTATAAAATTTTTTTAAAAATTTGTAAAAACATTTGTATAATATATTTTTTAAAAGTATATATTTTATAATTAATATTCTGTACACAAGTAGTGCAATAAAATTATTTTATATAAAATATGAAAAAAAATAATAATTTAATTAAAAATTCTAATTATATAGATATACTGTTAGTTTTAATTTTATAGTATTTAAAATGTTTTTATTAATTTAAAAAAAATAAAGTTTGATCATATGTTACATTTGTCATACATTTGGCAAATTACAGCTTAATTTTTAATAACTAATTGAAAAATAAGGTTTTTTTTTAATATTGTAGTAAAATTTAAATATTAATATCAAAACACAACAACTGTTACACTAAATAATGTGTTTAAAAGTTGTGTAATTTATATATTAAAACAAATGCCAAACACTGTAACAAATTGTTGTCATAAACACTGTTTCTAAACGTAACGTTGTTTGCGATTTGTCAATGAATTTAATATAATAGTCAAATCATATGATGACTAACACAATGAAAGTGTAAATAAATTTATGACAAAATTAATAACAAAATTAAAATTTAATTAAAACTGTTAATCATTTTTGTGACAAATTTTTTAATAAAACAATTATTTGGTTGCAATCGAGTCAGTCATACGTCCGTTGAAAACAAGTATTACCGATGTATTTGTGACCAAACAATATGATGGACGACGACTTTGACATCTATGCCGATCTCGACGATAACGACAAGAAAGGTCGGGATCTAACTGTCACCTCAAAGACATGCTTGAAGAGTGACACCACTCGGCCTATGGCTATGGCGGCCATCAAATGTGATGATCACTCGCAAAATGATATGATCTTAAGCGAGTTAACCATTTTGGAGAAGACGCTCAACACTACTGAAGAGACCAACAAAAGTCTTGTCCAACAAAACGAAGAGCTGCGCAAAGAGTTGGCCGACAAAGACAAACAGTTAATCATTTTGAAGACAAACATATCGTCACTCTATAAGACGGCTAAAGCGGAAATCGATCGCAAAAAGTTTGATATCGATAGCTTAAGAAGTGAATTGGATTCATTGATCTTCAACCGATTGAAGAGCAATGGTGTCAACTCAAGTCATGACATTAATAAGTATATCAATGATCGACAAAAGAAGTTCTACAGCGACAAGAGTACCAACACTTGTAGAGATCTGACATCACATGATTTCAGTCATCATCACCGTTCAGATCACCATCGAAGTCATAATGTATTTCTTCATACAATTGATTATTGTCTTTTAAATGCTTTTTTTTTTGATAGTCAAGTGATAGACCAAATGATAGGTTGTCGGCAAAAGAGTCAAACAGTAATCCAAAGCGAAGCAAAAGTCGTAGTCATTCCCGTCGGCGAAGCCTTGAGCGACGTAATAGAAGTCCTTCGCCACGACATAGAAATCGGGACCGAAGTCATGATAGAGGAGGACATGACCGTAAAAGACACCGAACTGCTGATGAACGCAACAACAACAACGAGAGAGACAAAGATAGAAATAAAAACACAAATAAAGATAAAATTAAAGACACTAAAAGTAGTTGTAATAAAACGCTTAATAATAATAATAATGAGCGCAGCAGTAGTAGTAGTAGAAGAAGTGGTAGCAAAGCGACAACTAATGATAATAATAGAGAGATGACTGATAAGTGTCGGAGAGATAAAGATATAGTTATTAGGGATAAGGATAAAGATAGAGACAAACTAAGAGTTGATAGACATAAGGATAGGAGAGATAAGATTAATAAGAAAGAGAAACAAACAAAATGTGAGAAAATAGAGAAATAATTAAATATTTTTAGTGACAATTTTGAGAGTAATAATTTGTTGCTAACACTTGCGGATCATATGTTTAGGTAATGTTTTTTTAATCGCAAGCCATTAATATCATAATTATTTTGACCTGAATTTTAAAGCATAAAAAATCGGTTTTTTAAATTTTATTTAAAAACATTATTTTGTTAATTACTGTGGCATCCAATCAATGTATTAAAAAACATTTTTATTTTTTCATAAACATGTGTATATATATATAGTAAGTATACATACCATATATATCAGTGAATAACATATATATACTATCAATTTATGACTTCATATTCATTTAAAATACCTAAATCTAAATATTACTGTAATATGTAATTGATTATAGTTTAAAAGTACTGTTATTATTGACAATACAATGTCAATGAATTTTATAATGATATAAATAATTTATTTAATATTTGTATTTATTATTACAAACATTTTTTATGACTATTGCAATAAAAAATTATAATTTTGGAAAATATAGATATTTTTAGTCTTTATAGTCGTCTCTGATTTCATTATAGGTATCGATTTTAGTCTTAAAGCTTTCAGTCCATGAAATAAAGTCCTCATGAGTTCGGGTCACCAAAAATGCCGGATCTGTCACCACATTAGGTCCAACTCTCACGTGTCCGTGTTTTACATATTTTACTATAGATTTAATTAAAAAAATTAATCAATTAATATACCATTGAATAAATGTATTGAAAAAGTTGATTACCGGCCGTAGATAGCGGTCCCGAAAACATTGCCGATTGAATCATATATACCGCAAGTCTTCGGCGACAAAATGACTTGACATTTACTGAATTACATTTCTTAAGACGTTTTGTTTTGATTAAACCGTTTGAATACAACTTTTCAATCAATTGTTGGGAACACCCGTTACGGAAGGTGTCGTCCGGTGAGAGCCGGGATATGCGGTCACATAACTGCCAGATCTCATGACATAACTTGTTATACCTGTCAATAGGTGTCATCAAATCAATCAATATATCATATTATCATCAAATATGACCACAAATGGTATAATAATGACAATAATAGTTATAATACTTAGTATAGTCCTGTCTATTGATGTGATATTTTCTCATAATAGCCGTCTCTTTCACTGAATTTGTCGACCAATTGATGAAATCTACTTTCTTTAACAGTTTCCTCTCGTGATATCGCAATTTGCGGACCATTTTAACCAATTACTAGTTATTTATTTATAGACAAAACAATTAAATTTATAGTAAAAACTAACACTTATTATAATTGAAATTATTATTCAAAGAGTAATCCAATGATTTAAAAGTCAAAACAAATAACACGTGTTTTCTAAATGAATTTCTGACTACATTTACAGTGATTTACTAATAAATATGTTAATTAACAAAAGTTTACTAACCGTGAGTCCCTGTAGCGCAGTGGATAGCGCGTTGGACTTCTAATCCAAAGGTCCGGGGTTCGAATCCCCGCTGGGATGCTCGCTTTTTTGATATTTTTTATTATACAGTTCATAAATTTACACTATAATATGTTTATAGTATAAACTTTATACACTTAACGTAATTACATTTTGACATAATTTTTTTTTAATTTCAATATACATTACATAACATATTTATAATTATTACAACAAATAACTAAAAATTACTTAATATTAAAATGTTTTTGTAATTATTATGAGAAGTACTGTACTTACCATTTGTTAATATTGTTAATATTGTTAATATTGTTAATATTGTTAATATTGTTAATATTGTTAATATTGTTAATATTGTTAATATTGTTAATATTGTTAATATTGTTAATATTGTTAATATTGTTAATATTGTTAATATTGTTAATATTGTTAATATTGTTAATATTGTTAATATTGTTAATATTGTTAATATTGTTAATATTGTTAATATTGTTGTTAATATCGATTTATGTGTAAATTTAGTGTATAATTAGTTTTTTTATCTATTTTCATATAAATTATGTTTTTACACAGTATTACACAAATATAATTCGTTTGATATTTATTGCCAACAATTTATTAGTAAAAGAAAATATCTATCTAAATATATCAAATTATTTTTTAATTTTTAATTAATTATAATCAAATAATAGTTAATTATTACTATATTAATAATAGACTACATTTTAATACTTTACTGTTGATCTATTATATATTATACGTAAATGTATATTATTCTGGTATTTAATTTTTGTAAAATTGTAAATTATTGATATCATATGATTAAAATGTTGATATAAATTATGTGATGTATTGTATTACAAATTACAATTTAGAAGTAGATGTTCTGTATTTTTAAAAATATTTTTAGATGTAATGTAAAATTAATTGTCAACAAAAAAATATTTTAACCTAATTTAGAACAGAAACTCTAATGATATTGAAATTTAATAATAATTTAATAATAATTTAATTATAATTTAATTATAATGTTGAAAATTAAAGTTATAAAAATAATAGATTATTAAAAACAGACAGCAATACTAATACAAGATATTATGTAAGACTTTAGTAATTTTAGATAAAAGTGCAATTAATTTGTATTGTTTTTCAAAACTTAATGTTAATATGACAATATATTGATATATTAAAAATAAATAAATAATAAATATTAATATATGATCATAAATAACTGCAAACATTTAATTATTATAATAAATTTAACTACATTTATAAATACTTATTTAAAATTTAATAATATTAAATATAAAATTAGCAAAATTTTAATTATATTTCTTTTATAGTGTATACTGTATTTTAGTTTAATATAAATAGATAAGTAATAAAATAATAATAATTTTAGTACAAAATATTAGGTTTTGTATAATTAATTAATTTAACTGATTTTTATATTTTAACAAAATTAACTACAAATTTTTCTGATCATTAATTTTGGTGGACAGTCGTTAAATAGGACACAATTTCCAGACCATTCATCTCTGAGATATCCAGTCTTGCAAAGACATGTCGGTTCCTCTTTAAATGTCTGACATAGAGGTCCGGTAGGGTTTTGACACGTATGATAACAGACAGGTGTTGTGTCCGATAGTATTTCATTATGACTATGTTTGCACATTAAATCTTTAAACAATATATTTATTTAAAAATATTTTATATACAGTATAAGTTAATTAATAATTTGAATAATTAATAATAATAATTTAATACATTATAATATTTTTAATAATTAATTGTTAAATACTTAAAATAAATTATTCTAAAATCAAATTGCAAAAAAACATAATTTTAAAATTTTAAAGTTAATAAAATTTAAATAAAATTAATATTATTTATAATAATAATTTTTGTAAAATTATAATATAAACTATTTCAAAAAGACAACTTTTATATATAACATTTAAATATTAGCAGTAATTACCTGATTTACATAAAATTATCAAATTAGTAATGAAAATAATTAGAAATATTTTCATATTTAACTTTTACAAAAGTATTTAAATATTAAATTGTTAAATGTATAATAATTTTTATAAATGATAATTAATTTTTGTAAATGTACAATTTATACTGCAATTATTTCATGTTTATATTTTAATTTACGTAAATAATTTAAAATTATTGATAGTGAAATATTATATTATCTAAATTACTTTTATTTTAATAAAATTATATATTTTATCTTAATTTGCTATTTATTATTAACAAATATTAAACATAATAAATTAATTTAGGAAATTTGGCAAATATTTTAGTAAACATGTCATATAATAATGATTTAATTTATTAAAATAATAATTCTAACAGTTTAGCAATTTTAAAAAGTAAACATTTTATAATATAAAATCATAAATATTAATATTTTAGACCTTTGAAAGAAAATCATTTTTTAAAATTTGCAATTATTAATTTGTAAATGTATTTATTTAATAAAATAATAAATTATATTTATAAAGTAACATTTTAATTATAAATTTGCCAGCATTAATTTATTAAAACAAAATATACATGTATCATATAATATTAATTAAATATTACTTAAAAACAAAATTGAACTTAACTTTTAAAAATTTACTTTAAATTCAGTTAAAAAACTTATAAAATTATAATTAGAAAAACTCAAATAATATTTAACTTTTATTACTTATAGTTATCAAATTTTATTTTTAAATAGAAAACATTTATTTAGGAGGACAGTCAGCTTTTGGCACACAATTTCCGGATACCTTATCCCGTAAATAACCATTTATGCAAAGACATGACGGCTCATCTTTTATTGACTTACACAGACCTCCGTTTGGCTTTTGACAGGTTTGTAAACATACCGGTGTTATCGGTGAATATTTTTCATTGGGTTGTTTGCACCTGTAATCAAAAAATACATTATACAAAAAGTTTTCTTTTATACTGTTATATTATATAACAATTAGATTAATGATTAGTAAATATTTTTTAAAAACAAATAGTATATAGAAATAAACAATTTATAAAGTAGTAAACATATGATTACTGTGGCGGACATCAAGTTTGAGGTATACATCTATTGTTGACTTTATCTCTAACCGTGCCTTTGATGCAAACACACGACGGTTCCTCTATTATTGCTAAACAAGTTCTTGGCGTTAAATATGGACAACTTGGAGGACAAGCAGATCTCGATTCCTTAAATTCCTCATTTTGTTTGCAAACCAAATCTTTAAAATAAATATTTTATAATTATTCATACATCAAAATAACTTAATTTTTTAATTTTTATTATTAGTAAATTTAATAAATACCTGATTTACAAATGCCAACTAAACTAATCAGTAAATTGATCATGATAATTTTCATATTTATTTTTAAAAACGATATTTTCTATAACTCTTTAAAGGAATAAATACTATACTAAAGTAAAAATATATTTTACATTAATTAATAAACTTCTTTTTAAAGTCAATTGTTTGATATTAAATTGCATTATATTTATAAATAACTATTGTTTGTCTTAAACAGATTGCAAACTTAGTTATTAACTAATAATGAGTTAACAATAAACTGGTGTATGATATTTATTAAATATAATAATTATTTGTCATATTTAATAGAAATCTTAATTACAATCATAAATCAATATTTTGTACTTAATTTATATTGAATATTAAATAGTTACTAATCTTACACAATCTATTTAAGTTTAAAATAAATTATAATCAACTAAGAAAACAATTATTATTTCTAAACATAAGATTGTATTTTTTATAAAATAATAAAATAAATTAAAATTCAATATATTTTTATTAATTGCCAACTTATTTATCTAAACAAAATTGCAATACAGTTTACTATATGAAGTATTATTTTGTATTTTTTTATATTTATATTATAAATTATTACAATATAAACTAAATTTTGCATTTTAATCAAATAACAATTAGTAAAGTTAAGTAATTTACTAAGAATTACAAAACTATATTATTTCTAAACACTTCTTAGAAAATTAATAAATATTATATTTTTTATATTTAATTATTATAAAGTTTGTACAAATAATAATAATAAATAAACTTGTATATACATATATTTAAAAGATATTAATATTTTATTAACTTTATAATTTTATTAATATATATTCAATAGATTCTTTAAAAATATAGAATATTAATTTATGCAATAATTTTAATGAACAAAATTATTAGTTTTATAATTTACACTTAAAATATTAATTATAAATATAATTTAATATGTTTATTTTTGTAGTTTATAAGTAACACTTCAATATAACTATAATTTTGATATAAAAATAGTAATGTTTACTAATTATTTAATATTTTATTAAATGTGTTAATAAATAAATTAACTAAAATTTAAAAATATATGTTTTTAAATCAAATATATTATTGAAAATTACTTACCTTTCAGATATTTTACATTACAAGTTTCTATAATATTATGAAAGCACATATAATAAAATAAATGTGAAACATAAATTAATTATATTATTATAACTCTATTTTAAATAAAAAACAAAATCATATTACATTACAAGTTTTATTTCAAATTATATCATAACATAATTTATACATTTATAGTAAATTAAATAAAAATTAATAATCTATAGTGTAATAAATTGCAAATTGTTTAATAACAAGCAAACAAATGATTATTATTTTGGTGGACAGTTAGCTTTTGGTACACAATTTTTAGACTTTTCATCCCTAAGATAACCATTTATACAAAGACACGACGGCTTATGTATTTCACCAAAACATATGACTCCCGACGGTCTTTGACAGGTATAGTAACAGATAGGCGTCCACTCACTGTATACTTCATTGGATTTACAAACCAAATCTTTAAATTTATAGAAAAAAATATTAAAATTCAAATATAAAGTTATAATAAATTTTGTTAAAAATTTCTAAATACCTGATTTACAAACAACAACTAAACTAATTAGCAAAAGAATTGAAATTGTTTTCATATTTTAAATAATGTTATGTTTTTTGAATAACTTTATAGATTTATTGACTCTATCTTTGAATAAACAATTGTATGTTTAGTTAATATTTTTGTTTAACTGCTTTATATTTATACTATAGATACCAATTGCAAAATTGTTATTAATTTTAACGATGAGTTAACAATAAAATATAATATTTCCAAATAAACTTTGTTTTCTGGAATGTATATATATATTATACACACTGTGTATTACACACATACATAAAAATGTTTTATGCTAAAGAAATTAATAATATTTATGATATATTTAAATTAAACATTTATTTTAATAAATTTAGTAAAAAATTATATAATAAATATTTTTATACTATAATAATTATTTCGTAATTTCATATCTTGATGATAATAAAATTTTATCATTTTATTATTTATTAAAAATTAATGTAATTATGTATTTTAAGGCTTTTTACCATTAATATCAAATATATAAAAGTATTTAACCTTTTAATAACTTATAAAACCTTTTAATAATTTATTTAATTTAAAAATTTATTTCTTTAATTATTATTTTAAAAAATAATATTTATTTCGAGTTTAAAATAAATTATCTAAAATTTCTATATCTTAATGGCTTTTAATACTTGTATAATAATGGTATACATTTACATCATTGTTAAAAGTTAAGTTAAGTACAATTGTATACAATTAAGTCATTAATTAATATAAATATAACTTTTGTATCAATAAATAAAAATATTATTTTTTAAAATTACAATACTTTTTATTAAAATAATTTTTATGTTAATTAAACGTATTATTTATTAACAATCAGGTTATTTAGAAACTGCTTAATATAATTAGATTTTTAAAATAAAAAACATTTAAATGTTTGCTTAGACTTGAATTTTATGTAATAAAATTCAAACACAATTTCGTGATTCAAGGCTTACTACAGATTCATTGAAATGCAATCAAAATTAATACTGTATTTACATAAAACTTATGCTGTGTTTGACAAATATTTTATGCATATATTTTAATAATAATAATATTCATATATAATATATAATAATAATATCTGGATAATTGATGACAAAATTTATTATACAAACTAAAAAAATATTGTCATTTAATTTCTATAAAATGTTAAAGAAATGGTAAACTGTTTACAGCTATGGTTGACCTCAGTTGGTATCAAATTGTTAGTGATATCTGTGATAATAAATGTCATATTAAGAGATGCAAATGCCTTCTTCATGACGGGACTTATGTTTAGGCGACGAATACGACGACCCGGTTATAAGATAACACTTTTAGATTTTAATGTTTTTTATTATAAATTATAATTTAATTCAATGAATAGCTCAGACTGTGATTATCGTTAGAAACGGTGGTAATGGTAATGGTATACTCAACTACCCGTCCGGCTATAAGGAAATGATATTATCTATCGGAGCATTTTGTGGTGAATAGTATTTATAGTTATTTATAGTTGTAATTAATAGTAAATTTTGTTTTGTTTGTTGAATATAATTAAAGTTAAGGACCATAAGTGTGTGTCGACCGACACACAGAACGCACTCTACGCGTGCCTTAAGGACAGCAACAATAGTACCGCCGCTTATGTCGAAAAGTTCCAGAAGTGTACCACTGGTAGGACCGAGGGTTGCGATAAGGCAGCCATGAGTGGACTTCAACAGTGCGCCGCAAAAATGGCCACAAACGGTAATCCGCCGAAAATACCGAAACCAAACAGTGAGTGTATGCGGGAGTCGTTGACAATCAAGAACTTGGAGTGTCTCAGACAGAAGTATCCATCTTTTGATAAGTTGTTTCCACTCGACGCCAAACCTCAGGGAGGAGGAGGAGGTGGAGGCGGAGCCAACAAATCGCCCAAAGCTAACAAACCTGTCGCTAAAAATAAGCAAAATAACAGAAAAATATCTATTAAAACGTAAAAATAGTTATTTTATTAGCTGTTAATAGTTATACAATAGATAAATAAATTATATAATTATTTTTGATGTGTTATCTAATAAAATCTTTGATTTTTTATTTATTTATGCAATATTTTAATAATTTATATTTTTATGATATAAACTTTTTTTTAAATATAGTAATAATCATAACTTATATGATTCATAACGCTTTTAAAACTATTTTATTATTACAATTAAGATTAATTGTAATTAAGCGTAAGAATAATAAAATAAATTATTTTATTAATAAAATTTAAAAAATAAACATATGATATATTAAATTAACTTAATATATAAGTTTTATTGTTGTCTTAATAGTAGTCAATTTGTTTTCATAAACTTTGATACATTGTTACAATTTGTAACTTACAAATAATAATAATTAAATTTACAATTATAGTAAAATCAAATTGTTAATAAATATTAAATTTGTTAGTAACAAATTGTTACCCATTTTTATATACCGATTACAACTATATTATTGTACAGTAAAAAGATATCAAACATTTACTGAAATAATTTCTAGACTACACTACTGTCACAATAAATTATAGTCTACTGTACAATACTGTATAATACTGTACATTATTTTATTAATTTTTTTAACTGTTAAAAGATTGGGAAGATTAGCTCATAAGTACTGTACAATAATATTATCTATGAATTTACTATTTTATGTGTTCCCGCAAACTTCATAAACTTGTTTATATTTAGTACAAAACTCTAATTTAGTTATTGACTAATTAATTAATTATATTATTATATAAATTAAATTTTATCTCATTGTTTGTCATCTAATTGCGGAACAATTAAATTTCAATTACAAACTTTTCCCATAAAAATTTTCTCTAACCCTTTATTATATACAATCAATGCTACTGTAAATATTGACTTAATGCTGTAAACTGTACATAAATAATAGATAATATACTACAGTCAATCTTTGTTTTAAAGTGCATTAAAATATTAGCAATTAATCAATTTTTTAATACAGCGTTAACTTTAATTGAGTATTAAAGTTATTTCAGTACTACTGTATTAAATATTAAGAGATTTAAAATAATATCCTTAATAATTATCTACATATATATTGTACAGTATGTATGGATATATTGATAAAATGTATTTAATAAACAATTTGTTAAAAAAACTATATGTATATAAATTACATTAAATAACATTACAATTTGGGAAATCGATAGCTATAGAAATACTAAGATATAAATAGAAATAAATTGATTATCGGAAAAATTAATAATTTTATTGTTAAGTTTTTTAAAAAAATAAATTTTATTTTGTGTGTGACATTGTGATACATTGTGGGTGAAAATTTAGATTTTTTTAAAAGTGATTTATTAATAGCTAATTATAATATGTATAATTTAGATGTAATTTACAATATATAAAATTCTGGTTTATGTTAATTCAGTAGTTTTTAATTTTTTTAAACAACTATACACTGTATAGTATACAGACACTAAATCGTTAGTAAATCAAATGTTTATTAAACCGAACGTCGACTGTAATTACATTTAATGTATATTACAGTAAAACTTATAATAAATTTTGCATTGAATTTGAAACTTTTGTTTGTGTTTATACATTGCTATCATAAGTCTATCAATGAATCACTTTTGAAAATTGCGATTATTTTTGTTTTTATATGTTTAATGAAATTTTTATTACTTATTAATTGACTTTTTTTTATTACTTATAATAATAGTAATAATAATAATAATTAGTAAATAATGAATAGATTTAAAATCCTATTTGAGTTAAACCAACAAAAGTATAGCGTTTACGTCGACAGCGACTATAAAGTGATTACATTTAAGACAGTATTGAATCAAATCAATGGTCAACACAAACAATGCATTGATTTGGACACACATTCAGTTGAGGTCAACAATCATTAATTAATTATAAATTTATGTCAAATTGTTTTCAATACTTTTTTTATTGTTTTCTTTGACTACAGATTTTTGATAAAGACTTCGAAGAGTATGTAGTGATCACCAGCGAGAACCAGATTATCGACAATTTGTCTCGACTTCGGGTCAAAAAACGGCAGACCAGTCATATACTGAACAATGAGTTGACCACAAAAAGCGACGACAACACCGAAGACAAGACTAACTCCACCAATGAAAATGTTGTCAAACCCTTTCTTCCTGAAAATGTTTTGCCCACTGAAGACAGTGTTATCGTCAGCGACGGCGCCGCCGATAAAGATATCGATAACAATATCGACAAAAAGTCGGATAAAAATATTACTAAAAATACTTTGAGAAAAATGTCAAACATTGATACCAATAATGTTAAGCAAAACAATGATTTGTTAAGCAAAAGCAAAGAGTTGTCAGATGATAGTAATAGTAGTGGTAGTGATGGTATAGCGATCAATGGGTTGGAAGATGATAATAGATGTGATGATATCAAATATATGTGCGATAAAGTAGTTGGAAGTACTGGAGATGAACCAGTTATTGAAAGTAAATCAAACATCGATAATGTGATTGACGCCATACATGCAATAGGCATCAAAAATGCTAATAAAGCTCAAGAAGTTATGGCAGAACTAATGCAAGCAATGAATTATCTGGATATTGAACTGACACACAGTTATCGGACATCAAGCGATTGTCTGTATTTACATTACAAGACTCATGTGATCAAAGTAGCCAATCAATCGGTGATTGCCATTAGATATCGTTACGATGACTTTCGTGCCATAATCTTAATGATAGACTTGATTAACACTAATAGACGTTGTTTTGAGAAGAATCCTTCGGACGATTTTCCTGAAAATAACCCAAAATGGATGACAATTTCAGATCAAATGATCATCAATGGCTTTGATGATTGGTCGCCGCAAAAATGTTTCAATGGTTTCAAATGTGCTATGGATTTGTATAAAAAGGTATTGTTTTTTGTTAGTAATTTTGTTTTTTATTTTATAATTTATTTTAAATAGTCATTAGACAAGTGTCCCGATCAGGACACGGCTGAGATGGTTAACCCAATCTTCACTTGGCTTAACTGGTTTGACATTAAATATGTGGTTGATTTGAGCGAATTTGAAGATATTCGCGATCTGAGACAATCGTTTGCCATAAAACGTCTTGAAAAACGCAAAATATTTGTTTCCAAAAAGTTTCCGTCAAATACTTCATTGAACTCAAACGTTTCAAACAATTGTCTTGAAAAACGCAAACTATTAGTATCTAAAAAGTTTCCATCAAATACTTCTTTGAACTCAAACGTGTCCATCACTTCCAATATCTGGTCTTTGAATGAACAGAAAATACACAACAAATATGGTTCACAACAGTCGTTGGTCTCGAATTGTTCGTCATATAAGCAAAAATCGCCACAAGATTATCAAAAAGTGAAAACTCGGTCCAAACTGGAGGCCATCGAACAGTCAAACCTTATGAAACTAAATCGGGTCTCAAATTTCAGCCAAAAGCGAATTAATGAATTTAAATTACTGGCCAAATGTGTCGATACAATTACCTCACAATTAGGAAACTTTTCGCGATTGAGAAACTTCTGGGAATTGGTATCAAATGAGATGACGGCTAACGGAGAAAACAAGTTTGACTCAGAAATGTGTCGATCAGTCTTCACTGAATTTGTCTGCGATTACTATGCTTTGGTAATCTATTTGTTTTAATAATCATTTGATTGAATTATTGCTTTTAATAATTTACAGATTATTATTAGTCATATTTTTTTATTTATTTTTAATCCCTTTTGACAGACATTGACCCATTCGAGTGATGAGAGAACCGCTTCCAATGCTTTTCCATTGTTTTCATTGATTCATTCAATGGATTTAAGCCAATCTCTGAGTACTTATTCCTACGAAAAGATTAAGAATTTAAGGGAAAAGTTTACTTCAAATTGTCTCAAATAAGTTAACTTTTTGTTGTTGTTGTTAATCATTATATTTCTCATTTGATTATATCATAACTCATTTATAAAATTGCTATAAAATTAATTTAATTGTGATTTTTTAATTTACACTAATAATAATATACAATCTATGAAGTAATTACAAGTACTGATAATAATTTAAACATTAAGTATTGAATTGTAAAATGATAAGAATTAAAATAATTTAAAACTAAAAATAAATAATTAACAATAAATAATAGTTATATAATTCAATATATATCGCAAAATATATTATATAGTATATCATTTGTCAATAAATTGTAAAAATATGTTAACAAAAATTTATATTTTTATAAAATATTAATATAAAAGTTAAAAGTTTTTAAAATTAATTTATTGACATATCATATACTATACTGTACTGACAGTATTGCAAGTTTGGGTATATATTGTGTTTGCATTTGGGATAGTATTCGATTAGACAGGTATTCGATTCATTAGATTATATTAAATATATAATAAACAATACATTCAATATTGTAAAAACATATTTCTACATAAAATTAATTATTTAAATGTTTATCAAAATTCAATATTTTTGATATGATTTTTAAAATATATTTATATTGTTTTTATATATATAATATTTAATTGTTTATTACTTCGAGGAAATAACTTAATAATATATGTATTTCTATTAATCTATTTCTAGAAACAACTAATAGTTTTTAAACTCATATATAAACTGTAACTTTGTTTTAAATATATTCATTATGTTATATCTAATAATGTGATCACTTGTCGCATGTTTTTAAATAAATGTTTTTAACCTAATTTTATTTAAATTTTTTTATCCTTTCAATATTAAAATGACATAATTATAGATAATATTAAACTCAAAATTATAGTAATTTGTCATTTTTTGATTATCGGTAATTGTAAAATTAACTATATAATAGCATCGACATAAAATAGCTAACTATTATCTAGTTCATTTTACAATTAATCAAAAAATGCCAAATGACAATAATGTTGAGTTTAATATTATCTATAAATATGCCCTTGGTCATTTTTAAATTGAATGTATGGTTTATCAGATATTTAATATAAACTAATAATTGGAATACATGTCTAACCGAATACTATCCCAAATGCATAACCATATACAGTCCTTATGATCTATCGAAAACTCGGGCCCTTTTTATATATATTACATATGTTTTTTGTGTAACTATATCTCTATTAAATAATTATATAATTACATAAATGATGTCGCATTTTTTTAAACAACTCATGACAATATGGTATTTTTTATACTTACCAAATGTAGCACAAAAAACATAAGTAACATAAATAAAAAAGTACCGAGTTTGTTCTGAAAATGTTTAGTGTATATCAACACTTGTAATACTGTATAAACAATTTCCTATTATTAATATACATGTATTAAAATTGTATAAATTTGTATAAAATTGTATAAATTTGTATAAAATTTACTATAATTACAGTAAGTTTCATGTAATTATGCTTAACATTATACTTACGATTGCCAGGTCTCTCACTATATTTTGCCGGATTGTTCCCAACAGATACAACTGTTTACTGTTTTACAAAAGTTTACTGTTTTATTATAAAGAAAAAACTCATAATTTATTTAGTTATTTATAAAATTAATAACATTTTAAATAAATTTAATATATATTAATTAGTATTACTTAGATAATTAAAAAATTATAATATTTAATATTAATTTTAAAGTTATACTATTAATATTACATTAATATTAATACAATTCCGGACAATGTATGGTTCGGCACAACCACTACCGGAAACTGGTTATTGTACCTCAATATCGGATTATCCGACGCGTTATGCCTGACCTGACAGTCATACTTATATTGTATACACTGTAGGGTTGGCAGACATAAAATGTTTGTATAAGTATTATACAGTTGAGTATAATTCAATGTAAATTTACAATACATTACATAACAATTTTGTTATACAAAACAAAAGTTAGCGACAGATTCAGTACCAAAAACATTGATAAACACAATGTATAATAAATATAGATTTGATATCTATTTTATTATTATTATTAGAAAACAAAATATTATACAAATTATTATTTAAAAAAATAACGAGTTCTCTAACACTTAAATTGTGATTAAATAATTTTTTATAAATTTTCTAACAATTTATATTAGTTTTTAAAAATGTATTATACATATTAATACGTATTATACAAAATCAATATTTAAAACCTTGTATTTATCCAACCCTTGTATAGAGTACTCTAAACTTGAGAAACAATCAAAAGTTTATAAATTTATGAAAAGTTTATATTATATTAATTTTCAGTTATAGAGTAATAGTGTGTAATAGTGTGTCAAACGGTATAATACAAACACAATCACACTATACGTACAACATATGACTTACTGACCAATAAAACAGTGATTGTATTGATTGTCAACAAAATAATTGTCATATAATATGAATGCCATTAAAGTATTGATTGAATTGAATGAACAAAAGTTTACGATTTGTGTCGTCGATAATAGTCATCACTTGACTATAAAGTCGGTATTGGATCAGTTGAACCAACAACACAAACAATTAGTCCATTTGGACACACATTCAGTTGAGGTCAGTATTTATTATCACCGCATCGGTCACTATATATATATATATAATATACATATTATCATTGTATGCATTGCTTTTGGTTTTGACAGATCTTTGACCATCAAATTAATCAATTCATTTGTATGGCCACTGATGACGATATTATCGGCAATTTGGCACGTCTTCGGGTCAAAAAACGGGACAACAATCAGATTATGAATAACGAGTTGACGACAAACCAACAAAAGGTTGAATACTTGAGCACTAAAAATGATTTATCGGTCCATAAGATGTCGACGACTAAGCAAACGTTAAATGACTTTGAAATCAATGATTTCGATGATATAACTAATTATATGTTGAAAAAGCGGTCTAATTCTGAAAATAATGTATTTAATGGTAACAATGATTTGGTATCCGATAAGACTGTCGACAAATTAATAGGCGATAGAAGTGGTGACCATAATGTCGGAAAAGACGATACGATTAAAGCTAAGACCTATAATGGCAACAAAGGAGTCATACAAAAACGTAATTTCATAAATTATTTGGACATTGAATTGACTTCGGTTTATAAGATGACCACCGATTTACCACATTTGCATTACAAGACATATGAGACCAAAATTGATTGTATGTCTGTCATTGCCATCAGATTTCGGGCTATAGATTATGACTCTATTTGTTTGTTGATTGATTTATTGGACATTAATAGACGATGTTTTCAAATGAATGCATCTAATAGTTCGGCAGATGTTAGTCTAAAGTGGATCACAATTTCCATTCAAATGGTTAATAATGGCTTCAAGAAGTGGTCGCCCGACAAATGTAGAGACGCCTTCAGATCAGCTCTCAATTTGTATAAAAGGGTATGGATTTCAAAGGTTTTATATTTTTATTTAAATTTGTAATTTCTTAACTAAATTATAGACATTGAACTCGTGTCCAGATCTGAATACCGCCAATAAAGTTAATCCATTGTTTTCGACATTTTATTGGTTTGATCTAAAATTTATTGTCAATTTGCGAGAATTCAATGAAATCCGAGACCTAAGACAAGAGTTTAATAGAAAACTACAAAACAGCCGACGTTTTAAATCTGTTTCACGAAAGTATCCGTCAAATGTTTCGCTGAATATTTCATTTTCAGTCAATGACCACAAAATACACAACAGATTTAACTCAAATCATTCATTGACTAGTAATCGATCAGATTTTGACCGAAATTACCGAAACAATGTTCAAGCAAATCGTGGCCGAGATTTAGCTTATTCTAAAGCATCAATGAAAACTGCAAGCAATGATACGGGAAAAATGAAAAAGATATCTAATTTACCGAAAACTCAAATCATTGAGTTTAAAGCATTGGCCAAATCTATTACAACAATTACTGGAAAGTTTGGTGGCATTACAAAAGCTACAAACTTTTGGCAATTGGTTTCCAATCAAATGTTTGTCAACGGTTTCAAGCACTTTGACTCCGATACATGTTATTTGATTTTCAGAGAGTTTGTCTGCGATTATTATGGATTGGTATCATATTTATGTTATTTTGAAATAATTTTTGTAATAATTTTACGGTTATAATAATAATATATATGTCTTAATTATACAGGTATTGAAACTATCGAAAAGCTATAAAAATGCCGTTAAAACGTTTGAGTTGTTTCCACTAATTCATGCAATGGATTTGCAACCATGTCTTACCTATCAATCATTTGATAGGATTAAGAAACTGAGAGATGATTTTGCTAATTATACCCGTCCTATCAATTTTACATATTTTTATTAAATTTGATAATTTTGTTTATAATAATTACCATAATTAATATGTTTAATTGATTTAAGGATTTTTTTTCTCAATAAGTATTTCTCAATTACTATTTATATAAGAAATTTAAGTTGTTATTAAAACATTTTCTATTTGAAAATACAATTATGATTTAAGAGCATAGCATTTCAATTATTGATATTTTGTTGGAAAAATTACAAATAACATTGAAATCAATAAGAAAATGCGAAAAATTGCAAATAAAATTTTTGAAAATTGTTGATATTATGATAAATAATAGTTTTAATTAAATAAAACTATTGATTGTATAATTAAATAGTATTCATATGTACCGTAAATTATAAACAAAAGAAATTTAATTATAAAAAAATTCTATAACAATATTTTCACTTTAATTTATTTTAATAATTGATTTTCTTTCTATATTTATCCTAATATGAACTTTTACAATACCAGTGAATTGTAATATACGGTAATTATATTATAAATAAGTAAAACAATAATTATAAGATTTTTTTATTTCCAATAAGAAATAAGTAAAAATTATATCAAATATTAATGTTAAATAAATTTTAATTTTGTACATTAAATGTTTAAAAATCATAATGCATTTGACTGTTTGTGCAGATAATGTGAGTTTTAATTTAGTTTATAATCATTTATAATTTTATATAATATAAGATTATATTATATTATTATTACGATATAAATTTATAAATTATGTAAAAGTGGTCACCATATACAGTGTTACAAAACAATACTAACGGCAATTTTGAAATTTTTGGATTAACTGGAAAACTATGGAATAGCTTCACTCAAACTTATAATATAAGGTATTATTATTAGTATTTAATATATTTATTATAATTGTAATATAATTTAAAATAAATTATAAATAAAGAAAATAATGTTAGTTATTTTATTTTAGTTATATTTTTAATTTATAGTGATAAAATATTTTTTTTACAATAATTTATTTATTTGTATTAATCTTAGTTTTACAGTTATCAGACCAAGTGATGGGTTATGGGGTCTCAAAGTGAACGGTTCGTGGAATGGTATGATCGGTAAAGTATTTACAAATGTAAGCTTTTATATAAAATTATTTGTATAAATAAATTAAAAGAAATAATTTATATATTTATATTCAATAAAGATATGTCAACTAAGTTTGGGTCCCTTTGAATATATGTCCGACCGCTTGGAAGCAATTAATTATACAAATAGTTTATTTACGGACTTAAATACCATTATCACAACTGCCAATACCATACAGTCATACTATACCGATGTTTTACAACATATCCATCAAATTGATTATCAGTTTTTGACAGCAATTATTATATCTTGTTTTATAATTACATTATTAATAATTTTTTCAATAAATTTGTCGTCAAATTATATTGAAAAGACTTTGGATTTAGTATTAGTTAAGCTTTTTCTCTTAAAAGGCAAGTTTTAACATTTACGGTACTTTTATTTATATATTAATACTGTATATTCATTTAATACCTAAATATTATTCATTGTATATATTAATGACAATTGATTTTTAATAAACTTTATATTATAGTAAACAGTTCATATAAATTGAACAAATGGACATTAATTCATATAATATTTATTATAAGTTTTATGTTTTTATGGTTTTATCTGAATTCAATGATCAGTTCAGACATACTGACTCTCAAAGAGGACAATCAGATCAATAGTATCAGTGATTTGCTCAGTAATGACCACATGTTGCCTGTCGTGTATACCGACAGTGCATTTCTCTATCATCTAAAGGTTTTTAATTATTTAAAAATATGATTATCTAATAATTTATATGACATTCAATTTATTGATACAATTATTGTTAATAGAAGTCGAATCGTAAAGAATCTGTAGATTTATTAAATAAAGTGAACGACAATAAAAACAAATCGTTTGTTACGGAAAATCCATTCACTAATAACTGGTATCGCAAGGAGTTTATGGCCCGTCGGTTGGCATTCATCGACAGTCAGAGCACTGTATTTGCAACGAAAGCTATTCTTTGTAAATACAATTCAGACATTAGATTACATGTGGCCGACAAAGTCTGGACAAACTCTAAATATCTTTCAATGGTTTTCTCTAAATCAGTTCAGTCGCTATCGTTTCAATTTATTATACAAAAACTAAATCAATGGTAAAAAAATTAATTTGCATACAATTTGTTGTCAATAATTAAAACATAATAAACAATTTGTTTCTGATATTGTTTTTCATTTTTTTTAAAGGATTAGTATTAGTCATACATCAGGACATATCAGCAAATGGATTGAACAGCAAAAGAAAGCGATGAGTAATGAAAAAAATTGTTCAAAATTTAAGAAATGTTTTTATTCAACCCTTAAATCGTTCAAAAAGAAAGCAATTGTTATAAAATTTAGTTTTTTGAAATCTATGATTAAAATTATAGAAATATTGCTAATATTGGCAACAGTTGTCTTGATTTACGAGCAAACATTTTTATCAAATATCAATATAATTGATAAAATTATCAAAAAATTATCAATATTTTATAAAAAATAATTTATACGGTAATTAATTTATATTATTTATATATCAGACAAATTATTGTAAGTTTGTATAATATTAGATAAACGCATTTTTAAATCTATTTTTTGAATAAAATAAATTTATTAAAATAATTATCTTATCTGCAAATTCACATTATTATTAATTTGTCTGATTATCAACTCTATGTCCACACCTTATCTGCCATACCGGACCCAATCGGAACCCCTTTCGCCGATCATCATTGAACAGGCATTGGTGTTAGCATTGACTATCTTTGGCATAATTGACGCGTCGATTACTCGCAAATTGTTGACACCACGAACTCGCAACTGATTGTCGACAACGGCTTCGGGATCAGATGCAGTACCCATACGACATGTTCCTATAAAATATAGATTTTTAATTGTAATCAATATCGGAAGTCAGTAATCAATATCTTACTGTTACTGAACAATATACTGACCGATGGGATGATAGGATGTGGCAGTTATGGTCTGCGCCACACAAGCCAAGTATGAGTAGCACTCATAATAAGGTGTGCCATCGGTACACAATTGACAGCCAGGAATTGTATGGTTGTAAATGCGGCCGAACTTTCTAAAGAAGGGCTGTTCGGTCATTCGCATACCAGTGCTCATCGTATCAACGACTACTCCCAGATCATAATTTTCGGCAAAATAGTTGGGATCAATAAGCGGAGCGTCTAAGGGATTGGTTGACGCCAAACGAACGGTTCCTCGACTTCTTGGTCTGTATACGGCATAAAAAATCCAGAAATGTCTCTGATCTCCGGCCAATCCCTTCCAGTATTCGGCCCATTCCTCAACATTCTGACCATATTCTCCCATTGCAACCGATATATTCATACCTAAAGTTGATAATAAAAGCAATAATAAAATAAATTATTAAAAATCTGTAATCAGTGTTTAACCAATTTGTGATGTAAGAGTTGCTCTAATGCCATCGGGCCAGTCGGGGTTGTCATTGAAACGGGAACTGTGATAAGTTAGTATAGTTGGCAATTGAGTGATCGGTCCGTCAGCGTTGACATAATAATCGTAGAGATTTTGGACAGTCATTATTGAATCTAAATTTCTTGACCATTGAATGTCCGATTGATTTTCCACCAAATAGTTCATTGGTATTAAAATGTGATCCTGAAGATTGTTGCCAACCGGCAAGTCTGCCTGAACTGGGATACCTAAGTCTTGGAGGTGCTGTCGGGGACCGATTCCCGACAACATTAAAATCTGCGGACTATTAGTGCCGCCTATTTATCAATAATTTTTCAAAATTTTAATATAAAAACTCGTTTAGAAAATTTTGGTTTAAAATACCAGCCGATAGTATGACTTCCCGTCGGGCACTGACTTGATATGTCATATCATTTTTTAAAAACTCGACGCCAGTGGCAGTCAAACCATTTGTCATATTTTGAAGCAAAACTCTGGTCACATGTGATCGGCAAACAACGTGCAAATTATTACGGTTTTTGATCAATGGATATATAAAACTGGATGCCGTCGAGGCTCGGGTCCAGTTAGAGGGCACCGCTGCCTGTTGTATCAGTGCTGTAAAATCAATATATATTTATCTAATAATTCATATAAAAATGTTAGAAATCATTTACTAGTTCCTCTCTGTGTGGGCCCATTAAAGTCAATTGTAGGCCAGCCTTCCCGTCCCCACGCTTCCATATATCTTAATAAAATAGGATCGGGATTGGGAGCCGAAGCGATTGGCATTTGACCAGACGTTGAATGGTAGGCAAAGTTGGCGGCATAGGCCGGGTTTGTCTGGTTTTCCATACGTAGGAAATAAGGCAACACATCGTTATACGACCAACCGGTGGCACCATATCTATTGGCCCAGTTATCGTAATCGCGTCGATTGCCTCTATTATAAATGGCATAGTTGGTCGCCGATGAACCGCCTAATATACGACCTCTCGGATAAATGATACGTCTGTCCTTAAAAGCAAACCCTTTTGGCAAACAACCAAAATATGTAAATATAAAATATATTAATAAATATTTATTAAATACCGGCTCTCTTTTGGGGGGTTGTCATATAATGCCAATCGTTTTCACCTATCATACCAATCCAAGCATTGGCCAACATGTCAGTGATGACTGTTTGTGGACCGCCGGCTTCAAGCAACAAGACATTGATGTTGGGGTCTTCCGTGAGTCGGGCCGCTAGTATACATCCGGCACTACCGGCGCCTATAATAACATAATCATAAGTACTGTTCCATTGGCTTCGGTTGGCGGCCTCGTTGTGCAACAGTTGTCTTTGCAGTGATATTATCGATATTGTAATCAATTGAACGGATAGACTCTGAGCTATTAAAGTCATTGTTTGTTTCGTTATACTGATGTTGCCGTCAATCACATCAATGCAATTGTGATCATTTCATTGCATTTTATTAATCATTTTCTCCACTAAGCCATTACTATAACTGTTATAATAACCCGTATTTTTACAATCATTATAATAAATAATAAAATAAATTTTTATATAATATATTGTAAAGATAATTAATTAAACCACTATTTGTGCTAATGTTTAATAAAAATTTAATAAATTATTATAAAATTTATTTTTGTTTGTTATTCTGCTAAATGAGGGATTTATTTCAGTTTTTAAAAATAAATTATTCATAAGATTGTCTGTATTTTATTTAGTTTATTAATAAACAAATAAAAAATAATATAATTATTATTAAAATCTTAAAAAATTGATAGACAAGTCAATCCCCATACCATACATCCCATGTATTATTATGATAAATAGGGTTAGCATTTGAATCAATTGGTTTGTTTAATGGCGGAACAGCTGTACGATTGTATTGTTGTATACTTTGCCACAATTGAGTGACAATTTGTGGAAAACTTTTGGCCACATTGTTTAACTCACACGGATCTGATTTGATATCATATAAACACAATTCATGATTGAGATCACAGTTAGATTTATTCATATTTTTCAAATCACATTCAAGTTTTGTTTTTTCAAAAATATCAAAATTTATTTTACGATTCATTTGTTGCAATACTTTATACACAACAGACTGGTTTCGTTGTAAATCAACTTTGAAATCATTGTCTTCATCGAAACTTTGTGACCATAAATCAGATTCGGGTGACATATCTTTAGGTACCGATCCCTGGATTAGTTTCCATTGATTGATAATAATGGATGACATATTCCAAATGGGATCGATATTCAATAGTAACTGATTTTTATTTTGACACTTCTTTGTATTTAATGTCTTCCACTGAGAAATGCCATCGAATTTGTGCCGATTTTGGTCATAAACTTTTGGATCAATAGCTTCTAATATTGTCGGCAACCAATCAAACACTTGTATGTATGAATCGGATATATAACCAGAATTTTTCAACAATGGACTCCATATAAATGCCGGTACTCTTACCCCTCCCTCCCAAAGTGTGCCTTTGGTGCCTCTCAATGGATAATTTGAACCATAGTTTTCTATAGTTTTTAATCAAAAGTAAATTAATTAATTTATTAAAATATTTTTAAAAATAGTAATCAATTGAAATACCCATAAACCCACTGATGGCGCCTCCATTATCACTGACAAACAATATGATTGTGTTATTTAAGATATTCTTGTAATACAATTGCTCTACAATTCTACCAATTGATTGATCCATTGAGTATAAAGTGGCAGCAAATAAACGTCTTTTCTCGTCTTTAATAAAACTAAACTTTTTGACCAACTCATTGGGCGCCTGTAGTTCAAAGGGACTGTTAGCTGAATGCATGGCTTGATAGGCCATATATAGAAATAATGGTCGAGTATTGTTGTTATCGCTTATCAGTTCAATGGCTTTGTCAGTAAAATAATCTGTTGAATAGATACCGTCTGAATCACGAATTACATCCAAGTTATGCCTGAAATCAAGTCCTTGGAAACCCCTTTCTTTCATCCAATGATTATAATAGTCCTCAAAACCACCCCAATTGCCCGTATGGTCATCGAAGCCACGACTTGTCGGTAAATAATCTTTGCTAAAGAAACCCAAATGCCATTTACCTATAGCTTGAGTGTTATATCCCATGTCTTTTAAATATTGAGGAAGTAATTTGTATTTCAATGGTAAACCCCATGGAGAACCACTCATAAGGACAAAATGTTGAGTCCCGCTATGTATGGGATGTATGCCTATATAATAGTATTAATAATAATACTAATAGTATCGGCAATATATTAACAAAAATCAATTTAAAACAACAGTTTAAAAAAGACCATGTTTAAAAAACAATATGACTTATCATTAAATAACAAATATGCAGTTTATAATAAAATAATTGTTTCAAATAACTACTGGACATACTATACCTGTAAGTAAAGCTCCGCGACTTGGACTGCACAGCGGTTGTGTGTAATACCTGTCCAAAACTACGGCATCGGCAGCTAATGAGTCGATATTGGGTGTCATCAAGTGTCGGGAACCGTGATATCCTATGTCATACCGGCCCAAGTCATCCGAAACAAAGATTACAATATTTGGCTTAATATTTCCTAAATAACTACATTTTATTTGATATATTATTATTATTATTAACAAAATTTTCATATTATTGTCTCTTTTAGATTTAGAATAAAACTAAAATTGCAAATTTTTACTTAAAAAAACAAAAATAATATACAGTACTATGTAATGAAAATAAATACAAAAATCTAATCATTAAATAAACACAATATTTTATATAAACAAAAAACACTTTTGCAAACACTGTTAATGAGGCAATTAAAATGTTAGAACTAAAAATACTTTTACAAATAAAAACAATTTAATAAAACATAAATTTATTATATAATAAAACAAGTTTTAAAAGTAAATTAAGATTATAAGACTTGATAGGAAACCTGTTGATGTGATTATGACTTATTGAAACCAAAATATTCAAAACACAAATTCAAATTGTGTGTAACTTTCATATAATTAGTGTAATAAAAATGAATCACATTTAGATAAAACAAGATATTATACTAAAAACATAAACAAACAAAAAACAAAATTATTATTTTTAAAATATATTTAAAAAATTAAATCAAAAAAATAGTCAGTAATTATTGATATAGCACTACATTTTAAAAGCAAACAATTATTTATAAAATTATAATAAAGGAAATGAAATGCATTGTAAAACAAAATGATATCTAATGGAAATAGTTTTCAAAAAATTTAAGATAAAAAACATAAATCTATAAAAAAATATATTAAATAAAATAATAGTTTTTATCTTTATATTACATGTCATCAGACACTGAATGGTTATTCAAAGTGAATATTTTCCTCATATTATAATTAGGCGCCGAAATGGTTGGTCCGAAAGATATCTTTTTCGCCATTTTTCGGCTATTAATTGGTTCCATAAAATTGTCGGCAATTTGTGACTTGCGTTTCATTGATTCATTGAGATGTTGTTGAGTGAGTGCATCAAACAAGGGGTCGTCATCTCTATCTTTAATCTCTTCATAAATTTTCTTTGCCTTTTCATTGGCCATAATCTTTGTCATCAATTCTGGTGGAAATGTAAAATCAAATCTTGATCTCATTTCCTTCTTTCTCTTCAATGTTGTCATCAATGGTATCTTTGATTTGTTAAATGAATTAAATTCATTGTTTAGTTTTTGTTTAGCCTTTAGTTTTTTTTGCAATTGTTTAATATCAATAACTTTTGATTCATAATAATTGTCTTTAAAAGATACAATTTTTCCTTTATTTTGTGACTTTTGACCAAAATTTTTCTTATTATCCATTGATTTGTTAACAATTTTGACATTTGACTGTCCAATTGATTCTGTATTCATAAGAGTCAATTCACTCTTAGCATTGGCGGCCTTATCTCTACCCTTACGATAGGGACAAACGTGACTATTGTGGACATGTCTTCGAATGTTTGTAAAAGTTGCCGAAGATTGACAATTAGGCCAAAGACAGGAATACTTTTTGTTATCCAATTTATTCCACCATTTATTCAGATTGTCTTCTGAACACGGATTGTCCACTTCGAGATTTATGAGACGAAAACCACACAAATGGTCCAATTGGTGTTCACGGAGTGACTTCTTTGTGACGAATGATTTGTTACAATCATTAAGATTGCAGATAAAATCCAAAGACCTATCGGTCTTATTCATACAAGTCATGGATGACTGTTCACCGCTCGACTGGCCATTGCTTTCGTTTACCTTTTGGATAACATCTTTTACGTCGACTATACGGACCTTTTTGGTAGACACTGATGAATGTGTGGTTAATTCTGACGGTGTCGTCACAATCGATTGTGTGGCCACTTCTGACTTTTTGGCCACAACTGTTGACTGTGTAATTCGGGGTAATTGAGATTCACCATTGCATTCGGCCATCTTTAGTACGACATTTTTCACGTCAACTATACGAACTTTTTTGGTGGCCATTGCCGACTGTGTGGTCACTGCCGACTTTTTTGCCACTCTTGACTGTGTACTCAAAGGTGGTTGAGATTGATCACCGGCTACTTTATGGCCAGCATTGATCCAATGGCGACAATAATGAACATTATGAATGTGACGCTTCACGTCATACGGCAGTCCAATGTAGCCGCAAATGAGACACTGTCGTCGACTGCAACCGCTGTCATTACTGGGCGCCGGACCCCAGTATTGACTGAGACGAGTGTCCGAACAGTGGTCAGCGGTCGTCAGTTTGCGAACACTGAACCCACACTTATGGTATCGCATGACTTCGCAGACTATCTGGTCTTTGGAATCGTTTGCCACAATTGTCTATTTCACAGACAAATTCAGAGTCGGGTTTCATCTTACAAACCACTGATTGTCACTAATAACTGATCCAACAATAAAAACACAACACATATAATACAACAACAATACAAAATCATTTCATTTGAAATAAAGATTTAGTTTTTATTTATCTTCAAAACTACTTACGACTTGTAAATTATCTTCTCTTAAATGAATGACCACTGAATCGATTGATCACCAAATGGTTCCGTCAATTGGTCTCAGTTTTTGTCAGACAATCATTTAAAACAAACAAAAGAATTAATGAAATAATAATAAAAACAAAATCGAATTCTTTTGTCAAAAACTTTTTTCAACTTTTATCTAATCGATGACTAATTCAATGCAGAGTTGTTCACAAAAACTGTGACTAAAATTAAATGACATTTCATTATAAATACAATATATTTGTAATTAAAATCTTATTCAACGACTAAATAAAAAATATTATTATTTTTTATATAAATTAAATTTATTATTAATTTTTATATTTTAATTAATTATTTTTAGATAAAAACAATTAATCATTTTATCATATATTAAAATCCATACAAATGTTAGACTACTGTATATACTGTCGATTCAATTCAATTATTGATATACTTTCTAATGGATTCATCGATAAATCTTGAGTATTGGTTAGGTATGGGATGGATGTGCTGGTCGTGGACGTGACACTCCATCTCTTTATAGTTAATACAACAAAAATTACAATTAGTAATACAGCATCGGTAGCCTTGGAGGGGGTGGTGGTGGCGGCTATTATCAGTTGATACCGGTTTTATAAACAGTTGCCAATCAAAGAACATGCATTTGGTTTCATCTGAAAACTTTGGTTTTTCGATACCAAATCCACACAAATGGTAGTGTTTGTGACGATATATGCTATCATAGGTTACAAATGTTTTGTCGCATTCATTGCATTCATATATCTTTGGATTAGACATCAGTTCAACATTTGACAAACAATTGACATCTCTTTGTATGTGACGCTCAAAATCTGATTTACTGGACATCGGGTGTTGTCGGCGATTATTTTTAAGACCAATAGTAATACAATTATCTTTCAATAGTGGCAAATGTGTGCCACAAGAAGTTTTATCTTCTTCTTGATTGATGGGAACCGGTATTATGGTTGTTGTCAAACGAGGCTTTTTGTTGTCATCTTGTGATGGCTTAAATTGCCACAAACTATCACTTAATCTTTTAGTAACCGATTTAGACGAGTAATCATCCATTTGTTTGATCACCAAATTGTTTGCTTATTTATTTGAGCCGAGATCTGATCCAATTGATTCATGAGATGACATAATATTGATATTAAATTCATACAAATTGCTTATTAATATTAATATTATTTAATTTACATATAATTTACGTCATATGTCATGACTTTATATAATTTGATTAAATGACTAAAATATCACATTTTTTTATTACATTACATATACAGTACTGTATTATACTTTTTCCTATTAATTTAATATTAGAGATAATCTAATGATTTACAGTTTCAACAGTGTGTCTACACTACAGTAAAGTTTATTAATTAATATTTAAATTTAATACTAATTTACAAAAAATATATATTAATTTACTGTATAAATTGTAAATGATTTTAATAAAAAACATAATAATTATGCAAAATATAATAATTTTATTCATTATAATTAGATTATCATAATATAATTAATTATTAATATTTCTATATTTACTTTAGTACTGAATTAATGTACTTTTAAATTAAAAAAAATTATTAGTTTTATATATTAATTAGCAAACAGTATATTATATTGCATTTAATCATTAGTTAATGACTTATGAAAGATGAGAGTATCGGTAAATCCAAATGCTTTTAAATAGACAGCCCGTGGGATACATCCGGTTTGAACCAAACCTTTCTTTAAATTAGTTGCAATACTCGCATCATTGGTAGCAAACACGTAGGCTATCAACGATTTATAACCGAGAAGTGGTGCATATATGTCAACCATGTCTAACATGAGTCCACCCAAACCAATATTACGATAATCTTTATGAACAATACGTTCATAACATCCCGTATGTGACGCACGTCCCGGAGCTGATGGCTTTAAATGAAAAGCACCGATAGTTTTGTTGTTATCCATTAAACGAAACACAAAACAAGATTTCGAGACAAAAACTTCTTGAAATTCTTGTTCATTTGTTGTGTACTGAAGATATGACTGTCCTTTGTCTATGACTTCCCACCAAATTTCATATAAATCTTGAAAATCTTTGTCAGGTCTGTAGACATCAAATATGACTGTTTGGCCAGTTTTGGGCAATACTATAGATTGTGGTAATCCATCAAAGTTTTGTATTTCAGGTTTTGTATTCATTTCTAATGAATAATTTTTTCCAATTATTTTCATTTATTTAATTATAAGACAATATTTTTAAAATAATTATTGAAATCAAAAATCAAAATTATATTAATTTAATCAATGAAAAATCTATTAAATTAAATATTTAATATTATTTGCCATAATTTTATTAAATAAATATTTATAAAAATATGATTATAATACTGTATAATATAAAAATCATTATTTTTGTTATTATTCAGCAATAATTATGATTTAATTTTTTAATTTCTATTAGATATTAGACTTCAAAAAAGTTTTGATAACTAAAATTATAAATTAAAATAAATTAATAAATTTTTAGAAATACATAAAATAGTGTATTAATGATAATTTATTAATAATACAATTACTATTGAATATTGAGAAAAGTTTAAATAGATATATAAATAGCGGTTTCGGTTTTTTATCGATAAAAACCCGAAACCAAAAACAATGTTAAAATTACTGATCATTTGGTGAAAGCACTAGAATTGCATTAAAATAAGCGCCAAATTGTGTTTTAGCGCAATAGACTCAATGGTTGCTATGCAACACAACAACACGTGTTTATATATAATATACTGACAATACAGTCATTGACGGCAAACCAGTGTTTAATAATATATCATAAGTTTGACTCTCATATCAATTGATCGCTGATTTGTGTCCACCGGTTGTAATCATAACCGTTCGGTAAACACAATGGCCTGTAATTATGCGGTCACTGCACACAAGGGTTCGGGTGTCTCAAACTGTGTCACAGGTTTGTTGTGGACTTTTTTGACTCATTGTTATCAATGTTTTTTTGTTTGCTGTGATTGTCCACCAAAATGTCCGCTTAATTTACCGATGGATTATATTCTTGTAGGCAATTTTACATCGCCGACCGATTTGAATCTTTTAATCGCAAAATCAACACGTATTGAGATCTATTTGGTGACTGCCGAAGGTTTGCGACCGATCAAAGAGATCTCGATCTATGGCCGCGTGACTATAATGAAGACATTCCGACCCGAAGGCGAGAAAAAAGATTTGCTATTTTTGTTAACTTATAAATATAACGCATCTATACTGGAATGCATTCGCGATGGAGACTCGTTTGAGGTCGTGACCCGAGCACATGGCAACGTTGCCGACACAATATCACGGCCCTCGGAGACCGGTTCTATCGGTATGATTGATCCGACCGGTAAAATTATTGGTCTTCGTCTATATGACGGTCTGTTTAAGGTATGTTAAGATTTTGTGTTTTCAATGATCGCTTATTTTTCTGCAATCCGATTGTTTTCAATCTAAAGGTTATACCACTTGATCGCGAAAACAAAGAACTGAAAGCTTTTAACATTCGTATGGAAGAGTTGAATGTCTCGGACGTCCAGTTTCTCTACGGCTGTACTACGCCTACCATTGCGTTCATACATCAGGACAACACATCGAGACACGTGAAAACCTATGAGATATCTTTGTCTGAGAAAGAGTTTGTAAAAGGCATGTGGAAACAGGACAACGTCGAATCGGAGGCTAGTATTGTCATACCGGTGCCACTACCTTATTGCGGTGCTCTTATTGTTGGTCAGGAATCGATAGTCTACTTGAACGGCGAGAAAGAGTACTGTGCGATAGCACCTCCAGCTATCAGACAGTCAACAATTACCTCCTATTGTCGAGTCGATGAAACTCGTTATTTGTTGGGCGATATGTCTGGCCGTCTGTTTATGTTAATACTGCGCGTCGAAGACCAGGCGGTTAAAGATTTGAAATTAGAACTGTTGGGTGAGATAACAATACCGGAATGTCTGACATATTTGGATAACGGAGTGGTGTATGTCGGCTCACGTATGGGTGACTCGCAGTTAGTTAAACTTAATTTAGAGCCCAACGATAGCGGAACTTTTGTTGAAGTGATGGAAACGTTTACAAATTTGGGTCCAATTGTCGACATGATTGTTGTCGATCTGGACAGACAAGGACAGGGACAGCTCATCACATGTTCCGGTGCTTATAAAGAAGGTATGAAATTGAAAACACTTTTTTATAAGTATTTTTTTGTCAATGATTATAAAATGATGAAAATCTTTCCCCGACTGAAAACCGTTCGCTAGATATTAATACTGTTTTTTGTTGACTTAATTAACATTTGTCTGATTATGTTTGAGATTTTTGTATATTAATATTGAATTAACTTTTATACAATATTAACGATTGAATCAACACTTGATTGATAGGTTCGTTAAGGATTATCCGTAACGGTATCGGTATTCAAGAACAGGCGACTATAGATTTACCGGGAATTAAAGGCGTTTGGCAGTTGAGGGTTAATTCAGCACTCGATAACATTCTTGTGCTCTCATTTGTTGGACAAACCAAAGTCTTAATGCTTACCGGAGAAGAAGTTGAAGAAACAGAACTGTTCGGCTTTGATACAACACAACAGACACTTTTCTGTGGTAATGTAAAAGATGACCTCCTATTGCAAGTGACAGCAAACAGCATTAGACTGGTCTCAACGGAAACCAAACACTTATGCAACGAATGGACGCCAAAACAAAATATATCTGTTGTGTCGAGTAATAGTTCACAGATAGTGTGCGCCTCTCGTAACCAACTTTATTATCTTGAAATTCACGACCAATTGATTAAAATGGTAAATGAAGTACAACTCGAGTTTGAAATCGCTTGTCTTGACATTAATCCCATTTCTGGACCGACCAGTTCTTTGTGTGCAGTGGGTCTCTGGACAGACATTTCTGTTAGGTATGTGATTGGAATTTATTTGGTAATGACATCGTATTGATATTTGGTATGTCTTGTGTGGATTAGATTAATACATTTACCCGATTTGGTTGAAATGCATAAAGAAAGTTTGGGCGGAGAAATAATCCCGCGTTCAATACTTTTGGCCGCATTTGAACAGTCATTTTATTTATTAACCGCTTTGGGTGACGGATCGCTCTTTTATTTTAATCTGAATCCAAACACCGGTTATTTGACGGACCGCAAGAAAATCACTTTAGGTACTCAACCAACTGTTCTCAAAACATTTTCTTCGTCATCGACATCAAACATCTTTGCTTGTAGTGATAGACCAACTGTTATCTATTCGTCGAATAACAAGTTGGTCTTCTCCAATGTTAACCTTAAAGAAGTTAATCATATGTGTCCACTAAATTCGGATGCTTTTCGTGAGTCACTAGCACTGGCCAGTGATTCCCAGCTACTTATTGGCCAAATAGATGAAATACAGAAACTTCATATTAGAACTGTTCCATTAAGAGAAACACCTCGAAGGATAGCCTACCAGGAGTCGACCCATACTTTCGGTGTGATCACTATGAGACATGATATACAGGGCGAGGATGGGTTGGTTCCTATTCGTAATAGCGCCAGTTGTACAGGTATTATATTGTCTTTGTTTTACTCATTTAGTTATTTTAATCATAATTTTAATGATGAGACGATTCTTTGACTAAATTTCAGTCATAACTGTTATTATGATGTCTTAATAAACTCTAATTTTTTTCTCTGAAATAATAATTATTAAATATTGAAACATTTAGTATATTAAATAAAATAATTACCGGTATTTATTTATTAATTATATCTTAATTGTTAATTTAGCACAAAATATAACTTATTCTTCATCGATACCGACAATTGTAAAGCCAAGCAATGCATCAAATATGGAACAAATAGGACTTGAAGTCGAAGTTCACCATTTGTTGATTATAGATCAGCACACTTTTGAAGTGCTTCACGCACACCAATTCATGGTTAATGAGTATGCACTTAGTGTTATATCCGCTAAATTAGGTATTTATATATATTTTTGATAAATTGAAAAAACTTACACATGTTTTGATGATAATGAATCAGCTGATGACCCAATCACTTACTATATCGTTGGCACATGTTTTGTGAATCCTGATGAACCGGAACCCAAATTGGGCCGTATTGTGGTTTTCCACTTTACCGATGGAAAGCTACAACAAGTGACTGAAAAGGAGATCAAAGGAGCGCCCTATACTTTAGTCGAATTCAATAGTAAACTGTTGGCCGGTATCAACTCAACCGTACGACTCTTTGAATGGACACCACAAAGAGATCTTCACAACGAGTGTTCATATTTTAACACAATTATAGCTTTATATTTGAAAACCAAAGGAGACTTTATTCTAGTTGGAGATCTCATGCGATCGATGACACTATTGGCTTATAAACCATTAGAGGGTAATTTTGAAGAGATCTCCAGAGATTTTCAGCCAAATTGGATGACAAGTATTGAGATCTTAGATGACGACACATTCTTAGGCGCTGAGAATTCGTTCAATTTGTTTGTTTGCCAAAAGGATAGGTAGTTATCATTACCGGTAAATGTTATTCGAAAGTTTAAATATTTTTTTAATCACATAGCGCTGCAACTAATGATGAAGAGCGACAACATCTCCAAGAAGTTGGTCTCTATCACGTCGGAGAATATATTAATGTAATGAGACATGGATCACTTGTTATGCAACATCCAGGAGAGATAGCGACTCCCATTCAGGGAACGCCTGTCCTCTATGGTACCATTTTTGGATCAATTGGTATTTTCTAACGCTTAGCTAATCTTTCGATTTCCATTAACTTTGAAATTATCGATAATTCTCTTGTAATAGGACTGGTGGCACAGTTACCACAAGAATATTTTGCATTTTTACGGGAATTCCAAACGAGACTCAATAAAGTAATCAAATCTGTCGGTAAAATAGATCACGACTTTTGGAGAGCATTTAGTACCGAACGAAAAACTGAAGCCTCGTTCGGTTTCATCGACGGTGATCTCATCGAGTCTTTCTTGGACTTAAGCCGCGATAAAATGCAAGAATGTATTAAAGATTTAATGGTAATTATATCATAAATTTATTTGTTTTTAATTTGGAGTATTATATGATGAAAATCTTTCCCCGACTGAAAACCGTTCGCTAGATTTTATAACATTGTTTTTGTTGATATATTTTTTATGTTCTGAATAAATATATTTAATAATCTTTTTTTTTTTTAATTAACAACAAATATTTAGCGCTTATTTTTTCTAATCCCTAACAGATTGATCCCGAAGGAAGTGGTATGAAACGTGAGGCCACTGTCGATGACTTAATTAAGATTGTAGAAGAATTGTCACGAATTCATTAGGAATTAAATTTATTGTATAAAAATTAAATATTTTTAATCACCATATTTTGTAATTATTATCTCTTGAACTCTCAATTAATTTGAAAATAATTTTTTTTTAAAGTTTAATATATATTTCACTATCCAGTAAATGAATGTAATATTTTTACAATTTTAACGCTTCGATTAGTTTTATTAAATGTATTTATTAGTTTGTGAATCTCTATTTAAAATTGATGTTTATTTAAAATAAATTTCAAATTTATAAAAAGTTACAAAACAGGTATTGGAACAATTGATGTGACAAATGGCGATTTACTCGTCATCTCATACTTGACTTTCTTATGTCTTCCGCGTCCGATAAATATCTTCGTTCTTTTAATTGACTTAAATTCAGGATTTGTTTCCGTCAATTGATAAACTTTTTGTTTAAATATGGAAATCATGTCATATATTATATCTCGATTTCTCCGTAGAAGTAGTTCAACACCACCGATGGTTACCATAGCAGATATAAGTTTGTTTAACACTTGATTTCGTGTGTCAACCGATTCGGCAATCAATAACTGATTCTTAAATTTGTCGAAAATGTTGGTCTTAAGGCTACTTAAAACCCGATGATCGCCGATAACAGCAATCAATTTGACAAACGGTACTAATATGTGGTAATAAATATCCACTTCTCTGTTATTCAATTTGGTTCTCATTTCAGACAATACTTTCTGAAATTCTTCGATAAATATGTCCGATAAATGAAGTGTTAAACCAATCGATGACTTAACGGTCATTAGGATCTTATCGATGACATTAGCCTTGAATTCCATGTCAAATGTCATCTCTTTCTTTTGGCTATCGTTTCGCTTATCAAATCGTTTTCTGTATTTCTGTCTATTTTGTTGTTTATTACTTTTACCATTAATTTCTTCATCCTCTGAATCATTCGTCTCCTCTTTTTTGTCATCAGTTTTCTGATTATTATTATTTGCGTCAATACATTCATTATTGACTATTGTTAGGCTCTGATCCTGTTTATCATCAATCAGTGCTTCAATTTGTAACTTAAGACATGTGTTGATCATAACTCTAACCAAAAACATATACTTATCGACTCTGAAGGCGTCGATACCGAACCAGTCATTAGTGATCGCCTGAAAACCGTTCAAAAGCATCGGTATGTTATCATAAATGCCTATACGTTGGATCAATTGGTCGCAGCCTTTGTTCATCTCTGAATACCAGACACTGTAGTAAAGTCCTCTCCAGATGTAAATCCATTGCTGATCACTGAGTTGTGGTCGCGAATCGAGAAGACGACAAACTTTTTTATACCGTTTGCCGAAAGTGGTCGCAGCGCTCACTGACTGGACAAACGACTTCACCAGAAGACTCTCTTTGGATTTTATCTTCATTGCTATTACAACAACAATAAAACCAAGTAATTAGTTAATTCAATGATTACATCGACAGCTGATCCCAAAACACAAAGCGATCAAAACATTTGTTGACAACAAATATAAATTTCAACTCAAATGTCAAACACGTGTTGTATTATATTATTATTGTCCATATATTACGTTTAAATGTGATTCAAATATATTTACTTATTGTATGTTTCAATCAATTGATATGATTTGTGGTTTGACTTATTTGTACTCATAATTACTGAACATTCAATTATAGTATAAATTTCATCACAAAATATTAGTGACTAAAAGTTTGCATCAAATGAATGCAATAATCAGTGAATAAATAATAATAAATACATTGAAAACAAATGATTTGCTTCTGAGTTAAGACAACACTTAAGACATGGATTTCTTGGACAATGACAGCGATGACGATGAGTCTCAAACATATCAGGTCTGTGTTAACCAATCGATACATTTTTATGACAATAATCTTATAATTGGTTTTAATTGATAATTATTTTTGTTATAACAGTTATTTGGCGGCAAAGAGGGAATCGTCTTCTTGATTGACGCCACAGAAGATATGTTTAGTTGTGAACAGTTCTCACTCGCCATTCGTGTATGTTATTGAAAACAGATCTAACAGTTTGTTTGCTTAATAGTTATATTAAAACAATAGTGTATTGAAAATGCTATGAAAAACAAAGCCATCGCCAGTCCGGGCGATGAGTTCGCTATCATTCTGTTTGGAACCGATAAGACGTCAAACGATTATAACTTTGACCACATATTTGTTGTTCAAAAGTTGCAGAAGACTAGCGCTGATTTGATTATTGGTCTCAAGAGTCTTATCGACTGCGACTTTGATAAGGATTTGGGTCACAATCGGTATTCATTGTCGGATGTCTTTTCTTTAGCCATTTCAGAGTTCACCAAAAGGTTTGTCTCAAAATTATTTCTTAATCTCTTTAAATCATTTATTTCTAATAATTTTTGTTTTGCTTTCAATTTAAAGCAAATCAAAATTTCAATCAAAACGTGTAATACTATTAACATGTTGTCCGCAACCACACGACGGAATTACAGCCGAATCAAAACATTTGCGAAAGACAGCTATCAATAGATCTAAAGATTTTAAGGATCATAATATTTCTGTAGAACTCATACCGTTGACCACAAAAGACAACAAACCGTTTGATGTCGAGCTCTTCTATGAGGACTGTTTTCCCAAACTTAAGGACCAAAATTGTCAGACTTTGACTAAATTGGAACCACTGTTGAAGCGAATTCATCGCAAAACACATCGCCAACGAATGGTGGCGTCGTTGCCCTTTCGTTTGGGACCAAAAAGTGATGAACAAAATGATGGTCAGCAATACGTGGAAATGTCGGTCTATATCTATGTGTTGTGTTCAGATACCAAACGACCCGTTGCCGTCAAAATTGATCGAAAAGACAACACAGAGTTAAAAACAGTGGTTCAACGTTGGACCGCCGATACGGGCGCTCTCCTTAAAAATGAAGATTTGAGCAAAAAGTATCAATTCGGACAAAGAGATATAGTTGTTAATAAACAAGAGGTTAAGAAAATGAGCGCATTTGGCGAAGAACCTGCCCTTTCATTACTTGGATTTAAACCGAGAACTGCCATTAAGTTAAACTTTCAAATAAAAACTGGTTTTTTTATTTACCCGAATGAGAGTCATATTGAGGGCAGTATTACTCTTTTTAATGCACTAATCCGACGGTGCGCTGAACGCGACAAAGTGGCCATTTGTCGCATCACTTTACGACGTCGAGCTAATACATACCTGTGCGCTCTTTTTCCTCAATTAGAAAACAAATATTTAGTAAGTAAACAAATATTTTGTTAATTTGTTATATATTAACAATTATTTGCAAATATAGGACAAACCGGGAGGTTTTAAGGCATTAATATTGCCGTTTAAGGATGACATCAGAGATTTAGAAATAAAAGGTGCAGAAAGACAACCAATTAATGGCGAAGCGTTTGATCTAATGAAAGATGTTATCAGAAAATTGAAATTCATTTACGATCCGAAAGATTTCCCGAATCCTGTACTGCAAACCCATTGGCGCACAATTGAGGCGTTGGCTCTAAATTACGATAATATCGAGCCTTTCGATGACAGCCAAACACAACCAGATTATGACTCAATCGAAAGTAAAGTCGGTTATGATTTATATTCATTGAATCAATTGTTGGGCGCCTATGAAGTGCAACCAATTGTCAAGAAACCGGTCAAAGTTTATGATGATCTTAAAGAGATTGCCAGAAATAATAAGGTTTGTTATATAATAAATGAATTAAACTTATTATGTATTTTTAATTGATATCTGTTCTCCAGTTGGGATCTCTAACTGTGGCCGAACTGCAAGAATTTTGTCGAAAAAAGAGCATAACTGCTGACGGAACCAGAAAAGCACAACTCATGGAAGCGGTTCACAAGTATTATAAATTGTAAAACAATTGTTAAAATTCATAATATTGTAATTTAAACAATCATTAAAATTATTAATTTAAATTAGAGATATAGTAAATATTTTAAAACCAAATTCACAAAATTAAATCAACATTTAATACTTAAAATATAGTAATTACGGTAATAATTATGTCAATATAATGTATATTTATTTACTGATATATTGAAATTGTTGACATTATCGGTAAATAAATCAATTTATATCACCAGTAATTAGTGTTTTATGGAAAATAATAGTATCGACATAATCCAGGTTTTTAAGTTTGGATGAACGAGGTATGCGTCCGATTTGTACCAAACCTTTCTTAAGATTAGATGCAATACTCGCACCATTGGTGGCAAACACGTAGGCTATCAATGCTTCATAACCCATAAGTGGTGCAAATTTATGAATCATGTCTAACATGAGTCCACCCAAACCAATATTACGATAATCTTTATGAACAATACGTTCATAACATCCCGTATGTGACGCACGTCCCGGAGCTGATGGCTTTAAATGAAAAGCACCGATAGTTTTGTTGTTATCCATTAAACGAAACACAAAACAAGATTTCGAGACAAAAACTTCTTGAAATTCTTGTTCATTTGTTGTGTACTGAAGATATGACTGTCCTTTGTCTATGACTTCCCACCAAATTTCATATAAATCTTGAAAATCTTTGTCAGGTCTGTAGACATCAAATATCACTGTTTGGCCAGTTTTGGGTAATACTATAGTTTCTGGCAAACTATCAAACTCTTTGTCCATTACTATTGAAAATTATTAATACCTAAGTATTATATAATTATATTTCAAACTAACATTAATTGAATGAAATGAAAATATTTATGATAAGTAAAATATATATAATAAAAATTTGCTTTTAATATTTTATTGAGATATATAAAATTATTTTTAAAGCTGTTAGTTTATATTATCACATTTTTACATTTATCAATTTTATTGCTGATAAAAACGATAGGAAACGTTAAATGAAATTTTTAAAAATCGTAATTGTATTTAATGATAATTATTTAGTTTTTTGATTAACTAATTTATATCACAATTTATATAATCAATACGATTGGCAAATAAATAAATGTTAGTTTGAGTATTCATTTGCATTGATCCTATAGTTACTGTTTATCAATTTTATATATCTATTAAATGATTTAGAAAATGTTTTATTAGATATAAGATTTTATAATTTACCGGTAATTAAATATTATACTTAAATTATAAATTAATGATAATTATAACGGTATGATATATACGTGGTGTATGTAATCATAGCTAGAGGTTATACATATACAGTACTGATGATTAACTTTCTGATGATTTTCTGTATTTAGTTTTTGTACAAAAATTCAAAATTTAAGCTAAAATAGTAAATTACAGATATTTATAAATACGCATTACTTAATATAAGTTACAAATAAAAATGTAAACATTTTGCTGTCAAAATAAGTTTTAGTTTTAATTTAGATATTTAAATATATATACAAATTATTTACTGTAATATAATGGAAATCAGGCAGGACTTTCCAGAATGGGCCGCGCAGGAGGCGGGGGTGGGTGGTATAGATAGATAGGTCTTGATGTGTAGTAAGCATATGTAAAATATTAGGTTTCGCAAACTAAAGGTTAAAGAGTTATGGCGTTTTGAATGACAAATTTACATATAAAATACTGTTAAATAATGTATTCAAATGTATATTTTATCAAAACCTAACCTAATCTAACTGGATAATCTATTTAATTCATATATTTTTTTATAAATATATAAATAAATATTTTTTTTTAAATATATAAATAATTTTTATTTCTAAAAAAATAAAAATAAATATATTTTTATATAATATATAAATAAATATATGGCAGGACTTTATTATATGGCCCGCGAAGAAGGCGGGTGTGGGGGTATGATGTTATTTCAGGTTAGGTTGGTTTTTGATAAAAATACATTTGAATACATTATTTAACAGTATTTTATATGTAAATTTGTCATTCAAAACGCCATAACTCTTTAACCTTTAGTTTGCGAAACCTAATATTTTACATATGCTTACTACATATTAAGACCTATCTACCTATACCACCCACCCCGCCTCCGGCGCGGCCCATTCTGGAAAGTGCAGCCGGAAATCACAAAATAATTGATATCCAACGTATAAAAGATCAATTTAACGTTAAATACAATAGGTATAAAAATATCAATAAATTTCAAATTTGTTTTTAATAAATAAAATTTATATACATTTTTAGTTTATATGCATAGATTAATTTTTTATCAATTTATAAATTAGTGAATTATCATATTTTTCTTTATAAAAATAATCACTTAATATAAATACAAGTATTGCCAATCAATTGATCACATTTTAGGCATTTTCGGTATAAAAGCCTTTCCATTAAATGTGAAGAATGTCCGACTAAAGGGTTATAATAAAAATTTGTATACAAAATATATACAGTATTTCGTATAATAACTTATTTATGACATTATAAAATACAATACCTTTCCTCAGTTTCAACCTTTTTAGATGATGGCATCGGTAGTTCCTCAGCTTCTCGCTTAAGATTTCTGTGTTGTGGAAATGATGGCATCATTTTTGGTTCACACGCTGTCACCAAAACAATACAACATTTCTCTTTAGATATCAACTACTGTTTGTCATCTTTTTTAGCATCAATTACTAAATATATACAGTATTTAAATGACTTACGCAATGGATTCTCCTTAAAATAGGAACTCTGTAGGCATTCCTCAGCAGTGGCTCTTTTGGTTGGGTCATACATAAATAGTAGATTCAATAATCGTATGCCGGCCGGTGATACCCAACTAAATTTATATTTAATATTATTGTATGGTTGATGTTTCAATTGAAACTTCTGGAGCACCGGTAGTTTGGAACAGTCGGGCCAAATGCTTGCATTAGGAGTACCCAAAAAGTCTACAATCAGTTCAATTTGATTGATTTCCGATCGACCGGGTAGTAGTGGCTTATGCAGCAATAATTCGCCTAATATACAACCGGCGGCCCACATGTCAATAGCTGTCGTCTGAACATTTGATTGGAACAGCAGTTCCGGTGCTCTATACCACAGTGTGACCACACGTGGTGTCATCGGTATATTTTTAAGGCCATACTTGCGGGCCAAACCAAAATCGGCAATTTTCAATTGACCGCAATCAGTAAGTAACAAATTAGACACTTTGAGGTCTCGGTGAACAATAAAATTTTTATGCAAATAGACTAAACCGTAAAACAATTGCATGAGAATACACTTCACCTATCATTATATGATTTGTAAAACAGTTATTAATTCATAATTTAATGTCTTTTGAATTATCCAGACCTGAGACTCAGTGAATGGAGTGTTCATATTGTCTAACAGTGAGGCCAAGTCTTGTTCGCAATACTCCATCACAAGGAAAATGCTTTCCAGACTTTTGCCGACAACCACTTCCTTGAGTTGGACCACATTGTCGTGTCTTAAGTTCAACAATAGATTTATTTCGCGCAGTCCGCTAACAGGTAAGCCCTCTCGTTCCCGATCCATACGCATTCGTTTAATGGCCACAATCTCATCGGTTCGGGTGTCACGCGCTCTGTCTGTACCCGATATACAAATTGGTCATCAATTAGACAATTCTGGTTATGATATATTGCCGGAGTGTTGACACATACAGACAATACCATAGGTTCCCTCTCCAATGCGATTCAGTTTTTCAAAATCAGTCACTAATCGACATTTCCCTAACTTGTTTGGTCGTCCAGTGATGGCATCGGCAACGACAATGAATGGTCACATATATTAATGGTCACATGAAATCATATGTGAAATGCCAGATATTATCGGCACACATATGATCAGTACTGTGTCCACATTACCTGATCCTCGACGGGAACCTCGAATGGCTTCAAATCTTTCAATGAAAACAGTGTGACTTTACGATCGGCAAAAGCACTTCCCGACGGGCCGACAGTCGGTGTCGTTGCCATCAATCGATTGGCCGTCGCAGTGCCACTGGTCATGTCATACGAATATTTATTATGTGATAAGTAATCGTTGGATCCACGCATGGGATGCATATTTCATACGACAACGAGATTGAGGTCCACTGACCACTTGTCCGACCCGTTAATAATTGTTACCGAAACAGACATTTAAGTGCCAAATGTTTGTTATAAATATTGGTCACAAATAACGTCCGATTATTTTATTTATAACTTGTGTCCAAAAAAATTACAGTTTTTGCTTAATTTTTATTGAACTTTCTGTTTGAAAATTACACTAAAATATTCTAATAATTAGTCAACAAAAACATTGTTTTCCATCAATGACTACATATTTATGTGTCGTTTGTTTGAAATTATTATTATATTTGTGTCACAATTGGCGCACATTTTTAGTGAAACACATAAGCATTCAATCAATCAATCAGTGGATCTGTTGAATGATTTCAGTAGTTATATATCACAGCAAAGAGTATGTCATTTAAATACATGTGTCTATTGAGACAATTATTATTTTATTTTACTTTTATCCAGTGGTCAGACCTAAGAGGATGGTTGTTGACGACGAGGACAGCGCTGACGAGATTCTCAACATTTACAAAGACATCGGCGATAAGGTTTGGTCAGCAGTTAATTCTTGAGCACTGATTGTACGATATATTACCAAATGATTTATTTATTTATTTACCCGAAGAATACCGATTCATTAAAGTCACCGAAAAGTACAACAAACAATGGCAAACAAGACTCTGTGGCCAAACTGCGCGACGAAAACGCACGGCTCAAGAAATTGGCCGAACAGTACTGCTTAGAGAAAGACAACTATAAGAGTCAGAGCAAAGAGGTTATCAATAAAGCGTCCGTTTTGAAGGAGAGAGACCGCGCGTCGACACTACAGATATTAGAGTTATTGCGGTTAAACTCTTTTCTTATCAATTGTTTTCCCGAAGCCGAAAGAGAAGCTTTATATGAAAAGTTTGAAAAATTAAATTCACCACCGATTTCATCGATTCCATCTCAAAATGGAGACAAGAAAAAGTCATTGTCGGCCTCGAAAAAGCCGGAAAAAGTCAATCAAATATCTAATTACTTTAAAAGTACTGATAAATTGCCGGGAAATGGTTTTAACGAATCGTTTACAGTCCAGACTTGTAATGACAGTACCGAAGATGAGTCCGCGGCAAATGTAGTCCGAAGACGTTCGCCTCGAAAATCTAATAGCATTAATGGCGAGACTTCAGGTCCGCCAGCAAAACAAAGAAAGATGAATGTTTATGAGTCTGGTTCTGGTGACGGACAAGAGGTCAGCACTAATGAGAAACCGGCGAAAACTGGAAAGAAGAAAACTAAAGATACGACTGCAGAGATTGCAAACGAAACAACATCTGATAATAAAACTGAATCCGATGGCAATACCACTAAAGAGAAACCTAAACGAAAACCCGGACCCAAACGAACTCGAAAACCTCGAGTTCCCGAACGAAGAGGTTGTGTATAAGTTTTTGGTAAATGATTTACCGGTAATTTATTGCTAACAAATTTTCGGCACAACTCTGTATACTTCAGGTTTCTTTCCGTGTTCTTTCGATACCAAAGAGTGCCGAGAAATGATGTACACTAAAGAACAATTCGACTTTCATATGAACGGTCATTACGATGCAAAGGTCAGACAATAATATTTTTTGAAAAAAATGTGACAATAAATAATTGATTGTTTTTTATTTTTTTTTCTGTCTGTATGTACCCGTATATATATATATATATATATATTTAGTATACTTGTCCTTTCTGTGCCTATACTGGTCCGACCATTCAGATAATTAAACGTCATATTTATAATCTTCGAGAAAGTGCTGAGAAACTGAAAAGTGAAGGCAAACCACTGGATGAGGACGAGAGGGAACATATCGACAAAAAATATTATAAGTGTTACGGTTGTAAAGTCTGTAATATTATTTACGACAAATCTGAGAAACGATGCGAACATATTCAGGAAGATTCAGATAATGAATGCGATTTTATGCACGACATTGACTATCAGTTTAAGGATCATCTGAAGAGACATTTTAATGAAACCTTTTCAAAGATTAAAGATAAGAGTGAACGAAGAGAAAAAATTAAACCACTTGTCGACAAATTTGTTGAAGAAGAATATTTTGTCAACAAAGCGAAGAAACAACGTTTGATTGAAAAATATCAGAAAAGCAATGACGAAGACGACAACGGCAATGACGGAGTCAATGAGGAGCCAAACATTAAAGAAGTGTTAACCGCCAATTCAGAGGATGATTGGGATGAATAAACTTTTAATATTTTTAAATATAGTTTTTTATTATTATTTACAGATTTTTTCTTTTATATATATATTTATAGATTGTTATCTTCTGTTTCAAAGTTTTCATTTTCTGCACTTTTAAAGAATTTTTTATGAAAAAAGTATTTACACTCAAAGGTTATTGCATTTATTTTAATTCAAACTTTAATTATTTTAACTAAATTAGTTAATTATAAACTTTAATACATATTTTCATATAAATAAGGAAAAAATAATCACTTATTAGATTCTTCTTTTCTTTTTTATTGAATCTTAAATCAAGATTATTATTAATCACTGATTTATTTCTCTATTATTTTATTAAAAGTTGATTTATTTATTTTGTTAATTAAAACAATTACCTGTAGATCTTATAATTTTCTAAAAACAATGATTTTGTACTTATGATATTTGCTCATAACTATTATCTAAAAATACTAATACAAATTAAGAATTTATATTAATTGTAATTATTTTTTCTAAAAATAAAATAAATATTATGAATGAGAGGAGAAAAAATGATTAAAAATTTAACTGATTTTTTGTTATTACGGTAATTACATTACATTATGATAAATACTACATAAGAGATGAATGACACGATTAAGAGATATTGATTAGCATTGAGACCGTAACTGTTGTCGACAGCAGTATATCCTTCGGAAACTGGTGTCAGTCCTCGATGTTTGTGTTCATTTTGCCGATACATATATAGATTGAGTTTAGTCACCCTATTGTCAACAACAGTGAACTGTCTTCTAATGGGAACAAATCCTTTGGCTTTGGCTTCGATTACATAGTCTCCAGGCATTAGTATCCTATAATACTCTCCACGAGCTGTCGATCGGAAAGTTATTTCGCGGCCAACTATTTTAATTTCGGCATTCGGTATGGGATTGTTTGCCATTTGGTCGCGTATAAGACCCTTAACGCCTTTGTGGACTTGTTGTAGGTATGCAATCAGTGACTGGCGGTTATCGTTCCAGTAGTTGGGTAGGGCTGATGCACGCGGGTATTTACAACACGACAACTCCACTGTAATCTCCATACAACCAGCGTATATGTAGTTATAGTCTTGCATACCACCTGAACATAACATAAATATCCCATCAATTAGTTGACAAAAAACAAAACAAATGTGACATACCTTTGACGGGATACCATTCGGCACCGTTGACTATGCCGTTATCAAAAGCCCTATTATTACCACTACATTGGTTAGAGTTTTTCATCTTCGGATGTTTCTTGACATAAGTTAGCGACAAATGTTTGAATACATCGTTGTCCGGAGTGACCGACTTCTTGTTTCGTCCAAACGGATTGTTATCGTACGGATAGTTGACGACAACAGTTCCGCCGTGAAAATTGGCTGACAATACAAATGGTATCCTATGAAGCCATTTGCGGACGGCCTCTGTCTCGGACTGTTCGACCCGAGTGTTCTCCTGAAAAAAGTCCGGAAAGTTTCGGTTGAGATCACGATTTTCCGCATTAAACCTATAATTAAAGTCAATAATTTTGTTTTAAAAAATTGCTAATTTATGTCAAATATTAAAACTATTAACGCTTTTTCTGGGTTTTATCAATCAAAATACAATAAAAGTATCGGTAATTATAAATTTTATCATTTGTCTACATTATAATTAATATCATACAGTAGTACAAAAAATTGTAATTTTATGGTAATTTAATTTTTGCTAATTTACATTTATATTGCTATTTTTATACAAATATATTTTTTTAAGATTACAAATTATTTAGTTATTTAAATAACCGATTATATATCTCAATAAAAATGTGCGATTTATATCATTTTATTCGTAATAAATTGTATATTTATATAATATCTATTTAGGTAAAAATAGATATACTGATTTAAAATTATAGTATAGTGTAATGTATTGCATATTACACCAGTCAATCAATTATAATTACTTATAATACTAAATTAGTTTTACTAATTATCACTTTATCAATAATTGATAAACTGCTATCTATTTGTACTAAACATAAATATACAAATATTTCAACATTAGATACTAAAAAAAATGTGTCGATTCATGAATATTGTATATAATTTACTTATTTTACTAATAAATATTATATGTATATAACGATTACACCGGTAGATATCAATCATAGAAATTGTATACAAGTTTTATGTCTAAAATAAGTTTTGTATCATTCAATTAAGCAGTTTTTCTGTTTGTATAAAACAATTATATATATATAGTACTGTTATATTTACAATAATTATATACAGTCAATTGGCAGTAAACCAAATAATTTTTTGTTTAATGTCTACATTTGATATGAACTAAACATTTATTTATTTTTTGAACTTTTTTTTAAGTTTAAAAAGATATTTCATTAACAAAGTGATGTTAATGAATTTTTTTTATTGAACATTTGTTATGATGTTGTAATTTTATGAATAATTAAATCTTTAAATTAATAAAATTAATAGCAATCGTAAATTAAATTTAACAATCTTAAACATTATAAGTAACACATCATTAAGCATTTTTAAAATAAACTTTTAAAAGATATGATAATTATGATTAATAAGAAATTAAATAATTATAGTTTAAGAATATTAGATTAATATTAAATTACTTATAATATACTGTAAGCATAAATTTAATTTAATTATTTCTAATTAATTTGAAATTAAAAAATAATAATTTATTTTATTAAAAAATATGTTTAGTTAGTGTATACCTTCCGGGTCCCTCACATTTGCCCTCAATGCCGGTCTCGAAGCCGTCGGGATTCATTGACGGCATTATATGGATTCGGGTGGTGTTCAACATGTTTTTGATTGATTTACTTTTATCACTACTATTGAGTAGATAAGCGATGAGATGTAGCATTAGTTCCCGTCCGACCACTTCATTGCCGTGCATGTTAGCCACGTACTTGACATTTGGCTTAAGTAACACTTCATTACCCGGATCACTGAAATTTACAGCAAATATACATTTAATTTTTTATAAAAAATAAATAACAAAATTGCCTAATATTTCCTACATTATTATTACTGTATAATTTATATATATATAATTTATAACTAATATATTACAATATGTAAAACTAATAATATAATACTATACTGTACTGTACTTCGTAATCAACATAACCCATAGCTCCCGGCCCTGAACTGACTGTCCAATTGAATAGAGATAAACGAGTTCGGGATAAGTTTGGTTAATACTCTTCAACATAGCTGTCATCGATGTGTAGTTATGATAAACATAATTAATTTGAACACATTTGTGTGATTTTATTATTACACTAATGAATGACAAAATAATTGCTATAATCAATGTATAATTCATTGTTATCTTTAGTTTAGTTTAATTATATGGCACACAAAAGAAAAAAACAATAAAATAATAACAATAATTAATAATTAATAATTAATAATAGTGACTGTGTTTTAATCTAATAGTTTATAATTTTATGAAATTAATATCACAATTAAAATGTAATAACGAAAAAATTATGGTTCAAAAATAATAGTATAAATAACAACTACTGTAGTGTACTAACAATGAATACATAACCAAACAAATTAATTGACTATCATTTTACAAATCATGAGTTATAATAGATTTGAAAACAAATTTTTATTTTTCATACTATTATCAAATAAATATACGGTATATACATTAAATTTAAAGTTGATTTAAAAAATAAAATGACTATTACATTAAATTATAATAAATCAGCACTTATTTTAGATTAATACAGTACTTAATTGTGTAAATTATATGACAAATATTGAATAGTTGTTATATTAATAAAAAAAAAGTTTTTAATGTAAAATAAGTTTTTTTTTAATATTAAAACACGAACTTTAAAAAAAAAGTTGTTTTGCAAATATTATATATGTATGTAAACACAATTTATTTATTAAATACAATAAAATAACAAAATTTGCTTTCAATGTCAAAATAATGAGCTTTTATTCAACGATTCACTGATTTCAACACCAAAATAAAAATATATATACTGTATATACATAACAATTCAATATTCAATTTAGTTTAACACACAAAATATTATTATTATTATATAAATAATTGTATTTCATTGACATTTCCTTCTCTCTCTCACTTTCACTAATAGTTTTGCATATGTAATAAAAACCACAAAAATATTAGTATTATTATTATTGTGTAAACTTTGTGCCAAACATTTTTGAATATATATTAATATAATTTTTTATGCATAACTCGTTAGTTTTGCTCTTTTTATTATTTTTTCACTGAAAAACAACAAAATTCATCCAAAAATAAATCAACACATTTAGTGATGCGTTTGACATTACAAAACAGCTAAATAAATAAATATAGTAATAGTATAGTACTGTACTTACAGTATTATTTGTTATTAACTAATTTGGGGTTTTAAGAGTTAAAACACAAAATCAATTGTAAGTAATTGTAAGTGAAAAGTCAGTATATTTTTAAACTTTTAATAAGTTTTACTCAATATATATATATATATATATATCATTGTTTAGAAATATCATATAAAGCACTTCTCTAGTCTTTTTAAGCCAACGATAAGTTATGTTTTTATTTAAACAAATAAAATGCAACGACTGAACGGGTCAGACATCGACAGACAAAAAAATAGTGAATCTTTTAATGTAAACAATAATAATAAATGAGTTTTTTATTTTAAGATAAACTTTTTTTTTATATATATATTAATGAACTAGAAATCCCAGTTCACTAACTATGCAATAATGGCAATGCAATGCACTTTCACTTTCATTTTCATTAAATTTATGAGTTTATTATGATATGATTGAACTTTTCAGTTAATTCAAACAAAACACCAACACATTACCCGACAACAGGTTTGCCCTATAATTGAACATCAATTCCCACACATTTCTATCTTTATCTCATTCACTCACTCACTCACTCACCCATTCATACAGTAAATCACTCACTAACTCACTCATTGATTTAGTCATTTACTTAGATATTACCCACAAAACAATTTTATAAAATAATTTGCATTTCAATAGAAAACTTTAACTACATTTAGAGAAATATTTTAAGACATGCCATGTATACGATGTGATAATATAATAGATGGGTGTGTTTGTTGTGCAATACCCTCTCTACTCTGTAATTGATTAAAAGGGTTTAAAATACTTTATTTATTACATTGAATTAGGGCTTATGTAAGGCTTGAATAAATAAAATAAATGATCACTATTTCAAAGTTTATTATCAATTATAATAACTTTGATTATTTTCTATCTTTAGTTACCCACATATTAAAAATTATAGCTGACATTTAGTGACACTTTCAATAATATTAATGCCATCGTTTGATATTTTTATTATTAATATTTATATATATATTATATTCTTAGTAATACAGTATTAAATTTTTTATAAAACAATGACTGTTTTTTATAGTCAAAATAAACATAAATAAAAAATATTTAATAATTGTATTTCATTTTTTATGATTATTACAACAATAAATTCTAATTAATACTATAGTAGTGTATATAATGTAGTATTTTTAAAAATAAACAAAAACTTTATTAATGTAATCTGTGATAAATATATTTTGAAAATATTGGTATTTTGACAACTAATATAAATGTTAAATATTTATAATAAATTAACTATTGTTATAAAAGTAGTAAATATCATTTTATATACTGTATATGTAATTTACAACATTGTATTCATATCGAATAAACACTATTGTAAATTTATAATATAAATTTTATACCATATTTGATATGACTTAAACTATAACTTCAAATAATTAATTAACTTTTTAAAATAAACTGTAAACATATCCATTGTTTAATAATATTTTAAAAATAATATTACCAAAAAATAACCTTGATCAAACATTTGATTAAACACCAAACTAATGTTTCACTAAATAGTAATTACAATACCAGTGCATCATTAAAATGAATGTTTAAAACAATCGACAAACTAGTCATTAGCATATTATCACTTATATTCATAAAAATTCAGATAAAATGTATTAATATTTAAAAAATCTAATGTATAAAAGTAATAAACTTATTATTTTTGTATTAAATACAATATTTAGAAAATATGTACAGAATTTATGATACTAAAAATATACTATAAATAAATATAATAATATTAAAAATTATACAATAAAAATTTTACTATTTATTATACATTTTTAGTAGACATTTGTCCTCTAAATGTTTGGCAAATATTCAAGAGTTGGCATACAATTGAAAACTACAAAACGTTAAAATAAACAATTTAAACAAAAATAACTAAATAAACATTTCCTTAATGAATATCAATCACATTAATGATAATTGTCATCACTTTGCTATAATTTTTCATAACTTTCATCACAAAATATGTTTGACTAATATTTAATTTTTTTCAATGTTATATTATTTTATATAATTCTGCATATTTTTATTAACAGACTATGAAATAAACTTTTTAATATATTAATATATATATATATATATATATATCATTGACAAACTTGTTTTAATTATAATAATCTAATAACCATGAAAATGTAATAATTTAAATATCAATACTTTTTAAATAACACAATATTTTATTTTATTTAAAAAAGCATTTAAATATATATGTTACATATTTAATTTGTATAATAAATTTATATTAATTATTTTAAACCCAAATATATCTAATTTCAATATGTGCAAATAATTTAAATAAAATTTTCTAATATTTATTTTTAAAAAAAATATATATTCTAGTAATATACCAGCACACAATTGTTTCAGGGTCGCTGCCACTTGTATTTGCTACTTGTTATTGCTAAACCTTGATTATAAAATTGATTATAAATATTGTCAATAAATTATTAGCAGATTGTATAATACAATTTGTATTATTCATAAATGTTCAGACATTTTATTATATATTTATTTTAATAAATACTGTGAAATAAAAAAGAAATTAAAAATGAGTGACAAATCATTTCCAATATATGATACTTACGCTAATAGTCTTGTGATATCAAAAGACTTAATTGAAGAGTTAAGACAAAAAATTGTCGAAAGAGTTGACAAAACACCTGATCTATACTATAGTGAAGACATTAAGAGATTAAGAAGTAATGATTGGTTTGTTCGTCGCTTTCTTTATGAACCAAAGTCTAAAACCGATGTCAACAAAGCTTTGGATGCGTTGGATAAGTCGTTGAAGTGGAGGAAGTCATTTGGTGTCCGAGACATTAACAATACTGATTTTGCACGTGAAGCCTATCTCAGTGCCGGTGCCTTTATTTATGGCACCGATCTTAACGGATCACCAATACTTATAATGAGAGCCAAAGTGGTGCGAAAGATCAAGTCGTGGGTAAAAAATGCCTACCAGTTCTTAGTCTTATTGTTTGAAACCATCGACACTAACTACGAGGGAAAAGGTTTGATAACATAAAAATATATAATTAATGTTTATATTTATTTTTAAAAAATATAATTAAACCAAAATATACATTAGGTTTAACAATACTAATGGATTGCAGAGATGCCGGTATTATGAACGCAGATATGGATGCACTAAAATTTTTGCATACAGTCCTAAATGACTATTATCCGGGACTGGTGTCTTCGGCACTGGTATTCAAGTTGCCGACCGTTTTGGAGGCTATCTTTAAGATTTGCCGTTCGTGGCTTAACGACGAACAGTCCAAATATATGTATACTATCGGCAAAAAGACTATCAATCAATACGTTTCTGTCGATCAATTACCTGATATACTGTTGGGAACTAACCCATTACCCTATCGTAACCCTCCAGACAATGCTCCCGGTGCTCATGAATTGGCCGAACGTCTATCAATTAAACCAGAAAAAGCTGACAAACTGGTCAAACATTTAGAAAAGTTTTACGAAAAATAATTATCCAATCAAATGATGTAAATCTAAAATTATATAAATATTTTTGACACTCGAATCTCATATCCCTAAAAATAAAACTATTTTATCCATTAAATGATTAAATTTAGGGTTTAATTAAAATACATTGTTTAAAATTACAGAAATGGCATCACATAAGTGTGCCCTAAAAAGGCCTTTAACTCAAATAATTATTAACATTGCATTGAAAGTGTGGTCTCTCAGCACATATCATATACTGTATTAATATTATTATACAATATATAAATTAAGAAAAATATATTGAAAATTTTGTTTAATAAAAACTTGTGACAAGCAATACAATGTAATAATTGATTAAAAATATTTCTAAAAAGTACCGAACCCTAGTAATCGTATTAAATTTAATAAATAATAATTTAATATAATAAAATCTATATATTTTAAATATATTTTGAAAATTTTAATGTTTAAAAAATATTATACTTAATAAAGCTATTTAAAATGCTAGACATTTATTAAAGAAATAAAAAGATTATGTCAAATAAATTCTATATTTTAATTAATAATTATACTGTATATATATATATTATTTAACATTTAGATTATCATAATGTCAATGACTTATATAAATTTTAGATAAAACGAGATTATATGCGTATACATACAGTATAATAAATGAGATTATCTAAAGTTTGGTAATATTTATGTACTAATTTAACATTTATATCAACAGTTACGGGTAAGCACTTTTGATTTTAATATCATTTTCACTTAATAATATATTATATACTGTTCAGTACACATTGTATATTATATATTATATGAATAAATTTATAAAATAGCATTATTTTTCACAACTAAAATAATTAATATTATATAATAATTTATACTAGATTGTGCAATTTAGTTAAATTTAAAATTTAAAGGTTATCTATCATCAAAAAATATAATTAAATGTTAGGCAATACATACATATATTCAAGTTCTAAGACCTTTTATCATATCTACAAAAAACATAATAATTGACTCATTTTATTTAAAAATGTTAATAATTTATAATATTTTATTTATTTTTCAAAATGATAAAATTCTTAATTAAAAGTATATAATTAATATGAAATCTATAAAGTTATTAAATTATTACTTTATACAGAAATAAATAGATTTTACTAGTATGTAGAAAAATAGTAAACAAAATTTATTAGTATACAAAATAAAGCTATTAAAACAGTATAATATAGTACAAAATTATAATTTTTTATTTTAAGCTATTTATATATAATCGGATTACACTATTAATATATAGATGAGAGAAAGAAAGAAAGAAAGAGAGAGAGAGAGAGAGAATATAAAATTAATTAATAATATTTTTGATTGTTTTGATGTATATAAATTAGATTTTAATTTATTCAAATAGATATATAATTAATTAATAAATTAATTTATAATTGAATGCATTTGCAAAATTGTTTTTTATTTATGTTCTCGTTTAAAAAAACATTAAAAAGTGATATATCAATAAAATTAAAAATTTGTATATAATTTTACATGTATTTGCATAATATTTGTACAATATAATTTTATATTGAAATTTCATACATGTAGACAATAATAATAATAGTATAGATAAATATGTCCCTCATATTTAATTGCCCTACTTTTATAAATATTTTATTATGTGATTATAAAAATAAAAAATTTATTTTATGTGCATTTATTAATCTCATTAATTTAGTATTAGTTTAAATAGTACTTAAATATAAATAAATAAAAAAATATTTGTTTAATCTGCTAAATTTTAATTACAAACATTTATTAAAACTGAAATATCTTTATTGCTCAACAATTTAATAAAATTATTAATAATATGTCAATTATTAAATTCAAGTTTAAGCTAAAATTTTAATAAAATAATATGTGTTATGGTATTTACATTCATTATTTATAAATATTTCCTAAAATTTTTAAATATTTGGCAAATTTATTGTATAATAAAATAAAAAACTATTTTATTATTTTTCTTATAGGTTGTGGTAAATATTTTTATTATATAAAACAATTTAAATAATGCAATTTTATATATTATGCAATACTAATAATAAAATGCATATTAAATGTTTGATTAGTAGAGCGCAAAGAAATTGTCATAAAAAGCATTCAAAACTTTAATATTTTAACATAAATTATATGCCAATTGAAAAAAGTTATGTTTCAAACAAACAAAAATAATTCAGATGTTTCAAAAAATAGCGTCAATCATGTAGTTTATGATTCATAAAAGATTATTATTGATATTAATACATACATATGTTTATTATGTTTCTATATTTGTATTTAGTATATATTATTAATACAGATTTTATCAATTTTATCTGATTTCATATTATTTCTAATAATGTGAAATAATTTTCAATCGCAACACATGTGAGATCTCATAATGAATTAGTTGTTAACACATTAAAATATAACTACTATTTAAAAAAAAWATATATATATATATATATAATTGGCAACAATTATAAGTGTTTGATTATTAGATTATAATATTTTATGTGCCATTTAATGATATTGATCTTATCGATGAAGTCATCTTTTTAAAAATCCAATTTAAAACTTACAAATATTTATTGTAAAATTTATAAAATTTTACTATTAAACTAAAGTTATACTAACTATTTATATAAATTGTTTAAAAATATTACACTTCCTATAATCATATTCTCAAATTTGATTATCTAAATAAATTATAATAATCATTAAGTTATAAAATAATGTGGCTAAAATATTTAAATAACAAATAATTATTAATAAAAAAAATAATTCTAATTATAAATCTGAATATTTTATTAATGATTAGTTTTGATAACACTATTTAGTAATTTTTAAAAATATTATTGTATTTATAGAATTAGCTTTTTATAATACTGAATATGATATTTTAAAAATCTATATAAAAGTCCATATACTGTATAGCTTTACTAAATTAAATTTGATTTAATTTCAAATTTGAATACATTTTTAATTATTTAGCAGATAATCTTTCTCTACAGTATTTATTTATTTCTTAAGTCAGTTATTTAGACAAATACTAATTATTGTTAACTTAACTAAATTAAGTTTCGGCATAATATAAAATATATAGTGTCTAGGTCACCTAACTGTCAGACATTATTATCAAACAAAAATCTGACAATAAATTGTGATGATATTTGTTATAAACAATACTTGTAAAATGTCATATTAATAAATTAAAACAAAAACATAACTATTTAAATAATTTACTAATTATATTACTAAATTTATTATAACTATATTTTCTTATTCTAATTAATAGCTAAATAGCTATTAACAAAACTTGTTAATTGTATATAATTTTGATTTAAATTAAGAAAATCGATACTTAGTTTCATTTTCTGATCGTTGATTAGATTTAAGACAATTTAAGTGCTTCAATGAGTATTGACTCCCAAAAAACAATACCGTATAAAAAGGTTTACAATTTTTGCAATAAATATGATTATATGTTATACAATACATCGGTAGACAACTAAAGATCATAAGTTCTGTCTAAATACATTATTCTTATATTTAAAAAATAATAATAATAAATTGTATTGACGTATGAAGACATTATATTGTGAACAATAAATAAAAACAATTGTTTTATTGTTTTAGTATTTGTAAAAAAAATATTTTTACTACAAAAAAATGCCAAAACTTGAAAAATATTTAACTTACAGTTGTGTTGTTATTGTGGCCGTTGTCCTCACTAGTAATGACCAATTCTTTACGTGGGCACAGGAGGCAGTATCACCCGATATATGGACACCTCTTGTGGCTTCGTTGCCGACAGCAGTTATGGGTGCCATTAACTTAGCTCTGGTTTCAAGATTGGCCGGACCTAATGGTGGTGGTCTGACAGGTCTAAGCAGATTTCTACCGGGAGGTGATGGGTCGTCAACCAAAATGATGTTTCTCGGAAAACATAATATACAAGTCAGCAATCTTAAAAAGTAATTGTTTTTATTTAATTATATTTTTTTAAATGTTTTAATAATCTCTATATATTAAAAAACAATATTTATATTCAATAATTTAGTAGTAATTTAGTTATATATTATTTAATTGATTGTATTATTATTATAGAGACGATGATGAAGATGATGACGATGATGACGACGACGACGACGATGATGATGATGACGATGATGACGATGAGAATGAAGTCAATGAGGGTAATGGTAAAGGTGGATATGGCAATAGTGGGGGTTATGGATCATTGGGTGGCAATAAGGGAGGTTATGGTACTGGTAGTGGGTATAGTAGTGGAGGATCAAACAATTTATATGGAAAGGGAGGACAGGGTGGTTACCAGAATAGTGGATACGGAACAAAATCTACGAGTTATGGTAGCAGTAGTGGTGGTTATGGTGGTGGCGGTGGAGATATGGGTTCATATGGCAATAATATGGGCGGTGGTATGAATTACGACCAAATGCTTGTGGCCAACGCTATGTCACAACAGTACCCGAATATAGATCCGAGTCAAATATATTGGCCTCAAAGTGAGGAGTCGGCTATCAATAATGTAAAAAGTCAACCCAGTGCTGATATCGGTGCCAAACCAACTGTGATTCTAGGAATTCCCAAATTATCTTCACCTAAAGATGATGGACAGAGAAATTCAATGATGCCTTTATTTAAACATAGCTCATACTCTATGCCCACTACTGTCGAGGGTTTTCAACCAATTTCAGAGACAAGATATGAAGACACACGACTAAAACCAACCCATGAAAGACCTGATACCAGTGCTAATAGATTTGATGAACACAACAATGAATACCAGAATCAGAATCATTTGGATAATTCTGAACAACAGAGAGGGGAACAGATCTCCAGTTATAATACACTTTATAACGATAATTACAATCACAATAATGATGACTATTCAAAGGCCGACCGAGTGCTTAGGTATGAGGGAAATCATATTAGACACAAGAGATCAGTTTATAAAGACATAGATGAACACAAAATCTCGAAAACAAAATCGAAAAAATCAATCAACAGAGCGGGTAATGTACCACCAATTAGACATGACAAGACTACAACAGCAATGCCATTGACATTGATGGACAAAATCAATCCATTGAAACTATTTATGTCACCCTCGAAGAGTCCAATTGATCACAAAGAGGATAAACAGAAAAAGTTGAAAAAGTTTAAGAAATCAAAGTCAGATCAGCCATCAATTGATATGCAATCACAGGCTTCCTCTGATAGGATAACCACTGCTACCAGATTTATGTCTAAAGAGAGTGGTCCGCAGGGCATCCGATTTATACCATTGAATCAGTACAAGAATATGATGACAATGCCTAGTAATCTGATGGGTGTCCAACGCAAGGCTGGCGGCTATAATAATAATAATAATAATGTCGATGACGAGGATTGCGATGATGATGAAGATGACGACGACGATGATGATGACGATGACGCCGATGGTCTGGCAGATGGTAAAAATGCTGTCATTCAGATAATCTACAAACCAGACGATAAATTTAGTGGTGGTTTCGGTGGTCTAATGAGAAAAATGTTTGGAGGACAGAGAAGAGGAACAGTAGGTGAAAGAAGTGCAGAAAGAGAGCTGAGTTTCCGTAATGGAGGAAAAACACAACAAACTATTAGCTTATAATTAGTAAATAATATGATTTTTTTTCATCAGTTTTTAGCTCTTAATTCAAGAATATTCTCTTTATTTGAGATAATTTTGTTTCTATTATCAAAAATCATAAATTCATATGAATTTTAAATCTCATTTACATAACTATTGTTTATACGTATTATACCTTATGATACTATAAGCCAACTCTATATATAGTGAATATGTATATCTTACGTACATTTATAAATAGCTGTCTAATTATTTGTTAATTGTGTTAACTAATTGTAATGTATAGTTTTTGTTGTTTATAGAGTCAATTATGTGTAGTGTCAACTAATGTAAGTTTCCTATTGTGTTATTACCTGTACTTAATTTTTATTGTTATTGCATTCATGTAAATTGTAAATTATTTTTTCTAAACCATTAATTGTCATTTATTTGTAAGTATTGTTAAATATTGTCATATTATGTTAAATGTAATGTAAATTTATACCTCATATTATTTTTTGCTAACATTTTCTTTTAAATTTTCATAGTATTTTGTTGTTGATATCATTAATTAAATAAATTAAAATATATAATTTATTCGGCATGTGGTTAAAACATTTTTAAAAATATAATAGTAATTTCAAATTGTAAAAAATATATACATTATGTGATATGTTTAGATATTTACAGTATTAATCAATTAAACACTAAGCACTAAAAAAATCAACAACAAAAAACACTAAACAATAACACAAACAAAAAATATTATATATTTTTGTAATTTTCTATATAAACTGTATTGAAATTAATTGTCAAAAAATTTGTCTAAAATAAAAAAATATAGGATTTATAATATAAATTATATTTGTTTAGTTAATTGTTACATTTATAGTGTTGAAACATGTTTTTTTGTATAATTAATTGTTATTTGTTTGTCTGAGTTTTGTTAATCTCATTATTTTTTGTTTGTATTTTTCAGTTGTTTAATAAATTGTTTTATCAGTTGTTATATTGTATAGTAATGTCATTAATTTTTTTCTTTATGTTTTTTCTCTTAATATAATATAACCGTTTATCTCAATTTTATTCAATTAATTCAACACAAATGTTTTTTCAACATAATTTTATAACAGTATATTATCTCATATAATTCAAAATATATTTTATTATTAGTTTTATAAACATCAATTAATGTTAAATCAATTGTATAACAATTTTATTAATATTGTAAAACAAGTAAAAATTACTAATTAATAAATTTAAATAATTATAAACAATTTTTTTAATAATTATATTTTTTCATAAATTTTAAGGTATTGTTTTTTAACTTCTGTATAAATATTTTTTATAAAATAATTTGTAAAAAATATTCTATTATTTTCATACTATCTTTCAATTCAATTCAGTTTATTTAAAGAGTTAAATGTTTTCCAACATTTAGGTGTTTTTCATACAATATTTATTATTATTGCTTATCATATTTGAAGTTAATATAATCAATGAAAGGTTTAATAATTGTGAGTACATTACTTTTGGCACAACTGTCCAAAAACATTGCCACTGATGATGACTGTGGGGTAGCATTGATAACCAAAAGCGTTGAATTAGTTCATGATTTTCAGTTCATATATGAAAGGGTTTGTCAAACTTGTAAGATATTGTAAATGATTATATATTTTTGATAAGTTTTATGTAATCTTAGCAGAAAAAAAATTATAATATAGTTTTATTTATAAAAATGCAATTTTTATTTTATCAGTAAAAGTCAATGAAGACGCTTATAAGCTATCAAAAAGAAAATGTGTTCAAAATATTATCGACCAATTTATTAACAAATTATATACTGTATGTAATATTTTTCAATACTATACTGTTTTATTATACTATAATAATGTATTTAATATCAATATATTAATATTAAATTAATCTTAAGGATGATATCATTGAATTAACAGCCAAATTGACACAAATGCCGTGTTTTAAACTATTGTTGCCGACATGTGAAGCGGACAGTTATGTCAAACTGAAACACTGTATTTTTGATTTTGCATTGGAAAACATACAGGTATTTACCAAAAATTAGATCACTTTATTAACTATTAAACTAATTATAAGTATTATAATAATAAATAGTCTATTATTTTTAGAAAGAGTTAGAAATTTACAAAAACCAAACAATGAGAACTATTATAATTAATTTGGTCACTGAAACAAAGGTTTGATTTTTTTAAAAAATAATTAAAAAATGTAATATTTTGAACATTTTATTCAAAGTTTATCTATTAAATAGGATTGTCTACAAAAAAGTTTAGATGAAATTGATGTCAATGAAAGAGTTAAATCTAATCATCTGATGAATGGATCACTTTGAAGATTATTTCATTTAAATTGATTACTGTATTGAGTAAATCACAATTAAGTTTAATTTTAAAAATCACTTTTATTAAATTTTAATAAACAAAATATATTAATTTAAGTGTTATTTTATGTTTAATTAAAATTCGCTTAATTAATAAATTAACTAAAATAGTAAAATATTTATATTAATACTGTTGTAATTTAAAATAGTTTGTAATTTGTTATACAGTAAAAGAAAACATTTTTTAAAAGTAACCAATAATTAAATAGTTTTACTAATAACTATTAATTATAATAAAAATCTAATTATTTTATCAATAAAACTATTAAATGTAATAAATAGTAGGAAATAAAAAATTGTATAATTGATGAAAAACTTTGATAAATGTATACAAAAGTTAAACTATTTATCAGTAAGTATTTGATTACTAATGAAGTCATTGAATAACAGTTTTGCCGCAAAACACGTGATTTCATAATACAAATCAATGAATACATTGAATGCAGTGTTTGTTTTGCATATGATTTATATGATCACAGAAGTGGTCGACAACTGATCCAAACAAAATCAGATTTCGGGTCAACACATCTGGTCAGTGGACAGTTCATCGGTGGTGTACAAAATGGCCGTAATATTGAACGCTTATTACCAGAAATTGATTGACTTTGGGTACATAATAATGCCGAAAGTGGACGAACTGTGTGGGGGTTGGCTGTCGGCCAGGATTTGGACTTTTTATGAGACAAATACACATCATTTTCGGCAATTTGATCGCAAGAGTCGACTAAAGCGAAAACTAACCAGTTGTCTGACCAAATACTTTACCATCAATGACCTCAAGTTTGAAAACCTCTACATCAGCGGCTCGACGGTCAACGGATTTGCCACCAATGACTCGGACATTGATCTGTGTTTTGTTGTCCACAACTTTTTCTATAAAGACTTTTCAAAGTCCAAGAAAGTTGACATCTTGTCGACCATCGAGAGTATTGTGAGCAACGAGTTTGAAGTGGTCGACAGCCAAGTAATTGAGGCCAGAGTACCGATTTTGCGGTACACCGATCGGCTAACGGGTATTCGGGTTGAGATTAACATCAATAATGAAATCGGAATCAGAAACTCAAGACTACTCTACTGTTACTCAAAACGTGAGTTTAGTTAACGTTATTAACGACTAATTGTTTTGTTCAAAGATATCATTTTTAAAGATAATTAATATTATTTCATATGTTATTAACCAAAATCTACTTTTAAAAAAAATATCATAAAAGAGATTCATTTACTTGACTTTACTATTAAATCAATTTTTAAATTTAATTAAATTTAAAAAAGCCTAAAAGTGAATAATAGTTTTAATATGAATACAATAAATATATTAAATTAAGATTTTATTGGAAATATCACAATTAATATATTTAATGAAAATAAATTGTGTATTTTTATTTATAACTTTTTATATACAAATATACCCAATATATCGATATAGAGGTTATTTTCATATCTATATTTCTAATTGAAATAATGAATATTTAGTAACAAAAAAATATTTGTTAAAACTAATTAGTTAATAAAACAATCGTTTATTATTTTAAGAGTAATTAATTGCTTGAATTGATATTTTTTAATCACTTATATTCTGTAAATTTTCTCATTATTATAAATTTATTATACTGTAGTTTTTTTTAGTCTAAATGTCGAAATATTTTAGATTTTAATTATTTTATTTTTTGAAAATTTGAATTAAAATGCCATTATTTTCAATATCAATGATGACATTTCATTGGATCTATTGGTGGCATCAGTTGACTGGCGTGTCGTTCCTATCTGTATATCCATCAAACAGTGGGCAAAACACTATCAGATTATCGACTCGTTTAGCGGCTGTCTGTCGAGCTATTGTGTGGAACTGATGGCAATATTCTATCTCCAGATTTGTTCGCCACCACTATTGCCATGTCTTCAGAAAACAGATGTACAGATGTTTGCCACAAACACAGACATCTCTGAATACCGATTACTACCCGATTTGGAACAATTGAATCCATTTAAGAGTGAAAACCAACAATCTTTAGGTCAATTATTTGTCGGCTTTTTTAAGTATTACAGTTTAGATTTTGATTTCTCAACACAAGTGGCTTCTGTACGGTTGGGTCGAACCATCTCTAAAGCCAGTTATGTACCACCACTGGATCAATATCTTTGGGAATACATTGCTGTAGAAGAACCATTCAGTTTAGATAACTCCGCCCGAACTCTATATGAATTGAAACCCTTCCTTATGGTTACCAATGAATTCAAGAAAATGTATGAAAAATTCAAGGATTTGCACTGTGATTGTGGTTGTGATTACTAAATCATATTTTTGTCTTAAGTTATATAGTCTTTTCCAAACATTATATCATAATTTAGTTTCAATTCATGTGATTTTTGTTTTTATATAAGTTATGATTTAATTTTAATTTGATATTTTATTTATGACAATTTATAGTTGTATTGTTATTATAAAATGTTTGCTTTATAATTAATTTATTATATGTATCATACTTTTAATTCCTTTTTTACCAAAAAAGTATCACTAATTTTATAAATAAAATTTTTTGATTAATTACTAATAATAATTTGGTTGTTTATTTTATAACTGATTATTTGTTTATGAATATTACGGTAATTTATAAAATACGGTAGTAATTCAATATTTGTTAAGCAAAGTAAAATGTTTTTATTGATAATAGTCTACAATTTATAATAATAACAGCATATTTAGAAACTCAAGTAACATAAAAATAGATATACATTTTTATGATATATTTTATAGCTATTGTTATTATTAAAATTATATATATACAGGTATATATATTTAGATAAAAATCTTACATTATTTTTAAAAAGATAAACTGATTGAAAAAGTTAACCTACATTTTTATGTGATACTAATTTTGAACAATTTATGTAAAAAATTTTTTTATCTAAAACTACTTTAATTCAGAATATTTATTTAAAATTTTTGATATACGATATATTACAACAAAAATAATAATTATTATAATTATAAAATTGATTTTTTCAATCAAAAGTCGACTCCCATTGTAAAAAAGATACAAATCTTACAAAATTTATGTCTACTAAAAAATATTGTAATTTATCGATTAAATTTAGATAAATCATACTATAATAGGAATTGTTTTTAGTTTTTTAATTATATTTAAGCTAACGAAGCGATTTAGGGAACTTATAGGACATCTTATCGCAAAATTTATCGCATCGTTTCAAATGTCTTGTCATTGGATTGGTTTGAAAATATATTATTGTTTCATTTGCATGTATTTTTACAATATTTTATTAAAAAAAACAGTTATATAATATTTATATAACAAACAACAACAACAATAATACAGTTATTATTATTATTTTATATATTGTGAAAAAGCTTAGGAACTTTATAAATATATATATAAGTTGTAAACTGTCTAAACATAGTGTCATTTATAGATAAGAAAAAACAACTTAAAAGACAAGTAAATATTGAGTTCACAAAAGCGTGTCATAAAACACAAGGGTTGTCATAATTTTGAGGCAAAGTTTATGCTATATTTGCTGAAAAAACCAAAACTGAAAGGATTTAAATATATAGCCTCTGAAAATACTTTATGACAGACAGTCATTGATATAAAGACATTGAGCTCAGGTATGTACTGTATTATATAACTGAGCAAAAAAACTATTATTATTAACAGTGTTGGAGTATAGAGAAAAAACTTATTACAAATTCATTATTCATGTCTGAATAGAAATAATATTTATTTTTGTTATTTTTTATTTATATATATCATTACAAACAAAGCATTGATACTTTGTTTAATCGTAAACTTCAAGAGTGGTTAAGTCAACTAAAGTTTTTTGTTTTGTTTATTTATTTAACAAAAAAAAAGTTTTTCTTAATTTATTTAATTTGTTTTTGAAAAAGTGTTGAACAAATAAAATGAAGAGTTTTAATATTGTGTTAATAATTGAGTGCTTTTTGGTGTCTCTACTGGTATTAACCATCGTTGACAACAATGTGTTGGCTTCGGGTCAGGCATTGGAGGCATTAGCCACTGGTGTTGCCGGTGGCGGTGCAAACAGCTTAATGACGGGTTTGATTTCGCAAATTCCCGCTAAAGTCATAGGAATCTTACAGTTGGGTCTATTGTCGCGTCTGTTAAGACAAAGAAGAAATCGGGACACCAATGCTGGCAATAATGGCATCGATGATGACAGAGATGGACAGGTAGATGAAAGTGATGAACTTGCTTTGGATATGGGTGGTCACAAAAATATTATGCTATTCTTAGGAAAGCATAATATTCAAGTGAGCAATCATGGCATTGATAAGTATGTATTTAGTTTACATAGTTTAGTTTATTTAGTACTTAATATAATAATTTAGTATATTTGCTGCTTTATAAAGTTATTTAATTTTCATTATTTTTATTTATACTTAAATATATATGTTTTAATTTATCAGTTTAATATTAATATAATAATAATACAAAATATTGATTTAATATTGATATATTTATATTACATGTTTTGATTTTATAAATTTACTGCTAGTTGTAATTTAGAAAAAATTAAAAATTTAAATAATTTTATTTAAAACCTATAGTCTATACTTAAAGTGACAAAAATAATACAATAAGTCTTTGTCTCGTTTATGTAAAAATTTTATTTTAGATAAGCTTTAACTGAATGCTAATGTTTAGATAATGATATTTTTTAGTAAACTTTGATTATATACTAACCATTTTTTAGTGATGACGACGAAGACGATTGTGAAAATGATGAATGTAGTGAAGATGATGATGACGACGACGACGACGATGATAATAGCAATGGTAACGGTGGTGGCAATAATGGCTATGGATCAAGTGGACAATCATACGCTGCCGCTTCAAACTTATACACCAGTGGAGAACCAGGAACTGCTATTTATGAATCCAACAGTGATTTGACTGAACAAAAAACATCGAAAAAGAAGAACTTAAAGAAGTCATCGTCGAAAAAGTCAAAGAAAGACAAAAAGAAAACTAAGAAAACTAAGATTGAAAGCAGTGATGATATTAGCGGTAGTTTATCTGATAACATGCCGTACGAGGGACTGGCATATCAACCATTGATGGCAATGAATAGCGAAGAAAAACCAATTAATGTACGCTTTCCTTGGCTTAGAAAACTACTACCAATCGGTGGACCGACCGGTGCTGATGTACAAACACCGCCAACAACTAATACAGTGTCCGCTGTTTCTGATTATGACAGTGTCGATGATAAACGATCCGATATTAATGAAATAATATAAAAAAGTTTTTTTATTATATAAATTATAAAAATAATAAAATATTCGCAAAAAAAACTATGTTTGCATATTTTTTATTGTTAAAATTAAAGCATAAATTATTTTCATTTTAAATTTAGTTTTATATTAATATAAAACTGTTTTATGAATACCATTAATTTTCAATTTCTAACCACAAAAAAACTAATTAGAAATAATTTATAGCATATTATCACAGAATACTACCAGTTTATTAGTATTAATATAAAATATTAATTTGTTAAATGCAATGAAAATATTAAACAAATTATACACACAAACACACACATAATAAATTAATTTCCATAAATATAATAAATAATTATAATTATAAAAACAAACTAATGTATAATATAATTATTTATATAAATTCCTAAAATATTAATGAATAATTGAAGGCAAAAGTTATACAACAAATTGAAAATCTAATTAAATTATTGTTTTTAAAATGAGAATATTCTGTGTTTAATGATTAAAAAATTTGTTTAATAATAATCGATGTCAAGTCGTGCATAAAAATTGTTTTTATATGAAAAATTTATATTAAAAATATGTGCTATATATCTGTCATAAAATATATTTATATAGAGATTATGATAAAATCGTGTCAACTATTGATAAAAGATCATGAAATATGATGGACAACAACACTAACAATACTGTAAATAGAAAGATGAATAAAATCAATATCATTGTTAGTATTATACTGTACTGTATATTCATAATATGGCTTTTTATACATATATTTTTACGACAAATCAATGTTTTGAAAGTACATTATAGAGAGATAGTCATGAATTTCATAACATTAATTCATTGTACAGTACTGTATAGTATATGTTTGGATTTGCAAATGAGAGGAAAAATTATGACATTTATAATAATAGCAAATCAAGCAAATGATGAGTGCATTACATAAAACATAGAGAGAGACAAACAAAGGCTGTGAGAGTGCAGTACTTTTTGGACGCTTTTAACGATAAAACTGTTATTATATCGTAAGACATGCGTAATGTTGAGCACTGGGTATTGCAAATGCCTTATATTTTTTCACTGTGTTTATACCAAAACATTGTGTGAAAGAGAGAGAGAAAGAGAGAGAAAAAGAGAGAGAGAGAGATATATATATAAACCATTAAACTTATAGTGTATTTGTGTGTTGTGTTTGAGTGCAACACAAATATACACAATATTTGAAAATCAGTTTTCAATTTTTGCTGTTGTTTTCATGTTTTACTAAAATTATATTGCATTTGGATTTGCATTTAATGTTTTAAATCAAAATCATTATTAAATAATTTTTTACACTGTTTTAATAAAACAATACATCAATTTATGTGTCTATTATTTTTCCTAATCTATTTATAATCTAAATATTCTGAATATATATATATATAATAAATATATGATAATATATACGATATATGCAACCAATTTCACGCTTACATGATTTCAAACATAATTAATCCATTAATGATATGTATATTTGAAAAAAATAGTTAATATTCATTCAAATAATAATAATATTATTATAATTTAATATATGATAAAACCAGAAGAAATAATACTATTAATAATAACAACAACAACAACAACGACTACTACTTAAAATTAATCGCTTGATTTGAATATTAAGTGAAAACACTTTTGACAACAACTACTATAGTATATATATAATAATAATAATAATAATATCATAACTTTATATCAAATCACAACAAATAATTGATCAAAACATAGGATATTATATGATATATAAGTGAATTTCATTTTATTTTTTATATACTATTCATCTGTTTTTATCGCCTCTCAGTTTTCACGTGTTTGTGTGTATGTATACAATATTATTAATATTAATATATCATATATTTCATGTAATTCATATATTTAATAAAAATATTTATCAATAGATATAAATTTATTGTATAGGATATAATACCACTTATCTATTATATTCATTTTACAGTACATACTGTATAATACCGTATATTAAATCAAATACTGTAATATCATTAAGAAGTTGTAAATATAGACTAAGTTATAATAGACTCTTTGTTATCGTATATTATATTATATTATATTATTTGAGAGAAATACTATTTGATGAATAACTCTATACATTGTTTGTCATTCAAACCAATAAAACAAAAAACAAATATCATAAACAGTACCGTATATAAACTGTATATATCATATATATTATATTATATTTATACAAAGTTATGTAAAACACAAATTAGTTAAACATACAAATTGTATTATACAATACACTCTCTTTTATAATTACTATATAATGACTACAATTCATAGTAATAATAATAATAAGGAATGTTTTTGTTATTTCAATGACAATCAGTAATATACACTAAATTTTTATTTTATTTTTTTTATAAATATACAGAGTATAGTATTACAACTTGTAATTCATAGTTAACATTGTCAGCTGTTTTTTACGGCACCACATATTGTATATGTATGTATAATATATATAAATTATGATTTACACTATCAAAACTGTTTTTCAACAAAAATAAATAAAACACAAACTTATGTTTGACTTAATAATAATAAAAATAATAAAATAATATTTTTTGTTATATCGTAAATACACATATTTGTAAAAATAAAATATTACCACAAAATCACTGTACGTTATATAATATAATATTATAATTGCCAATTATTGCCATATATTTTGGCAGTTTGTTTGCCAGCATTTGCTAAGAGAAAATTACATGAAATATATTGTTATATAATATAACTGATATTTATTATTTAAAAAGTGTTAAAAATTTTTATTATATATTATTTTATATAAAGTGCTGAACATGTATTTCAATCATCAAATATGATGACATGTATGACATTATTTTTCATTGCATTTATGTTAAGCAAAAGTTATGGTAAGTATTATTATTATTGTTATTTGTTATATATTTATTAAATTTTTATATTACCGTAATTTAATTAATTTAATACAATATTAATTTAATATTATTAAATAATGTATCTATATGATATATTAAAATTTTTAAATATATTGTAATCTGATTTAAATATCTAATCTATTAGTTATAAATCGATTTGTTGATTGATTTTTCTTTTAGACTCAATTTTTAATGTATTTATTCTTAACTTATACTTTTTTTATTATTATACTATAGACTATATCGCTTATCTATTGTATGTGATTATGTTGTTTCCCAATCAATCAATATATAATATTGATATAAGTTATATATATATATAATTTATTTCTATATCAAGTATGTGAGACATACAAATGAATTTAATTGTATTCACACAATGATTGATAACAAACTTTTCTACCAAATATTAAATATTTCTTTTATGTTTCATCGTTAACGCTAATAAATAAAATTTGAATATTTAATAATAAAAGTTATTTAACATTTTTTGATGAAATATTTGACTTTTAAATTATTATATTTATACCATAAGCTAAATTGAATAATTTTAAACCATAAAAAATAAATTCAATATTTCATCCTTTTATTATAAATATACTTCAAATATTTATTTATATTCAAAATAGTCAAAATATACAAAGTTTTTTATGATTAAAAATTTAATTTAAACCAAAAAAACTGATGCTTAATATCTCACGATTTTATCTTTATTATTAGATCATGTGTTATAATATAAACTAATGGTATGTCTTATTACTAACATTAGAGTACCCAAAAAAAAAACAGAAAAATGTGAGAAACACAAAATGTATTATTATTTTTGTTTCGGGAGACTATAAATAAAATTTCGATTTATATGCAAATTATAATTAAAGCAAAACAATGAAACAAAAGAAAATGTTTGAAACAAATAAAGACTTGAATTCTTTGAGTATTTTTTCAATTGTTTTGATTCTTATTGAAATCTTTATACTCTAATAAAATGTATGTTTTTATTTAAGTTATATTAGTAGTTATATTACTGTATTACCTTATATTGTATTAAAATTAATCTAATGTTTGTTTTTTATTGTTATGAAATGTATTTTCATAATTACAGCGACTAATCCACACTATAGACTTCAAATCACACCTTCGGGTAAAGTCTTCTTTAAGGTCGGAGAGTCTTTTCAACTCAATTGTCTTCTTATCCCAATTGATGCAAAAATGTAAATTATAGCAAACTTTTCACTCGATATATTCCTATGGGACAGTCGGTCAGCACTTAATGTAAAGCTGTAGAGAGAGAGAGAGAGAGAGAGAGAGAGAGAGAGAGAGAGGCCCGGGCACAAGTAATTTTGCATATAAGTGCTCTTTATATTCTAATTATTTGTGCAAAACACTATAATTTATATAAGTTTGAAACATTTGATACCACAGCAGCAGCTATTTTAAGTTGAGTGAAACCAAATTTCACATAATTAGCATACATTTACATTGAACTGCTTTTTCTCCACTATTCCCAGAGTTTTGCATAATTTTATGTTTTATTTGTATTTTTTAGCAATAGTTATGATATTTTATGACGACTGTCTCATAGTATCGATAAAAAGATATATAATTTGAAACTAATAATTAAATACTACTTTAAAAATATATATCTACAGTTTTCCCCTACGGGTTACATTACCGATCAATTCTCCGTCATTGAATGGCCGCATAAACATCGAGGAAGAGCCCAACAACTTGACGATTACATTACGGTCACTACATGTTAACGACACCGGTTGGTACAACTGTGAGGCCTCTGATGCAACGTCACCCATACGTCAGTCTATTTACGTGACCATTCAGGCCGAACACGTCGGTGATTGTCCGGCCAATACTTATTTTTCGTGCGGCAATCGACTATGTATTCCCAAACGTTACATCTGTGACGGCTTTACCGACTGTCCCAATGATAAGGATGAAAGTCCTGAAATATGCGGTATGTATTGCAAGCTAAACATTAAACATAAAATTATGTCAATTTTTAAGCATTTTTCTATAAAAAAAAATAAGAGAGTATTAGTTAAATTGTCTTTTAGTTAAATTTTTTTCTTAAAAAACTCAATTTATTTTAAACTCTTTTATTTTTAACACAGTTTCTATTGAATTGAAAAGAATATTCTTTCATTTATTATGCAATTAATTCAAAATAAGTATTTCTTTTTATATTTTAGGCATTAGTCTTGTCTTTACTTTTTGTTAATTTAATCCAATGTATTAGTTAAATGATATGTTTACTTAGATATTAAGTGCAGTTTTAAAAAAGATAATTATTCATCTCTAAAATAATTAATTTCATTGACTTGTTTTGTATTTTTCCCATTATCTCTAATGTGTGAAATTATACTACTCTATATGGTGTACTTATATATAAATTTATAATTTATACATAATACAAATAAATACACATATTTTATATACAGTACATGTATTGTACAGTTTAAACAAACAGTATGTTTGTTTGTATTATATAATTTATTGTAGTAACACATTATTTTTAAGTAATTTAAACTCATTATATAAATGAGTAAAGCTTATTATTATTTGAAAATTTCTCATTGAATTGTGAATCAATAATAATAATAATATAATATAACAAAAGAGAATAAGTCTTTTATATTTTTTGAAAATAATCGGAAATTATATAATAATAGCAATCATAAAGAAAGTGAACGATGAGCTATTGTAACAGTAAAATATCAAAAAAGTTAAGTCCCTATTATATAATGCCTTAATATTTAGCGGTTAATACACTGGTGTCAAAGTGTATATAATACCAATACAACAAAAATTGTTATTATTATATGAAGAAAAAGAAGCCATATATTGTGTGTTGTATTAATATACTTCACAGTTATATGTTTGGCTCATTATAACAGCCGCGGCATCATTGGTAACGGTTATCTCCTTTTCCGATCTTTTCATAGTTTGGATACAAAAAAAACTTTACATTTTTACTGTTAACCTAATTTCGTTGCCTTCACTGACTTTCTCTGCTTATCAAAAGCCATAAATCCTGTATTAAATCCACTTTTTTGTTGATTCTTCATTACATTATATAATATCATTGTTTTGTTAGGATATATATTATATATATATAGTACTAGTATTTAAGTATAGAAAATATAAACCTCAACAGAGAATCAATAGTGTGATAGACATAGCTTTTTAATGACACAATAAATGGAAAATGAGTCTTAAAAGAGGCATAAATTAATCGTCTTTTCTCTCTTTTTTCTTCTTCATATTCTTCTATTTCTTTGTTTGTCTACTACTTTACTGTCAATCCATTATATAGGAGTGAATCCGTGCGATAACAAGATCTCATGTGAAGACGGACGCTGTATTGACAAGAGTTTATGTTGTCTGAGACAACTGGACCCAAGCTGTCCGGTCACTAATCTGGTGTCTTGTTGTGCTGACTATTTGGAACAGTTGGGTAAGTCATAAAATGTCTGATCTCTGCTGATGATCATAATAATCATCTAAACTCTGAATAACACAATTATAATTACATTAAATGTATGCCTATATTATTTCATTGCTATTTTTTGTGTCCAATAATATAGTAAAAAAAATAGTAAAAAAATACATAAAAATGACAAACATTTTTGTTCATTTTCTTACATCATATTTACTACAGTACTGTACAACATATTATACTGTAGTATGAAAAACACTATTATTATTATTACATGTTTTGTAACGACTGATAGTTGTATCGACAAAATAGTTAACACCATGTAATGAGTAATACATTTGTATTAATATAATTCCCTATACTCTTGTTGTGTGTATGTGTGTGTCAATAGCTATAACCATAACTATATCCATAAGCTTTTTGTGTAAGTTTAGCCATTAGTCTTAAACCAACGGTTGGAAGTGATGGCTGCACCTCTTAATATAAATACCATTAATTATTGATTGTTTTGCACAATAAACCGATTTGCAGCCACCCCTTAGCACACACTCTTAATAATATATGTTTTCGGGTATAACAGCGCTGCTTTGTATATATATATATATATATGTGTGTGTGTGTGTATGTGTACTGTATGTGTTGGCCATTGTGTTGGAAATTATCTTTGAGATTATGGGTTTGGTTTGTTCATTGAAAGCATACTATCTATTGTTAGCCATAAAGGCATTCATTTAAATATCGTTAGCATTTGAGCTGATAGTGTCGGCACACAAAAACAACTTTGCATTAATTTTTACGAAATAATTGATGTCTTAAACCCTATTTAATTGGCAACAATTATCTCTTGAATAGGAGGTATGCCTTACAGATAATGACCACAACATCTTTACTCTTTTATATTATGGCTCTCTCTTTCATTATCTCCTATTTTTTATCTCATTAATAGATAGCATATATTTCATTACACAACAATTAATTGTGAATTAGATAAATTGAATTAACTTAAATATAATTTAATAAATTAAAAATATAATATGCGGAAATTTGCATTATTAGATACAGTATAATATTTATGCATAAATCAAATTTATATTTTTGATGATAAAAAATGTTTTATAACGACTTTTTACTGGCAAAAGCCATCTCTCACTTATTGAAAATAATTGATTTTAACATTATATTTGAGTCCAATATACTCTATATTTGCTCACACTTTTTGCTCTCTCTCTCTCTCTCTCTCTTTCTCTCTCTTTCTTTCTTTCTTTCTCTATCTCTTGAAGTCCATTACTATCAGAAAATTGAGTTAACTATTAAGTGATTCAACAATAAATTGATGAACTAAAATGGGCTCTAAAATTTGATTTAACTATAATTTAACAAAATAATGGTTTAAAAAGATGTATACTATGGTATAAACTTTATACTACTACAGTATTTCGGTATATCGTATAATATTAAATATACTGTAGAATCCAAACAGTAGACTTAGTAGTAGTATATTTAGGCTTCTAAGTTATAGTATTATTAGATAAAAAGCAAAATACTTTTTGTGTAATAAAAATGTGTAGCAAATAGTATTAAAATAAGTTATATTTCTATCTATAAAACGTTTGAGGAATACTTAACTTAAATCATAAATTTATAATATTATATAATGTTTGTGTAGATCGTTAGTGACCAGAAAAAAACTAAAACACATCAAAACAGTTTTTACAATTATTATTAAACTGTTATATTTTTATGAAAATATAATTTAATAATATATAAGACATGACGATAAACATGTCTTGAAAACATATTTTAATTTATATTTGTGTATAAGATATAAGACATCAAAAAATAATTGTTACTAAAAAAGTCCATTAAAAATATGGTTTGCGTTGTAATAACTACAGTATATAATGAAAGCATAAATGAGTGATTGAGTCATTAATTTTTGATAATTCATTGATTTTCAGCTTTTATTAACTTTTATTATATAGTATTATAAATGATTTTATTAAAAAGAAAATGAGTTTTCAAAATGAAAGTTTTAAATTTTAAAAATTCATTAATCATTAACTAATAAGAGTGAGTTATAGAGAAAAATATTATTTTGAAAAAAATAAATGAATATCAATGTAGTTATTAAATATATTTATATGTTATATAACTTACAACACATACAGTATATATTCTGTAGTAAGTAATGACATATAACAATATATGCTTTCATAACAATGTAATCCTATTACAGTATTATAATAATTGTCAGTATATGTAACCAGTATTTTGATAATAACAATGAATTTTTTCAACATTTTTTATATTACTTAAAATCTGTGAATTTCTCTATTTTGAAAAACATTTTGTTCATAAATCATAGAAAAACTAAAAAACGATATTTATTATTATTATATATGTACTTGTATTGTAAAGTATATTGTTATAGTATATATATATTGGACAACTATTGATCTTATAGTATATTTTTATTTCATTCAACATTTTTGACACGTATTTCTATGAAAAGTTAGTTAACCGTTAAAATCAGCCTATTTTTCATTAAAATAATATAATACTTGGTTACTACTATTGTACAGTATATACAGTATATATTTATATATTGATAAATATATAAGTTTAATATATACCATACATAAAGATTGAATAGAGTTTTAGTAATAACCCTTAAGTTTATGGTTCAATCGTATTATTGATTTTTATTTTCATTTTGTTTACTGTATATATTCATTGCTATAAATTTTGTTGTCTTATATAAACGCAATATTTATTTAATACTAAAATTTTGCTTTTTTCAAGAATCATGAGATGCCAGGGATTTACGGGACAGACATATCAATAGAGAATATATCATTCAAAACATTCAAACATTTTTATATATAGTTTGCAAAATAAACAACATTTCTTTTCTTTAAGCCCTTCAATATGTGCTTATTATTAATATCTTTGAGTTTCTATGAGTTACAGCAAAAATAAAATCGTACAATACTTATGGATATCATATAAGAATAATATGAAGTTATGTCTAATTTTATTGTATGAAATTCTTGACCCATTTTTTCTGATGAAATACTTAAATATTTATGATTTAATGGGAATTATTCTCTTTTTCCTTACAAACACACAGTTTATATGAGTTTATAATATAATCGGTTTATTCCCGAAAAAAAATATTAAAAGAGAAGAAAAAATATGTAATACTCTGTACTTTTTACAGTTGAATAAATTATTCATAAATTGATAACATTATACTTTATATACTTTATATTATAGACTATTTATAATTTATAGTATCTTCGGGAGAGGAATGTATTAAACTTTTTATATTTGTCATATAATGCATTGGATTTTCAATAACCAAACAATAACTCACATACACACACATACACACACACATACACACACATACATACACACACATACATACACATACATACACATACACACACAATTGTATTGATGATCGTATCACATAAATATTTACCATAAATCTATATAAAACATATTTTTGAAAAGGTATATCAATTTGTTCTATTAAACTTTTTTTTAATTTATTTCCAAAAATTATAGATATTAATATAATTGAATAGATTTTTTTAAATTAAATATAAATTATTTTTATCGATAAATTTTTTATTGAAACTTTTGTGGCAAATGAAATCTATATAACAAATTGATTTTCATTCAATAGTAATACAGTAATAATAATAATAATAATATCAATAATGTTCTAATAAAGCTTAAATAATAGTATCAATATATCTTCAAATTCTTGAAATAATATCATTTACTTTGTCTCTCATTTCATGTAATTTCAGTTAAATTTCGGTTTTTAATATGAGATTAATATAAGAGTAGAGTCAGATAGGACTCACTTTAACTTAATTACAATTTTTCGTTGAGAGACAATATTATAAGTGAAGTTAGTATTGTCTCTAATTTTTTGTCTTATATTGCATTTCATCATAAAAATTGCTTTTTTATTCCCAATTCTTGTATTGTAAGACAAATACTTAAGTAAGAAATAATATTATCGATTGAATGGACACACAATACGAGTAGTAGTAGTGAATAGACATGACTTTTGTGACACATAAAGAAAGAAAAACAGTGACACAAACTTCTTGACTATCAAAATAATTTATCTAACATTTGATTAGAGTTTTTGTATTGATTTATTGATAAACTCTTATATGAGACATGTTTTTCTTGTATCTAATTTTGACTTTCCTTTTCTCTGTATTTCGATTTATCGTTTTTTTGTTCTCAACGGATCAATAATGACCACTAAAATTGACTGATTTGATGACTGACCTGACGATGAACAGCAACCATAAGACCGGTGAATGATATAGCATTGAAAGACAATTTGATCCGATCGACAGTCTATACGATATCCAGCTGTGCTGTCGCTGTCTTCTTCTTCATTGCCATTCTAATAGTCGCCATATATAGGGTTCATATGAGACGAAGAATACTGGTTCGCCATCAGACGAGAAACAATGGTTCGCCAATAAATCATCACTCGTTTGGGTCTAATGCTCAACAAAACTCCGATCTCTATGTAAGCAAATTTTTTTCTAATAAATATTTATAATATATTATATAAATCTATTTATATTATATTACCAGAACAGTACTCTATATAAAGTTTAATTATATTTTTCAATTGTATAGTACTACTAATTTTCATGATATCAGTTTAATAATAGATGATTTGAAGTTATTTAATATTATTTACAGAGTTAATGATATTTGAAAAAGATATTATTGCAGTTTTGTTAAATTATTTAAACTGTATTTTTTATATTTGGTAAAATTATTTTTATTTAGGCGTCTAATGAGATGTTTGAGCCGTTAGATCCCATTGACTTAGATCTGGCGTACAATCATTATGAAAACGATGATATAATGCAATGCATTAGTCAAATACCAAAGCCTCCCATTTATAGTGAGGCACTCAATCATCCAATTATGCCATACAACGAACCACCGCCTCCTTACTCTCCTCGAGTATCGTCGACACCACCGACGTCACCGTTGGTCTTGTCTGAAGCTGAGGTACTAAATCAAAAACTTTTCTTTTAATATATTCGGAAATAAAAAATTATTTATAAACTCATCTATTGTTTACCATATCTTAAGGCGACTTCATCCACAAGTGAAGCGCCGGAAGAGTCGTATGTATTAGTTATCCCAATACCGGAATCCAATAGAGATGAACCAATTGATGAAAACGCTACACAAAATACATATAATAATAATAATTGTAATTCCGATAATAGTGATGAACAGACATCTCAATGAGATTAGTTTAAAGGCAACTAATTTTATATTTACTCAAGTTATATACCAATTATTTTAACATTAGCAATATTTTAATTAATGTTTCAAATTAATTAATACAATTAATATTCTAATATAAATTTTACTTAACTTTTATAGTTATTTAATAATGAAAGGCTCATTGCTTAATATTATGGACTGACTCTCTAACACATCAATTATTAGTTTTTCAAAATCAAAGTTTAATTATGAAAATTATTGAATATTACAGTAATTATTAGATTCAACAATTAAAAACAAATTATGTTTAAAAACAAAGTTAAACAATAGAAATAGTACAGTATCATTTATTTTACATATATAGATAGTTATTTAAATAAATTTTAGTATTATTAATAATTTAATTTTTATATATATAAGAAAATGAATGCCATAATATTCATTTGTTAATATAATTTAAAGTTTTATCTATAAAAATAATTGTAATAATTGAGTTGTGACTTTAAAATTAATGAGAAAAACTAGATAAAAATAATTTTAATTAAAGTATAAATTATTGAAATGATGAACGACTGCGTGCATTATTTTTTTTGGTCACAAATATACAACAAAAATTATATAAATATAAATCTTTATCATATATTAGAGAATTTTTATATATATATATATATAAATATATAAATAAGTTATAAAAATAAAAATTTTAATTAAATATTTTTAACTTACGGTAAATTTATTTTCAAATATGTAAAAATATTTTTGTTTACCTATTTGTTGAAAAAAAATAAATATCAGTGTAAATAAAACATTTGTTCGATAAAACAGGTATTATAACATTTATTTTAATTGTATAAAAACTTATAATTTTGTTAAAATATAATAATTATAATTTTGTAATAACTTTCTTTGTCAATCGTTATAATAAATATTATTTATTTATTAACAAATTTTAAGTTTAAATGCTGTTTGGTAAATAACAATTGTTTAATAAGTGAATTTTGTTATTAAACATGTGTTATGTTTTAAAAAATATTATTTTACATTTAATTTTATATACTAAATAAATTTTGTTTATCAGAAATATTTTAGAAATTTATTTTATGAATTTTACTGTATCATCATAGAGTTTAATAAATTATAAATATAATAAACTAAACTAAAATAAAAATAAAAATTTAATAAAGGCAATGAAGTATTTGAAAAAATTATTAGTAATTAAATATAGTGTTTTAATATTTTTGTTAATACAGATATTCATCATATTTTCTACATTCCTAATTTATATAATTGAATTATCTAATCAACTTAAATACATATTGTATTGTTTTTTGTAATTTCTAACTTTAGCTTAATTTTAACAATTCATTAAAATTCAAGTTAAGTATTCAAATTTGTTTGTAATATACTGTATACTACTGTATAATGTAAATAATATATCTAACGATTATCGTACAGTAAATTATATATACATGTATTATTACAGTTATTTATATTCTATCTATAATATACTTTAGTATACATATACTGTATGTTAAATAAGTTTATTATTATAATATAAAAATCAATGCAATGGGATTTATGCAGTGGTAAAGGATTTATTATATTGAATTAAATAAATATATTGTATATAACAATATGTTGCCTGGATAAATTAGATTACATGAAACAATACATAGTACTAAATCTAATATATATGTGATATGAATTTTTTAGATAGAATTAACTATTTGAATAAAATTAAAGTTTTATCAAACAAATCATTTAAAAATTTATTAACAATAATCAATTTTAGGATCAATTTTTATTATTATCTATATTTTAAGCATATTTTTATATAAAAAAATTATCTTATTTCATTTAAATTTGTTTGCAACGTTATACTGTATTTTTCATCAATTATTTTATTATTATTATTATTATCAATTTATTTTATTACATTTAAATGAAAAACAAAATTTTATAAATGATAATACTTTAATACATTAATTTAATTCACATTTAATTAAATTAAATAATTATAAAATATAAAAATAATGGTATGCTTATAGCGTATGACTTAAATAATTACAGATGTTATTACAATTATTATGAAATGTTAATGTTGTTAATGAAATTTTCATTAACTTAAACGCAAAATAACTAATTATAATAATTTATGTGTTATCTATAATGCAATGTATTTACAAATATAACAAATACAAAAACAAATCAATTACCACATAAATTATCATTAATTGATTTTACAACAAAAAAAATCAATTCAAACACAAATTTAAAACATTAATTCAAATAATAATAATAATAATTTGTACAAAAAATATCATTTATATAATTCTTATTAAAAAGTGTTTAAATTATTAATAATAATTAAGAGTAAAAATAAAATTATCAATAATTTTTGTCTCAAAAAAAAAATAATTTGTGTTTAAAATAAATACAAACAATTAATAAATCAATGTCTTTATGAGTCAAACACCTTGACGTGTGAGTTGGACAGTGAGGACAGGCTATCGTCGCCAGAGTTATGATTAGTCTCATTGTTGACAACAATATTATTGACAATTGCTGTCGGAGTTGTCGTTTTTACCGATTTCGGTGTCTTTATGGTCACCGAAGCTGTTGCCGGTCCACTACTGACAGGACTCGTCATCAGTTTCTTGTTAGGCGTCGTCGTCGTGGCCACCAATTTGCTGGCGCTGTCGTCTACGGCTTTACGTTTGATTCCGGCCTTAATCTGTGCGATCGTCTTATTCTTTATGTTTTCCGATATTTTATTGAGATCTTCGCCGAACCGCTTGACGGCAAGCTGTAGGTTCTTAATGTCTTCGGCATCCCATCGACCAGTGGCCGCACCGCTCGACTCTTCCGTTTCGTGTAAAGTCATCGACAGTTCACCCAATTTCGTGAACGCAAATCCCGCGGCATTGAAAATATCCGCAACGCGTGTGGCCGACGATGAAGACATTTGTGTTACAATCGGTTTCCGAGAGTTCGAGTATTTTCCCGATAACTGATTTGTCGTCCAATTTAGTGATCAATCACACCGTCATTCACACCCAAACACCACTTCAGTCGTGTTTTGCGCGCTTTTCTCCCTGTTTTTCGGCCGCAAACTGTCTCTGTCGACCACTTTTGGCCACTTTCTGGGGTCCAATCAGTCAAAAACTGGTCACTCGATCGGCGAAACTCTGTTTACTTAGACTTTTGTTGAAAACAAATGAGAAAAAACTTTTTATTCAAATATTTTATTTGTTTATAGAATTTATAGTATTTTCCAATCAATTCTCAAAACATTGTATTCAACACTACTTTTTGTAATACAAATAAAATGTCATCTCTTTTGACACTTTGAATGTATAGTTAAACAATAGTCACAGTATAACATAGTTACCGATACAATGCTTCAAAATAATCAATTAAAACAAAATCAATTGAAAATATTTTAATCTTTTTTAATTTAATTTGTTATTTTCAATTATTTAAAGTCAATAAAATTAAAATTAATTATAATTAACAAAAATTATATTATATGTACAGTATAATTAGTGTCATCTTAATGTAGTACAATTTATGTACAACTATTGTAGACAATGTCTATAGATATTACATAGTTTTCATTGAATAAACTGTTTTCTATAGTCAACACATGTATGCCAATAGACAGTTTGCAAACTACCGGTTTTCTTCAATGGGGGGAAAGGGAGGCCAATAGGCAAATAAAATACGACTACATTTCCTTTAACTGCACCGACAGTAACAGCAACAGTAATACCTTGTTTTCATAAAGCATTCTTTGCAAGTATTTCTCTCAAAGTAAAGTATAAAATCGTTTTCATTAAGAAATACTTTAGTATTAAATAAACATTAATTTTAAAATAAACAATCATGACATCTAGAAGTAGTTTACTATAACTACAATACATAAACAAAAACATGTGTTGAAAATGAATATTGAAATATCTGAGGTTTTAAATATAATTAAAAGTTATTTAAATATTATTAATGAAATACAAAAATTAAATATACAAATTATTAAATTAAAGTTAAATTATTATAATAGTTTTGTTAATTTGTTAGAAAAATTGTATAAAATTAATAATTTAATAAATAAAGTGGACACAAGGTTTGTAAAAAATATATTTTATTGATTTTAATTAAAATTATTTAAATTATATAGAAAATTAAAAGTATTTAAAAAGCCAAGCTATCAAAACTATGGCTTTTGGGAAAAATTAATCCCAAATATGAGTGACGACGAATTTAAAGATAATTTTCGTGTCACTCGTAAAACTTTTAGTTATCTATTAGATAACTTAAAAGTCATATTAAGCCCAAAAGGAACAAGTCCTCGGGCTTCAATACCTGTGGACAAAAAAATAGCAATTAGTTTAAAAGTTAGTATAATATATATATTAAAATAATACTTACAATACTTACCTTTATTTGCCATTTAGGTTTTGGCAACCAATTGTGAATACCGAGAAATCGGTATAATATTTGGTGTTGGAAAGTCCACAGTCTGTCATATATTTAAATCATTTATAACAGCTGTGACTTCCATTTTGTCGAAACACATCAAATTTCCATCTGATGAAGAGTTTCGACAAATGGCCATTGATTTTGAGCAATTATGGCAGTATCCAATGGCAATTGGTGCCATCGACGGCTGCCATTTTTGCATCAATGCGCCGCTAAAGCAGTCAACTGATTATTATAATTATAAAAATTTTAAATCAGTTGTTGCTTTAGCTATATGTGATGCAAATTATAAGGTAATAATAATAATATATATATATAATAATATACTTACCTTTACTTACCAATACTTACCTTTACTTACCTTAGGTTTGGTATTTGAAGACTGGTATCCCTGGAAGAACTAATGATTCAGGAGCCTTTAGAGAGACGAAACTCTTTAAAGACTTAGAATCAGGAGTTCTTCCTAAAGATACCAGAGTCTTCGGTGGTTCAAACATCCCATACCATCTACTCGGTGACGGCGCATTTGCATTAAAAGAATGGCTAATAAAGCCATTCATATATAGGGACTCAGCACCTTCAGACCAACTTCTTTTCAACCGACGCCACAGCCGGGCCAGAAGAGTTATTGAAAACACCTTTGGCCGCATTAAAGGTCGGTGGCGTCGATTATCAAAAAAGTTGGAAGTGAAGATTGAAGACGCGGGAAAAGTTATCCACACGGCCTTCATTCTTCACAATATATGTGAAGAGCACCGGGATGTCACAAAAACTGAGTGGTTACGGGACATCACTCATATAACGCCCAGAAGAAGGATTGATGTCAATCCTATAAATATGGACTCCGCTAATGTGATAAGAAATTCATTAAAAGATTTTTTTTTATCACAAACATCACAGCCCTGGAATATTAAATAATTAGTATTAGTATTAGTATTAGTATTATTATTATAATTATATCAATATTATTATTATTATTATTATTATTATTATTATTATTATTATTATTATTATTATTATTATTATTATTATTATTATTATTATTATTATTATTATTATTATTATTATTATTATTATTATTATTATCAATATTACTATTATTATTATAAATTAATAAAATAAATAAAATACAATTTGGTTTTTAAATAATCTTTATTTTTTATTTTTATTAAAAGTAATACAATTATAAATTATAATAATTAGGACTATAATTATATTTATTATTTTGTTGACTTTCTTGTCCTTGTTTTGATGTCAAAACTTGGACAAGTCTTTCTATTGCTGAGCCAATTTTCTGGACATCATCTTGTATCTTCTTCTGGCTCTCATCAATCCCTTCAAGCGCTTTGGATGTAAGTATTTTCATTTCCTTTATTTCTTTTTTAATGTCTTCTCTTTCTTCTTTTAAATCTTCAACTTTTCTTTTTCTTTTTTTTACAGGTGTTTCAACATATCCTCCAGATGTTCCAGGACTTGACTCTTCACTTAATGGTAAGTCTTGATTAGGTAAGTCTTTGCCCTATTTAATTTGTTTTATTAATTTGTTTTATTAATGTATTTTTTTAACTTACATAGGTATCAATTGAAGGCACAAGTGATGGATTATAATAATGGCTTGTTTTTAATATTTCAGCCATCTGTTGATAATATGGCCATCCAGTTGGTGAGCTGCCAGTGCTGTGGCCATTTTTTTTGAAACCTATGGTAAGTATGGTAAGTATGGTAAGTATGGTAAGTATGGTAAATATTATTTATTAATTTTTTAAATTTATTTAGGTTTTAAATGGTAAGTATAGTAAATAATAGTAAGTACAAACCTTGTTTCAAATTATTCATTTTCTTTTCAATTTGTTGAATACTTCTATCAATATTTAATGTCTTCAACTCTTTTTGCAGGTCCAACAACACAGACTTCCTATCCGACGGGTTACGGCTCAGTCGGTTTCGGAAGTCTCGCCAAACATTAAGAAACTTCATGGTCTCTTCATGAGTCCATGGAGTTTTAGTTTTAAATTCTAAAATTAATATGTAATAATAATAATTATTTTAATTTAATTAATTAATAAAATATATTTTTTACCTCTTGTGTCCATTTATTTCAAACTAAACGCGCTTTAACTCAAAACAACTCAATACGTCATATGTAACGCATGCGCTTTAACTCATACTTTATAAGTATAGTTTTTATTAAGTTTTTGAAGTAAAATTTCTTTCAAAGTTTTGTGTTTTTTCAAACTTTAAAAGTCAAGTATAAGTAGTGTTTTTATTAAGAAATTTTGAAAATACTTTCAGAGTTTTCTTTATGAAAACAGGGTATAACTGCACTGAGCTTTAGTACTGACGGATCAGTTTTTGCTTTGAAAATACAGAGAGTTTGGCATTACTTTTGCAACACTTGACTGAACTATTAAAGGCAGCGATAAATGAAATAAATGACAGAATATTCTTATATAATAATAATAATAATAATTATTATTATTATTATTATTAGTTGTTGTCGTTTTAGTCAACTAATCGATAAATTTATTAATAGTATTGAAATATAAATTACAATAACAATGTCAAACAATACACAACTTATAAATTATATACAGTACATGTAAAATCTATATTTGAAAAAATATTAATCTCATAATAATTTTATTTTTCTAATATCCCTTTCAAAAAACATTATAATGTATTTATTCAATTAAACAAATTGTTATTTGTTATAAAATTATATGAAAAAACACATTAAAGTTTGACTTCATTTTCAATGTGAAAGAGAGTTAAAGAGAGACAATTCATGGCATTGATTGAGACATCAGAGAGAAACTACTTCTAAAAGATTAGATAATAATAAATATTTTTCTCAATAAATCATTTTTCTTACAATATTTATTCAATACATTATATAAACAGCAAAAGTGTTGTATAATATTAAAAATTATTTTTAAAAACACATAGACTTCACAAAACCCAAACTTCAATACAGAATTGATGCCAGAATTTGATGGACATCTGGCCATCGATATGGAGAACAATCCGAAGACAATGATAGATAGGCGTCGATCGGTGACCAAGAAGTTTAAAATATTGATCACCGGTGGCAACGGGTTTTTGGGACAACAATTGGCGGCCGCTTTGCTTCAGCCGACAAATGAACTCAAGTTTGATGAACTGATTTTGGTCGACATCTTTAAGCCGATGAGTCCAATCAAAGACGATAGGGTCCGGTGTCTGGTCTTCGATCTCACTCGAAGTCAATCATACGACGAATTATTTCACACTAATATCGATATTATCTTTCATTTGGCTGCTGTGGTCAGTGGACAGGCAGAGAAAGACATGGAATTAGGACACAAAGTCAATGTTGAGGCAACACATCTCATACTGGAAGCAATTCGACAACGAAACCGACCGCTCACTCGACTTGTGTTTGCCAGCAGTTGCGCTGTCTATAGTTGGCCGCAATCGTGTTTGGATCGGGACATCGATGAGAGGACACAAGTTTTACCGCATTGCACTTATGGTTACCAAAAAGCGATTAGTGAACACTTGATATCCGATTACACCCGTCGGGGTTATATTGACGGACGTATACTACGATTGCCGACAATTACAGTACGTCCGGGTGTTGCCAATCAAGCCGTTACCTCATTTGTTAGCGGTATTATTCGGGAACCATTGAACGGTGTTGTGGCTAAATGCCCGGTGAATCCAACAACTCGTGTTTGGATAAGTAGTCCCGAAGTTGTTATTAAAAACTTTATACACGCGGCCCGACTCCCGGCCCTAGCATTTGGTGTCCACACACTCGTCAATCTTCCAGGTATTACAGTTTCGGTCGACGATATGGTGTCCGCTTTGGCCGTTATTGCCGGTAAAGAAACGGCTGAATTGATTCGGTTTGAATACAATGAAGATATTGACCGAATTGTATCCTCACTGTCCGTCACCTATGATGTGACCCGAGCTCTTAATTTAGGTTTTTCCCGCGACACCGATGTCTCCCATATTATACATAATTATATGGACTCCGAACTCACGGACACTGACTCGTCATCGGACGACACGACCGATGAGGACAGTGACAACTGATTTACCGATTTATCTCTAACTTTACATTTCTTTTAAACATCTTATCTATCATTTAATTGTTATTTCAATTATTTGCATTTATTGTCTAATTATATACAGTATTTAGAGTGTGTTTAGTGATTGATTAATATATCAAAAAATAAAATTAATTATAAAATATTAATTTAATAAAACATCTGAAAAATAGTTATTAAACTCAAATTATTTTTTTTAAACAAATTTAAATAAAAATTTAAATTTTGCGGTCAATAATACACTATATAATAATGTAAACGTTATTTGTATTGATATTTTTAATTAACAAAAGTGTTATTAAATGTTTGATAAAAATATTGTATATTTATTTGACTGAAATTTTGATGTTTAAGTGTGAATACATTATTACTATTAATATACGACTACTTGTTAACCGATTCCGTGCCAATAGTTTTGTGAATTTCAATCGACACGTGTTTAACAAAACCAATTGTAGGTATTTTTCTCAAATATAAACAAATAATTTATATTATAATTGTTTATAACATATATTCATATTAGGATATATTAATATGTAATATTATCAATTATTAAATGATAAATAATATCTATTAAATATGCTACAGTATCACTATAATTATTTTATGATATCATATGTAAAATTCATATTATCCTTACGATACTACAATATATTATACAGTAATAACATCAAAATCATTAAATTTTCAATAAATTTAGATTTAAATTTGTATAGCATTTCAATTTTTCTGATTATTTAAAAAAAGTAGTGAATTAGGTCACAAATTTCATATTAATTATAACTTTTTTCCAAAAACTATTATTAATAGTAACAACAGTTACTAAATATTAGTAATTAAAAAGTTATATAATTTGTTTAAATGACATTAGACTTTGATAGCCCCAGTGCTCTACACTGTATTAATAGTAATAACAATGAATAATAGTATTTTACTATTTGTGATATTCAAAATAATTAGTAATATTAATATATAATGATATGATATAATTATACCGGTACTAGAAAAATAATAAAACTATTTTTAAAATTAGTTAATCAATAAAAAATAGGTCCAAAGGTTTTCAATTGAAATATTATTAGAGGCGATGACAGTTCAGATTTCAATGTATTATTACAATTAAATAGTTTGATATCAATTTCAACTTAAAATAAAATAGACTTTTCGATAGTTACTTAAATGTCAGTTCAATTGGTTGAAAAACATTTTATAATATAAATTCAATTTTTTTTATTTACTCAATTTAATCGTAAAAGTAATTGTATTCAATCAGCAATTCATTTGTTTGATTAGATATAATTTGTAAAATATATAAATATTTTGTCTCTAAAGTTATAATATAAATAACTTTTTTCAGACACTTTTGGGGCGTTTAGTGTCAATCGTCAGCAAAAGTTTTCTCAGACAACTGCAGCTATGGTTAAGTAATGGAAATTTTTAAAATATATTTTTAAAATTATATAATATTTTAATTTATTAGTTTTGAATAGCTTTAAATTATAGAGTATATTTAGTTTTTTTTATAATAATAATAGTCAATTAATAAATCTTGTTTTATATTAAAATGAAATATAAAATTTGCATTTATTATAAATTAAATTTTTAGATATTTAAAAAAACTAAAAATCTTATTTTAGAATATTTGTAAAAAAATAAATAACATTTAGTTCATTATTAGTATAATTAAAAAATATGACATTTGATATCTAAAATTATAAGATTTATTCTAACCTTGAAATACTTGTTAGTTTACTACTGAGTGATAGCGTCTCGGAGTCAAACAGTGATACCATTGTTTTGTTATCACTAAACGTTTCGGACAAGTTATTGACCGGATCACTGGCCAAATATGTCGAACCTTTAAATGGCCAAAAACTTATAGACAATGCTTTTGAAAAAGAAGGCGGAATTGTGCAGTTGTCGACAAATCCAGTCCGACGGTTAGTGTACTCACCGGTGGGATCCGTCAATCGCGACTACGATGATGTTCGCCGATTCAGTGAAGCCGCTTATAAAGGGATTAAGAGAGCCATCAAAGCCGGCTCTAAGAATCCGCTGGTGATCCTACCGATCAGTGATGGCCTCCAGAGTTACAGTCTGTTTGAAGCGGCGACCGTTTTGGGTGCTTATTATGCTCTTTATGTGGTAATTATTCTCATTGTTTGCCACAATTATACCAAATATGTTTCATTTATGTTTAGTAATTAACAATATATTTAATTTTTATAAAGCCTTTAGAGATTAGAGAAGCGATTCCGACCAGAGCTAAGAAGTTGAATGCAATTAATTTTTCTAATTTCTCATCTAATGATAAAACTTTGTTCACTTATCGATTGGCGAATGCCATTGAAAGTGGCCGAATAGTGGCCAGAGATATTGGCGGCTCTGATCCCGAGAGAATGGCCGCTCCAAAAGTAGCCCAATATGTTGAAGAATTGTTTAAGAACTCTGTGGTCAAAGTGAATATCATTAGCGATGAAAAACAATTGGAAAAAGAGTTTCCCTGTTATGGTATGTCATGAATAACACGAGTTAATAAATATTGTATTTAATTATTTAATTGCTTTTTAAAACCTTTAGCTGCTGTCAACCGGGCGTCGGCAGAGAGACATAAGGCTAGAGCTATATTCTTGAGTTATGAACCGCCAGAAAAAGTGACAAAAACATTGATATTAGTTGGAAAAGGTGTCACTTATGATACCGGAGGGGCTGATATTAAAGCTGGAGGTATTATGGCCGGAATGCATAGAGACAAATGCGGTTCAGCAGCTGTGGCCGGATTTTTTCAGACAGTGGCCACATTGAAACCTAAACACACTCGTGTTTTGGGCGTTATGGCTATGGTTCGCAACAGTATTGGTCCCGATTGTTATGTGTCCGATGAGATAATAACATCGAGAGCTGGCGTTCGAATTCGGATCGGTAATACCGATGCTGAGGGACGTATGGCAATGGTTGACTTTATTTCATATTTTAAGGAAAAGATTGTAAATGAAAAGTTAGTCAATCCGTCAATCTTTACTATTGCCACACTTACCGGTCACTGTTGTCTGGCCGTTGGCGATAATTATTCGATAATAATGGACAACGGACCGGCTCGTCAGTTACGGACTGCAGAGACTGTTCAGAGTGCCGGTCACGAGATTGGCGATCCATTTGAGATATCAACGATTCGTCGCGAAGATTATGAGTTCAATATAGGAAAGTCTGAATACGAAGACATTCTTCAGTGTAATAACGCCGCTTCGTCGCGAACACCGCGCGGACATCAATTGCCCGCAGCTTTTCTTATTCAAGTGTCCGGTTTGGACAAACACGGTATCGACTCCGAGAAACCGATACCGTTTTCTCATATTGATATAGCTGGCTCTTCGGGACCGTTCCCTGGCGTACCTACCGGAGCTCCAATTGGTATAGTATTAAAATTTTCAATTAAAAAATTATAATAATTTTCAATTTACAGCCGCATTGACTGCAAGTTATCTACTGAAAGACGATTAAAAAATACAGTATCAATGAAATCCTCTTTAATTAATTATGATTATATATAATACATGTTTTTAATAAAATATTAATGACTAACGATTGATAAATCAAAAATAAAGAAATTATATATAACAACAATTCATAGAAAAATATTTAAATAGATAATGAAAATTAAAAAAAAAATCAGAAATAAGTTATAAAACAATCAAAAGATGAAAAACGGGAGACAGAGAGAAATGAATGTTTTTTTTTACTTTTTTCTGCGAGAATTTCTGTGATTCTATAAAATAGAAAATTAAGATAAAAATAGTGAAGAAATGTTTATATATAAACTAATAATATAATAAAATATTTTTCAATTTCATAATCAAATCAACCCATGATTTTTGATCTAACTTTGCTTCGGTAGCCTTTGTTGCTGTTGTTCTCCGATGAAGATGTATTAAATGGTTTGCCTTTATAGCTATTATTTTCAACACAATAGTCCAGTAGTTGTTTCCAACATTTGTCATTACTTAGTAGATATGGATCGCCAATACAGATGAGTAAAGTCATGGCACGACTGACGGCAACATTAAATCGTTTGGCGTTATGAACAAAACCCAAATTATATTTCATATCATGACTTAAGTTGTGGACATTTGATCGAACCATCGAAACAATTATTACTTTCTTTTCGAGTCCTTGAAACTCTTCGATTGTGGCCACTCGACAGTCCATGAGATCCAGTTCACTGATATGGCTTCGAAGTTTTGACACTTGCTTTCGATAGGGAGTTATAATACCTTCAAAAAACAATTTTCAATCAAAATTAATTCTAACAAATAACCGAAATAATACAAACCAATATCATTTGGTTGGACACCAGCCTTATAAAGCTTTTCCAGATAAGTACAGATAACCATTATTTCTTGCGGGTTATACCAGGACGGACAGTCAGTGTCTTGTCTGTCATCACCTATTGATTAGAAAAGGTTTACCATAATTAGCAAAAACTTTTTTGTTGTTGAAAAATAAGTCCAAACCTTGAACTCCAATAAAATTTATGGGAAAATTAAAATCCAAAGCCTTTAAAAGCTTGGCATCAGATTCGAGATTAAACTTCAATTCGTTTTCATAGAATAGTTGTGACGATATTTTCATTATTCGTTCGTCGGATCGATAATTTTGAACCAATTTTGTAACAAATCTTGGATTATAATATCCATACTTTTTATACTCCTCTTTACGTCCATAGGGTTCACAACTAAGCATAAGACGTTCCATAAGTGATCGTTCGAGTCGACCGTCTTTAGCTCTCGTTGATTGGACAACAGGTCCCAGTTGTTTATGATCACCGGCTAAGACTACTACTCCGTGAGCAATGGCACACATTGTTATGGGAATCAGTGATTCAGGTTCTATCACTTGTCCGGCTTCGTCGATGAAGACATGAGTGAAATGTGATGGAGATATCTTATGGCGAAAAGTGATGCCAGCCTGAGATGTGGTCGTCACTATAATTCGGTGATAAATCCATTGTTTCTCGTCTTCATCCGCCACTTTAGTCACAGACTTTACTGATTCAGGAATTTGATGTAAACCTAAAAAATAGTTTTGAATTTAAAAAATCGGTTAAACAAATAAAAAAATTGAATCTTACGGTGCAATGCTGTAACTCGAATAAGATCTTTATCAGTGACGCGACCGCTTTCCAACAATTTCTCGACAATCAAATCGGCTGAACTATTAGCACAGGTACAGGCAATAATACGACTGTGCGATATCTTGTCAAACACTTGTAGTATTGATTCAACAATTGTAACAGTCTTTCCAGTTCCTGGCGGACCAAATATAATATAAGGCGACGGACGACTCTGACCACGAAGTGCGCCAATTACTGACAACTTTTGTTGAGTATTCAATGATTTATTGAACCAATTGATTGAATCGTATGGTATATTTTTGAAGGCTTGTTTGAGAACTACTTTATTCGGAAACAACACCTGATCCAAGATATGTGGCGAGAGATCAATAGCGTGATGACAGCGTCGGTATGTTGTCCTAAAAAAATGAGAAATAAACCGGTAATTAGTTATTGATAAATAGATTTCATCCAAATTATCTATTGATAACTACCTGCTCGCTTGAAAAGCAATTTTATAATCGCCTCCATTAAAATTTTTGTGAAAATCTTCATTAAAACGGATTAGGATTTCATTTTTTTTCAACTAAAAATAAAATAAATGTTATTATAATTAGTAAATTATAGTAATATATAATTAAATATCATTTTTGCTGACATCGTGTATATAGCCTTCAAAGGCTATTCTTTTAGTTTCTTTTGAGATCACTTGTTGTTCCTCCTCTTCAAAACAAAACAATCGGTCACCCATTATAAGACTGGGTCTTCCCTCAGCCAATCCGGGAACAGTGAGTGACACAAATCTACCGTTTCGTTTGAATTGCACGTTTCGCATATCAAACTTTTGAAGCATTAGTTGATTCTCTGCTTCTTCTAAGAACATCAATGCGTGAAACTTCTTCCGATAGTTTTCTGGCATCAGTTTTTCTTTGACTTCGGGAAATACCGACTCAATCGCCCAGTTATTTTCAATAGCGCGCCAAACGGACTCCGGTATGCCATACCTTTCCAATTTGTCAAAAATATGTTTATTAGGATTCCAGACCTTCTCTCCGGGAACAATCCATGTGTCGGCACCAAAAATACGACGTCTCTTTACAGTAGAGTTTTCACGGTTGACGCCGCCAACCGTATCAATCACTGATACAGTGGCAAACCGACCGATTTTGAAGCCAATAAAATTGAAAATAATAAGATCACTGTAATCACCACAATATCTGAAATATAAACATACAGTACAACAATATTTTGCCGGTAATTGTCATATAAGTGTTAGTCATGAATAATACATACTTTGCATCGCAAACGAGCTCAACATAACATTCACTGTTTGCTGGGATTTCATAGGGAGCCGGACTATCACAAGGTTTACCATATATGGCACGAAATGAGTGAAATTTTATTTGACTTTCGCCCTCTTCATTGTCAACGGATGTCAATGTCTGCAGATTATTGCCTTTGTTTCTGTAATTATAAAATTGATTTTTTCTGTTTAGTGGTAAATGTCCTAAAAAACAATTTTTTAAATACCTGATGTAAATTAGTATTTTCTTATTGTTATTGACAATCATTTCACCGAAACTAATCTTTGCGAGTACTTCAACCATATTCTTATTCATCATAAGCTCATTGGTGTACGAATCGATTTGATCCATAGATAGTCCTGTGATTATAGTATCATAAACTTGTGTGTAAAGTATTGCCCGCCAATTGAAAGAATTGCTTCGGGTTTCAATTGTCAACACTTTGACGACATCACCGACTCTCAAATGTTCAGTATCTTTAGTTTTCCGTATAAATGCCTAAACATTAAGACAACAAATCAAACCATTTTAGTTCTTCAGTATCTCTATCTCTAAATATATCAATGTCTTACATGTCTTGAGAATATATATCTGAAAAATTGTTTGTCATTTCCGGTGATCTTTCCGGTCAGTATCTTATAGCGCAACGGTTTGATTGTCACTTCTTTTTTGTCATTGGTCTCAACAGAGATGAGGTCACCGGTATATATTATGCCGAAAGTGCTTCTCTATTATTGTGGCCAACTATCAGATTACAAACATTTCTTAAGCTAAATCATTGCTACTAACCGTATATTTGACCCGATGTTTGTCGTCCACTTCAATCTCGTTAGCGCTGATACATTGGGTGACCATACCTTTGATGGAATTGCAACCATCGAAGTCAATGTCTAACAATTGTCGACCACTTGTCGACGGCTTTTCCTCCAATGCATTCCACTCTTCATTCCAGACTTCATGGTCTTCAGTGCTGTTATTGAGTCCAATGCCATCGTCTGTCGATCGATCGTGTGGTTTGTCGTCCGATCGATCGCTAAGTGTACTGTCATTATTGATTCGTCGGATCAGTTCATCCACATCGTTGTCGTCGTCTTCATCATCAAACTCTTGATAGCATTCACTGTATATCTCGTTGTCATCGGGACTGTTGGCCACCGATGGCGTCAAATTAGTGGACGATTTATTCACTCGGATTACTTCATCGTTGTTGTTGTCGGCGCTGTTGTCCGATAAACCGGTTAACGATTTGATAAACGATATGACAGAAGACATTGTCAACAGTTTTGGTGACAATCAAGTGATCAGTCATTGAGTTATTGAGTCAATAGTCGTATGTTTTGACTGTTTTTCCGATCAATTATTACTTGAAATGCAATCATAACTACACTCTCATTGACTTTCAATTGGTGTTTAACTCTCTCTCTCTAATCACTGATTGGTTCAACATTTGACTCATCATTGACTTGTATTTTGTGTGTTAAGTGACACCCATTGGGTGTTAAAAGTGACACTCAATTTGAAATCAATGACTGTCTGTAATAGACTCTGTATATCATATATTATTGTATATTATATACACAATAATATATACACAGAATATTCTGTGACTTAAACTTTTGTTGTTTATTATATTGAATATAAAATGTTTAAAATGTTGTAGTTTTTTAATTTTGGAATTTTAATATTAATGTTATTATTTTTTAACAAATATATTATTAATTAAATTACAGTTAATTAATCAAATATTTTATACAATTTAAATTATATTAAACTAAAACTAATAGTAATTATTTAAAAATAATTCTATAATTTTTGCACATTTATTTTGAATTATATTTTATAAATAATTAATTTTTTGTTATTTGATAGTTTTTAATCACTATTATACGTTTAATTGTATTTATTTTTCAAATAAAATTAATATTGATTAATTTAATTATATCTAAAGTACATTACATTCACTATACAGTTATACTACATTAATCGTATAGTTAAGTGCAAGAAAAATCAGTAGTCAATATCACTAAACACTTTAAACTTATTTATAAAAATGATATTGTTAATATTAAGTTTTATTACTTAAAGATTATTAAAAAAAATTATTTATCCAATTTCATATTATTGTTTAAATAATTAATTTATATAAATATTTAGATTAATATTTAGTTAATATACTAGAGTATATTATATTTTTAAAAAGATATATTGAAATTAATTGTTTAAAATTATAACAATTTTTATAGTTACATTAGTAAAAATTACTACTACTTAATTAAATAAAAAATTACAAACACATTAAGTATTATTTTTTATTAAATTAACTACAAGATAATAATAATTAGAAATGATAAAAAATTAGCTAGTATATTTAAAAAATACAATACGTTTAATCAATTAATAAAATATTAACCACATGTTGTTAGAATTCATTGTAATTTTACTTTAATTAGATAAAAACGTTATGTATATATTGATGTATATATTCGTATATTTTATAAAAATACAATTTATGATAAACTTTTTATAGATATTTCAGAACAGATAAACCAAAATAATAATTAATATTACATTATAAGCTTAATTATATATTAGCATTGAAATAATGATATAAAAGGAGAATTTGTTAAAATATATTTTTATAAAAAAATCATCCATACATTCATTTGGATGTCAATTATAGTAAATTAAAGTTGGATTAGTTAACAATTTTTAATATAATAAATTTAAAAAAATGAAAATTATTTTAGTTTTGACTATTTTAGCTGCTGTTGCACTCATTGAAGCTAAAAGAGGTATATATTTTTAATTTAATATAAAATTAGTATTATTAACTTTTAATTTGATTTAAATCTAATTAAACTATTAATTTATTTTAGAGCCCAGGTTTGCGCCCTATATTGATGTGACCCGTTTGGATGAATTCAAATTAGTTGATCTCAAGAATAAATATGGAGTAAAAGCATTTTCATTAGCATTTGCATTGGGAGGTGCAGGTGGTTGTGTACCATGGTGGGGTGGACAAGTGGCTATTGACGACCCTACTATTATTAAGGCACTTAAAGCATTAAAGGCTGCAGGTGGTGATGTAATTGTATCAACGGGCGGCGCTTTGGGACCATACTTAGAGCATATGTGCGCAACTCCCAGTGCTCTGGTCAATGCCTACAAAAAGATTTTATCGGTAACGGGATCAACACATTTGGATATTGACATTGAAGCGACAGTCAACGCGGATAATATGAATCAAGCATTGGCTCAGTTGCAAAGGGAGAACCCGGATATTAGTGTCAGCTTTACACTTATGGTTCAGGGAGACGACTACGGAGTGACACTGGAGTTGGGCGTCAATGTATTGAAAAATGCGGTCAAACACGGAGTCAACGTTGATATTGTAAACCCCATGACTATGGAATTCGGTACATCCCGTGCCTCGTGGGGTGACGCCGTTATAGCAGCTGCTGAGGCAACACACAAACAAATGAAACAAGTTTGGCCACAAAAAAGTGACAAAGAGTTGTACTCTATGTTAGGAGTGACCCCTATGTTGGGCCGCAATTTCAATGGCAAAATATTCACTCAACAACACGCTCAACAACTGGTCAATTGGGCCAAACAAAAACAGATCGGACACCTGGGCTTTTGGTCCATAAACAGAGACCGGGCCTGTCCTGGAAAAGCTGTCGACCCTTCCTGTTCTAGCATTGATGAAAAAGATCACGAATTTACCAAAATATTTGCAAATTTCAATTAATATATCATTTGTATTGTATTTAATATATGAATATATCACAATTTTATAGTACAAAATTAAAAGTACAGATAATACATATTTTTTAATTTTAACAAAAATTTAGACAAATCTTAATAATACTACTAAATTAGTTATATATTTTATTATAATAATTACTAAAATTGTGTTATCATAATGCTATCATGCAAAATATTTTGAAATATAATATTTGTCAAACATTATAAATTAAATTACTCATCAAAAATAATAAATCAGATATTATATGACACACGTGTAATGATATAATTTTATTTACAAATTGTTAGTCAATACAAATTATTAATGCAATATTTAATTAAAATTAGTCATTATGTATGTCCTGACAGCTAACTGTGCAAAAAACTAAAGCGACAATCGGAGTCATAATTTATAATTAATTTATAATTTATAATTAATTAATAATAATAGCTCATAAAGCCATAAGAGATTGTTATGTTCACTCAAAAATACCTATTTATAAATTATATAGTTTAATATAATATTATAAATTTATTGTATATCAGATATTACCATAGAATTAACCTGTAATTAAGATTTAAAAATAATAAATGGTTTCTAAAAGAAAATAACAAATATTACATTTAATATACAAAAATAATTATTTAATTGTTTGAATTGTTTTTCTCACTACAAGTGCTTTTTCTTTTAGAAGATAAGATATTTTTTAAGAAACAGATATAACATAATAATATTATAACAATAAATCCGGTATTATATAAATTGTCAATTGTTTTGCACTCTTATCCAGTCCTATGTGTCGATTAGTACAATAGTTTTACTATTATTCTAGTTTTTTGTTAAAAAATTAGTTTAATAGAAAGTTAAGTCACAATGAGACTGCATCTCATAATACTAGTGCTATCAGTCGCTGTATTATCTCAAGCAAAAAGAGGTAATTATTATTATTATTTTGATAGAGAATTAAATTATATTATAAAAATAAAATTATTTTAGAGCCCAAGTTTGCGCCGTATATAGACGTGACCAGAGCTCAGGACTTTAATTTGGTTGATCTCAAGAACCAGTATGGAGTCAAAGCTTTTTCGTTGGCTTTTGCTATCGGAGGAACCGCTGGTTGTGTTCCCATGTGGGGCGGACAGACCAATATAGATGATCCAAGTATTATAAATCCAATTAAAGCTTTCAAAGCTGCCGGCGGTGATGTCATTGTATCTACTGGTGGCGCTTTGGGTCCATATTTAGAGCAAAGTTGCCAAACGGTTGAAGATCTGGCAAATGCCTACAAGAAAGCGCTGGCAGCCACTGGATCCACACATTTGGACATTGATATCGAGTCAACAGTGAATGTGGATACTATGAATCAGGCATTGGCTCAATTACAACAAGAAAATGCATTAATCACTGTTAGCTTTACACTTATGGTTCAGTCAGATGACTATGGAGTGACCAATGAATTGGGTTTTAATCTGTTGAAAAACGCCGACAAACATGGAGTCAACGTTGACATTGTTAATCCAATGACAATGGAGTTCGGTAGCTCCCGTGCCTCGTGGGGCGATGCAGTCATTGCCGCCGCTGAGGCCACACATAAACAGATGAAACAAATTTGGCCGCAAAAGAGCGATCAAGAGTTGTATTCCATGTTAGGCGTGACTCCTATGTTAGGCCGCAATTTCAATGGTAAGATATTTGAAATAAATCACGCAAAACAATTGGTAGAGTGGGCTAAACAGAAAAAGATTGGACACTTATCATACTGGTCTATCAACAGAGATAGGGGTTGTCCGGGAAAAGCAGTAGGACCGGGATGTTCCAGTATTGCCCAACAGGATCACGAGTTTAGCAAAATATTTGCCACCTTTGACGATGGTGTTGATCCCAGTCCTGATCCCACAGAGATACCTCCCGTCACTAGTCAATCACCACCCATACCAACTACACGTAAAACTCCAGATCCTATAGATTGCAGTATACCAGGAAAATTATATCCGCATCCAACTGATTGCAATAAATACATTTGGTGTTTTGATGGACAACCTCATGAAAAACAATGCGGTGCCGGCACTGTATGGGACATCCAAAGACAGGTTTGCAATTATCCCAAAGATGCCGGAAGACCTGAATGCATGTAATTATATTAAATAATAATATAAAATAATGTATTTACTAACAATTGTATTAATTATTTTTAAATATATAATGTATTTTAATAAAGTCTAATTTACTCTATAACTTAATAATTATAAATAAAACACAGAATTAGTATAATAATTATATGATATAATTATTAATAAATAACAAATCAATTGATAAATTCATTACTAGAAAATAAAATATAAATAAATACGGTAATACATCTTTATAAGATTTATAATATATGATTAGTAAACTATAATAATATGCAAATTGTAATGTGGTTTAATTGATGTAATAGATTACAAATATACTATAAAACTTGATAATTTGCAACTCAATTGCAATTAATAATTATTTGCAATTTACTAACTATAGTCATAAAAATAAGATATAGTTAATTATTTTGGCTTAAGTTTGGCTCAATTTTATTATTATATGTAATTTTTATCATAAAACATAACAATATTATTAACTTACAAAAATCAATATTCAAATATTGTAATAATAATAATATCAATACAAACATTATACATAAGCATTGGTTTGAATATTTAAATGACAATATCATTACATAATTCGTTTCAATAAAAGCTATTGGATTTTATTTTGTTGTCACATAATAAGTGTCAGTTATTTTTGTCAATAAATATTATAAAGTTTAGATAAAATTTATAATAATTGTGTGTTTGTTTGTGTATTTATAAATGTATAGAAACATTTTTAGACTAGAATATCAATCATTGCAATAATTATATTTAAAATAGAAATTAAATAAAAAAATTACTAAAATAAGAAATTTTTAATTTTCATAATTATTTTTTTTGTAAAATTTGCAACAAAATATAAATTGTAGATTTAAGGATAACAAAAATATGTTAAAAGTAAATTTATTTATATAATTAAAATAACAAAATGAATGCATATTTTGTTTAATACTGTATATATATTTCTAAAGATAGACCGGTATTTTAATAATTGATATCAATATTTGCTTTATACCAATGATATTCATAATTAAATTACAATAACATTAAATATAGGGTTCATTTACTTTGGGAAAAAATTACAATTTGTAGTCAATAATAATGATAACTATAATAATATATTGTAAATAAAAATAGTTATCGTTGTTTTAGAATGTAAATTATAGCACAAAAGCTTAAGTTAATCTAAAATATGTGTTAATAATATTATAATCAATTTTGGAGATGAATTTGATGTTTAAGTTTGACATTTAATAAAAACATTTTTCTTTTGATACATAAAAATGTCTTTTTTAGACTTCAATCACAAATTCTGTATTTTAATCATCACTTTTTGAATCTTTACGTTTACATTCAGCTGCCATTTGCTGCAACTCTAGTATGTGTTCCACAGGATGAGGCTTTCCATCGTCGCCAACACGACAAGGCTTTACAACTCCTGTCCTGTAATACAATATATATAAAATAAAATAATAATAAAACACAATTTAATTCACAGAAAAGTACAGTTATAATAAATTGAAGCATCGATTTCAATATTAAAACAAACTGTTAGTCAAACACATAAAAACTAACTTTTAATGTGTTTGTTTAGGAAACCATTTATTTCTATGATATTGATATATAAAAAATCATAGCACTGTATAAAAGTAGACAAAAAATGTAATAACAAATGTCATACTTTGCTAACTTATCGATCATTTCAACCAAACGAATCGCTTCGTATTCTTTCTGTTCGGTTGTCATTCCGGCCATTGGGTCCGGCTTTGGCTCTTCATAACAACCCGTCACTGGATTTATTCTGCAATAAATCAAACAAAACAAACATTATTTTTCAAATATAAAACATTAATCACTTGTCTAGAGCTCACTTGTCTTTCATCTGTGCGTACTCTTCGGTATCACTTTCCTCGGATTCGGAAGAATAGTTGCCTGAATTACCGCATCCGCCGAGCATTAGTCCGCGATTGGCTAGAAGTCCTGCAGCGTTACCATAACCTGTATATTTGATAAGTCTGCACACATTTTCTTTGCACAAAACAAAGAGAAAATCGGCGACTAATTCTTTGACTTCGGTGTGCGGAGACGTCATAAGACGGACCAATCGATTGCGAAGTGTAGTGCCTTCTTCGGGTCGTTCGCGCGCATCCTTTAGTGGCGGCAATACTTTCGAACGTAAATACTTTCTGATGGTTGGATTAGCTCTCGAGGCTTCACTCAAACACGTAAGTATTGGAGCCAAACGTTCGCGACTATTCTGTACGGTATGCTATAGAAGTAGTCAATAGAAAATATAAATAATAATAAACCAAAAGATATTATCATAAAAAATACGTTAAATAACGAGTCATTACATTATCGAGTCGTTTAGACAGAAATTGTACCAAAACGGCGATCACTTCCATATTCATTTCGTCGTATTCGTGATCGGGATTATCTGGTCGACCCATTTCGGTGATCGGCGACAAAAGCTCTTCAAAACTGTTGGCCGGCATTGAGGTCAACAGATTAACGGTATGACTCTGTAAGTCCTCCTTTTTATCTTTGGATTTGGTGTCACAAAGAAGTAGATCGTGAAGAATAGATACCAGCCTTAAGAAGTGTGCCTCTTCTATCTGTTGGACACAAAATTTTATTAATTTTTTAATTAATACAATCATAAAATACAAATTACTGCAATAATTTATTCATGGATTAATATATATATATATTTTTTTATATAAAACATTTATAAATACAATAAATATCTATAAACTTTAAAATGTGTGATAAATACAAACCTCATCCAAATGATTTTTATCGATATTAATTGTCAAATTAAATAACGATTTAAGTACTTCATTGGCAAAGTCGACCTCCCAATTGTCGAGATAGTACGCCACAAGACACTCATCTTCGGTGGTGTCATTTGGTGCACCTTTTTTGCCTCTTCGCGACCCTTTGGAGCGCCGTTTGTTTTTATTGGGCACCTGTGCCTGACTTTCACTGTTATTCTTTAGTATGAGATCAATGGTTTCCATTAGGTATATGAGTCCGTGATAATCGTCACGAATTCTTGGTCTAACTTCGGCGCAAAGGGCAGAGATGAGGAACAGCATTCGCATGTCATAATACTTGACCTACAGGTGCCGCCAATCAATATAGCAAATAAAATAATTAAATTGCAAATTAAGTTCAATAATTTAATTTCCGAATGAAAAAAAATTATTAAATGTTTTACAAATATTTTAAACTTCAATATTATTATTATTATTATCAATAATAAAAAATGCTTTTAGAAAAAAGTGTTGACATATTCTCACTTTAATTTATAATTCAATAGATATAAATAAAAAATGTTTTATATATAAAAAAGTTTACAAAATTCTTAAAAAACAAATTATTAACGTTTTACTGAATTCGTAAAAATTTCAGTGCCTTTTAAGTCAATATATTAAGTTTTTTTTGTAAAGAATATTCTGCTATAATATTCTCTTTTTATATACAACTATATGTTTTTCAATCTTCTTAAAACAAAAAAACTTTAACATTTAAAATTTAATTTTATATCAAATATTTATACAGTAATTGCATTTTTTCAAATCAATAAATAAATAAAATTATATTACTTTATATTAAAGTTCAAATAGTAGTATGATATTAGTTATACCATTTAACTGAAAATACGGGTATTATATTAGGATAATGTATTTTTAAAGATATTTTTCAAAATAAAAAATACTTTAGTGTTTTTAAAAATAATAAACAAAAGATTAGATGATTAGGTCATCAATGGATATATAAGATAATGACATAATGTATTCAAGTAAAACAAATTCAATATAAATTATGATAACAATAAATACATACGTCTTGCGGTAGTTGAGGATCGGGATGCATACGGAGTCTCAACATAATGCCTTCAATACAGGAATTGTTGGCACAGAGCTTCTGTATTGTGGAACAGTTGTAGATAAGATTGCAGAGACACATCTGGGCCTCGACAACAACTCTTGTATCAAACCGTGTATTTTGTAATGTCATAAATGCTTCTTCTTCGCCGACCAACATCGCTAAGTGAAGCATAGTCTCAATACGGTCGGCACTGAACAGATCGCCGCAATGTTGCTTATCTCTGGTCAGTATACGCATCACTTCCAGACAGTGTGAATGCAGTTCAACGTATTCGGGGTCTCGAAGCAAACGAAACAGACATTCCGTCAGCTGTTTCTTGTGTTGAATAGTGTCATCAATGGTAAACAATTTGCCATACTATGCCAAACGCAAAAATGATAACATTATATTAGAGACGCCATTATCACCATTAGTTGATCCTTAAATGGATATCAACAACAAAATACCTGATTAAGAAATTGTTGGATTTTAACGGAAATGTCGTTTTTATTGCCGGTCTTCACCACTTTGATCAACTCGTCCATTGTGTTAATGACTGTCTAAATGACCAAAAATCGGTTCATTTGTTGCAATCACTACACGAGTTGTCTGTACTATCAGTGGTGTCTACGAGTGGTGTCTACGAGTGGTGTCTACGAGTGGTGTCTACGAGTGGTGTCTACGAGTGGTGTCTACGAGTGCTGTCAATAATGTTGTCAAAAGTGTTGTCAAACTGTTTATCACTTATTTATTACATAATATAATGAGTGCTTAAAAACGTAAAGATGTCTGACTTTATATACACTAGAAATACAATATAAACTCTATTTCATTGCTTTCACTGCAATACTACTGCAATACTAGTGTTTAATGTTTTCAACACTAGTGTTGTGTCTGTACTCTTAAAGTACAGTAAATATATTTATATTATTATTATATGTTTTGCCCTGATTTGCATCTATAGTCAAATACATACATACATACTATTAGTAGTATTATAACATATATTTATTTTTCTATTAATTTATAATATTTAACATAATTAATCTATATAAATCCCATTTATGTATTTTTTGATTGTTTGTAAAACATTTTATTTTCAATGTATGCATATTTGTCATCTAATCTGTACTTATTGTTTACTTTAGCACTTATATGTTAACTCTCCATAAATCGACAAACTTTAATACATATTATTGTATTAACGTTTTTGGGGATATTTCAGTCCAAACATATATACAATGCAAATGTTTTACAATAATTATTATATTAATCAATAAATTTGAACGTATTTTCCACTAAAAACAAATACATGTAATTCACTAGTTTTGCCTGTATTTGTATTTACAGTTCACTATATTTGATGACAATTTCCCCAATAGTTTAGGGTATTGTCTAACTCTCAATAGTTATCATCGAAATAACTAATTTAATAAAATTAAAATTTATTATTATTATCAAAATTTTATCAACTTTTAAGTTTTAAGTAATTTTATAAAATAACAATTTATTTTTTTTTTTAGTATTTTAAATCAATTGAGAGGTCAATATCGGGATAAATCCCCAAAAAATATTTGTATAATAATTTAGAAAATCACTGAATGTCTGATCAAAACACATGTCTTTAGATTTAAATATATTTATTATTGTTTTTTAACAATTAGTTTTTAATTAGTTTTTAATTTGTTTTTTAGTTATTGTTAAATTATTTTCAATTTGTGTAATAACTTATTTGATTAAAATGGTCCGCAAATTGCGATATCACGAGAGGAAACTGTTAAAGAAAGTAGATTTCATCAATTGGTCGACAAATTCAGTGAAAGAGACGGCTATTATGAGAAAATATCACATCAATAGACAGGACTATACTAAGTATTATAACTATTATTGTCATTATTATACCATTTGTGGTCATATTTGATGATAATATGATATATTGATTGATTTGATGACACCTATTGACAGGTATAACAAGTTATGTCATGAGATCTGGCAGTTATGTGACCGCATATCCCGGCTCTCACCGGACGACACCTTCCGTAACGGGTGTTCCCAACAATTGATTGAAAAGTTGTATTCAAACGGTTTAATCAAAACAAAACGTCTTAAGAAATGTAATTCAGTAAATGTCAAGTCATTTTGTCGCCGAAGACTTGCGGTATATATGATTCAATCGGCAATGTTTTCGGGACCGCTATCTACGGCCGGTAATCAACTTTTTCAATACATTTATTCAATGGTATATTAATTGATTAATTTTTTTAATTAAATCTATAGTAAAATATGTAAAACACGGACACGTGAGAGTTGGACCTAATGTGGTGACAGATCCGGCATTTTTGGTGACCCGAACTCATGAGGACTTTATTTCATGGACTGAAAGCTTTAAGACTAAAATCGATACCTATAATGAAATCAGAGACGACTATAAAGACTAACACTATAATAGTATATAAAAGAAAAAAAATATTTTTACAAATAAAAGAATAAACCAATCGTTAAAAATTTAATATCTCATTATAAAAAATAATTAAATTCAATATATTATTAAAAACATAAATCATTAGTTATTAAATCTAATTAAAATAAACAAAGAATCAAAGTTTAATATTATATTTAATATATTGAAAGTATAGCTAAAATAATTATTGATAATTAAAAATAGACGAGTTCTGTGGTTAGGAGAGTACTGTAGTTTACAATGAGTTATATTATATACAGTATCTAAAGTGTTGTTCAAATAATAAGTATAAATATAAGACACTATATATTTAAGAAGTGAAGCAAAGTGTAGATAAAATGTTATTTTATTTGATGGCATAGTATTACATATGATATGACTAAAGCTTTCTGATGATAAAAGATATTTTCAAAATCAAAATATGTAATAAAATACTATTTAATGTATAAAAAATAAGTAAAATACTTATTTTTCCAAAAATCAATTTTTTGCATATTTAACATTTATTAAGATGACATTATTCCTACTACTTTGCACTTAAAAGTAAACTAAAATTAAAATTTGCAAAAAAATACAAAATTTAAAACATTATTCCAAGTGATTGTATAAAAGCAAATATTTTTTATATTGTACTGTATATACAGTAATTTACTAGTAATACGATAAAATGTTTTACATTCATTGTTTTCAACTTAAAGTAAAATTGGTTTCATTTTATTGTCTATTTTTAAGTTTATTGTATCAATAAAGCATTACTTTTGAAGACATGTTTATATAGATTTTAATTTATAATAATAATAATCAATTTTTGATTTGAAATATAAAAAATGTAAATGCTAATATATTATAATTATCCGAAATTAAATTTGTTAAATCATTTGAATATTTGATTTTTTTATTCAACTCTTACGGAATAAAATATGTAAATACTGTATGTATTTTGGTTTGCTTTACATAAAAACTTATATAAAGTAATATAAGTCATCAAATATATTATGAGATGAGAGTGTTTTAAGCCCACTGTCATTAGCACCTGTTGTGTTCAAAAACAGATGTCCATTAAACGCATACCAGACCTATCCATGTCTTGTGACCACAAATGTAAACATAGAAAGAGAGGAGAGAAAGAGTGGATCAGTTGATGGCTATTGCGAGAAATTCAACAAAAATAATAACATTAATGACAAAAATACATTAAAAAACTAGTAGTAAATGATTTTTGACATTTCGATGTGTTATTTGAGACATATTGTAGATGTATTGTTCACTATTATATTGGATGGTAATTGCTATCATGTACTGTACTCTACTATACGGTATTATGTATTGTATTTCATATATAAATTAAAGTTATAGTAATGATTATTAAAGTACAATATTATTTTTATTAGTACTCTTGTATTATTGTTGTTTTACATCTATTTTTGAAGCACCGGGTGTTTTGTTCGGCAGGAAATTAATACTACTGTATCACTGATTATCAAATTATACATAAAATTTTAAATAAAGACAAAGATGTATATTATTTATCATTACCTATTCAATAGCTCATTCAATTCAATTATATATCAGATATATTAGCTATCAATTGCATATTCTATAGAGAGATTCAAATTTAGTAATTTGAGACAATTGGAGGGAACAGTTAGATCAACAAATAAAGAGAAAACTTTATAAGTTTGTATCAGATCTCACATAAAATAGCTTAAAAACCGTACATAAAGTCCACGTCTTTGTTAAAACAAGTGAATCTCTATTTGTCACTTCAATCACAAGTAGTTGTAATTAAAGTTTAACAGTTAAGTGATAGTTATGTTATATTTTGTATATTAGGTTAGAACTTAAACTTTTTTAATTCATTTTCATTCACTCATTCAATTGTTATATATATATACTTAGTATAAATATATATATTAATGAATGACAATAAAAATAACAATTGTTTTTCGCTTTTGATATAATCATTTGCCACAACAATCATTGAGAGATGGTTTTACAAACTAATGACACTGTGTTTATACAGTTAAATATAATTATGACGGGTATATATATATATATATATATATAACGATGATCATCAAACATTTATAATATCTAAAAATAACTTTTATTTTTTTTGTAAAAAATGAATAACCTTTTTCTTGTTTCTCATAGACAGCTATTGGCAATCATATATGTATATTGATGTCCAATGAGACGATATTATCAATAATGTGGTAGTAATTCGTTCTCTTAGTCATCTGTCTTAAAAGCAATTGCTTTCAAACACATATCAGATGTCTTTGAGGACAAATTTATATCCATTGTTGAATATTTCGCAGATACACCCATACATTACTATCATTATTACACAGACATTCATCCCGTTTCCCAGAACAGCCACCTGTTTTCAAGTCATCACTCATTTGCATAAACTATGCCAACTATAGGCCAACAAAGCTAAGTATATTAATAAATTGTAAATAAATAAATATTGTAAATATATATATATATATGATATATATCTTATATGATAATAAATCATAAATTTTTATTTACTTTTTATTTCAATTGAAATGAAATATAATATAATAACATCAATAATTGTAGTAATAATAATAATTGATTCTTTCATAATATTTTTTTGTATATTATTTTTTGTTTTTATACTTTTTTTTGTTTTTAATATTTGTAACATGTTATCACGTGTTATTATTATATAATAATGTTTAATATTAATAAGACAATTATATTTGTAATCGTTATATAGACATTAACTTTAAAAAAAAGAAATATATATATATTTATTTATACGTCAATATAATATTATTAATAGTTTGAATTACTATGTCTTATATTAATAATCACTTAATGGATGGAAAGGGCTTGAAAGCCAATATATTTTTATGTATATATCATTTAAGTGGTGCCAATTCAACAAAACACACACATATACTATTAACATCAAATGGGATCAAATTCAGCGAAACTTTAATCAAATGGGACGAGACTTAATCAGATCTCCGGTATTAAGGCGACGTCGCGGTCGGTCACCAAATATGTCCGACTCGTTTCGGACACTTTTAGCCAATTTTTTAATGCTTTCGGCAATCGCTTCTCCGTCGGCATTCATTGGCACCTATATTGATGATGATGTGGCCATTCATTAATATAGTTTCATATATATTGTCATTTAGCATAATTTAGTTAAATAATAAATTTGTTATATTAAGAGAAATCTATAAGCAATGTATTAAGCAATTGAATTAAATATCATTAATGTATTTTCATTTTTAAAATGCAATACTCTTAATATTAATTATAAATAATATTAAAAATTTAATTAAACATAAAAATGTTATTTGATATTTAATTAAATGTTATTATTATTAATTAACAACTAATAAGCAATTATAAAGATACACAAGAAAAACAAAATAAAAACCAAAACCACAGCAATAGGATTCATATATATTATTAAAATGAAATATTTTATAACAATCTTAACCTAACTCTTAATAAATAAATAATAATAATTAAAATTATAGATTAAAAAAAAGTGCAAACATTTCATGTTTTAAAAGCAAAACAACACAACAAAAAGCAATGTTTAAAACAACAACAAAAAGAGTATAATTATGACAAAAATATCAGATAATAGTTATATTAATAATAATAATAATAACAAAAAAATGACACAAATGTCAGCTCTGAATGATTAGTCAAAACTCACTTCTTCTTCATCGATGTTTTGGTTGTTATAAAAGGTCCTCCACTTTGGCACCTGTATCTGAATGGGCAACGAGTAGGCCATATGATGGCCATTGTTTTTCTGTGCGTTTTTTATCTTTTGTGCGTTGGGTGCGGACACGGCTCTGCCGTTACCATAACTATGATAATCACTGTTTGTAGACCTAATGGCCAGCGATTCTTCCTCGTCATCATCGGAGTAGGAGATCGAGTCGAAAGCGTTTCCGTCATCGATGTCCATATCGATGTCAAAGACGCCGCCGTCGTATTCAACGGACTGAGATCTGTAGCGCACTGTTTGTGAAGACTTCTTGCGGTTGTTGTTATCCACCAGTGGCTGCTTTGCGCCGTTTTTGGCCATAGTTTGCACCGATTTGTTGTTGAGATACGAATTGAGACCCACTTCTGAATCTATTGCATACATTACACACTTTATTATCAATCAAATCGATTGATTACCAGAAAAAATCTTTTATTATTATTATTTAATATTATAACTGATATTATTATTAGTAAATTAATTCAATTATTATTATTATTATTATAAAAGAGTCGACACTTTATATCTGTTTTAACAAAAATAGTGTTGTATTACAAAAACCCGAGACTATGGGGTATATAACTAATGCATCACTTTATTAGTTGTCCTTCAAATGCAATTTACAATTACTTTTAACAAAAACTCTACACTTTATTATACAGTCTAACAGTCTATGGTGTGTTTCAGTACAGCCCAACATAACACAACTTTCCTATTGGAAGGCATACACTGTAGTGTCACACCATAAGCATCGATACAGTCATTGGTGGGGAGGGTGGGTATGTGTAGTATACCTGTACTACAGGGATGACTACATTAAATGAATCAACCATTGCATCAGCTGTTAACTCAGGGTTCTAGTCTAGTGTAGCACTGGTAGGCACGTAGTATATAGTCAACTACCATCGGGAACTGGTAGGTAACACGCATGCGCTTTACAGATAACACGCGACGCTTGTAAACACATATGAGATATTAAAGGGAAGGCAACGGCTCTCCAGCCAATGCACGCAACCATACAATACAATACACACATACAGTATAGACATTACATACCCTACTATTGATCTAAACCGACCTCACATTCACCAACAAAACAGCTGATATGAAACCAGGACTTGAAAATCCAAACAACGGGATCTATGCGCTAAACCCGATACACTTTCGGTACTCTATACGTCCCGTTTAAATCGGGTTTAAATTGATTTGTTTGGATAGGGTCTACACATTAACTAATCATTCAATCAATGAATCAAACAATTTGACACTTTCTACAGTAAATGACATTTATTTATACAATATATATAGTACTGTCAATACATACCGTATATAAAAGGATAGTCGGGTTTCTAGTAGTCCCGGCTTTTGTTTGACACAACTTTTTATTTATTATCAATGAATGTCTGTCTAAAAACACATACAAACACAACGATAATTATTTTTCAAATATACTTCAATAAAAATAGACTTTAATTTTAGAGAAAAAACTTCTAAACTAATAAATGAATAAAAATTATTGAAAAAATCAATTCATTGCTTACATTAGAGGTTTGACTCACGTATACACCGAATAACTCATACACTTCTATACTGTATTACTCATACACTATACGACTACTACTTGTCTAATATATATATAATATTTTTCTTTACCACTACTACTCGGTTCGTATAAATAACAATCAAATGGGAACTGGAGTTTGACAACAACTGGGAAACTGACTCTCCATACAAAACTCTACTAATACAACATCAACTGAAAGAAATATACAGTACTTCTGTGTATATCATAAGTATATACAGAGCACTGGTATTTGATATTACAGACAGCTCTTTGTTCAATAATAATACCCGAGCCTAACATGCAATGAGTAGACTCTATAAACTTTATTATTAAAATCCCGATATTAGGGTTGGTTTTGGTATTGAATTATTTTTTATAAAAAATAAATATGTATTTACATAGGGATTGGAAAAAATTTGTTATATATTTTTAGACATTGCATTACTTTCTGTGTTTATCTTTCAAAAAACTACAGTTTTCTCTCTCACTCAATGGTTAAAGACTTTGCAATCAATTTATTTATATAATAATTATTTTTATATACAATATATGTTTTTTCTTTCAAATAAAAAACACTAAAATAAACAAATAAAGTGTACATCACTGCCAATGATGCTCTCTCTCTCTCTCTCTCTCTCTCTCTCTCTCTCTCTCTCTCTCTCTCTCYCTAATAGCATAACATTACATATATTAGGAAAGAGAGAAGTGCTTCTCCAACATAAACCCAACAGAGATATGCTTTATGATGATGTTTATTGATTTACAGCCAACAAAAATTTTGAGGGATAGTCAGGGGACAGGAATAATGATGATGATAGTGGTGCTGATGGTGGCAGTGATGGTAGTGTAGAGATACTAAATGTTTACATAACTAGTAATAGCTAACGACAACAACAAAAAAATTATTAATTTTAATCAATTTTCATTAGTAAATATTTTGTGATGTTTTGTATGTCTCGACATGTCTTATCTATTTTAATCAATTTTTATTTTTATGAAAACTCATCAATTAATTTTTGAGAAAACTTTTATTTTATATATAATCATAAACTTTGCCTTTCCTCGTATCAAATTTTCCATACAAACATACAATACTAACACATACCTCCCTGTGCCACAATCATTACTATAATATAAAAAGAGTAATTTATTTTCTTATATAATTGCTTAAAGTTTAGTATTAGTTATTTTTTTGGATCTCAGTTTTTTTAAAAAGTAAATCTTTTTAATATAATAAGAATTGCACAGAAAAAATAAATATATTTACAGTATTATAGCTATAATGTGACTATTTTTGCAAAATTCCCGGACTCTAAAAATAACAAATCATCAATAATACTATAATAATAACAACAAACACTTTGAACTAATAATACAAACACACACACACACACACACACACACAGACACACACACACACACACACACACATATATATATATATATATATATATATATATATATATATATATATATATATATATATTATATACACTCTAAATTATGATATGGATATACATTACCCTTTTGGTTGGTGAACCAAATGTGTTATTTTATATTTTATTTTTTTAATTAAGCTTATTTTTGTTAAAACACTAATAAAACTGTAACACATTTAATACCCGGCCAATTAATATTGACTGGCATATCACGTTTCATCAGGAGATCAAATACTACTCGTTCAAAGTGGTTATACCTTTTTTGTATTTAAGTGCCCACTCATACAGTCTTATCATTTCAATTTGTTAATAGATTTTTCTTTCTCTATCTAATTAATGGCTATCAAAATAGCTATAAATATTGATATATATGGCCCTTCATAGACAAGTAGCGATTATATCATTTATGGGTTTAAAATCAATTCAATTTCGGAATAGCTATTGATTGTATGACTATTGGTTAAATTATATGTGTATACTATATATATACTCGGGTATGTGTGTCTGTTTGATGTGTGTGTGTGTGTGTGTGTGTGTGTGTGTGTGTGTGTGTGTGTGTGTGTGTGTGTGTGTGTGTGTGTGTTTGGTGTGTCAAAATAATTGACAAATATATTTGTATTGATTTATTTGTGGTTCACATATACAGTATAAATATACATAAATAAAATATGTTATTAAAAGAAAATACTATTTAATCAATATTATTAAATATAATTTTATTGATATCTTTCACATATCAAACTTGTACGACAATTTAATTTTTGTAGTGTATATATTGATTTATACTATAAATTTATTAATAAATTTATACATATATAGTATTATAAATGTATATACAGTACGAAACCAATATTTAAATGAGAGGCTAATGTCTTGGAATTTCCTTTAATTTGTTGTATTTCAGGAAAACAATGTTTGTGTTGTTATTATTTTCAATCAAGAATTTCCTATAAAAACCAGTGATTAATATGTGATACATATATATACTGATGAATTTATTATAATAATATATATAATATAAATATACAGTATATTGTACAGTATGATATAATCATATTAAAAAAGTATTTCAAACAATTTTTATTTTGTAAAACAAAATAATTTCCTGAAGAATTTATATGCATTTTTTTAAAAATAAAATGTTTTTTTGACAGAAAAATAGTGTTTTTTTAAATTTTCCTCAAAATATTTTTGTCTATTCAATTATATATATATATATATATATATTAATAGTATAATGTAGTTGTGTTGATGGGAAAAAAGAGAAGACAAAAATATAAATTACTATATTAGGAGAGTGCAAATTATTATATAATTTATTATTGATATTATATAATATTATATAATTTTTATCATAGACATAACATTAAACCTACACAATAATTATTTTGATGGTAATGATGTAATTTACATAAATATTAATAATTGTAGAGTTATAGTAATAAAAAAATTAATTTATATAATGAGTTATTATTACAAAAATAAGTTTGTTTTTATGCGTTTGATAGGATAATAATACAGTATATGATTTAAAATTTAAATTTAAATAATAAAATTTGTTATTTTGCTTTTAATTAGATCCTGATAAAAACGAAAATAATAAAATAAATAAATTGAATATAAAATTTTATGTAAACAAAATAATAAATTATAAAATAGTTTTTAAATAAATTAAAAATATTTTAATTGTATTTAAATGTGATGTGTAATAAACTATGATATATTGTAGAGTATGTATAGTGTTAGTGACAAATAACTTATATAATAAATAATTGTGATAATTAATGACATTTTAAAATATTTAACATTCAAAACAACTTGTTTTTATTAATTGGCATAAATTTTTACTTGTAAAAAAATATTTATCTATTTTTGTAATTAATAATATAATATATTTATTAGTTATTGACATATCAATTGTAATCCCATCAATGTAAAAAATACTCATAAAATTTTTTGCATATTTAAGTTATTAAGTGCCGATTCACTAAAGAAAAAACCATTAAATTATTACATAATAACTATGTTTTATTACAAAATAAAAAAAAACCTTTTTCTCAAAAATATCAAATTAAAGTCAACCCTTATTATTATCATATTGTATTGTAAAATGAAAAAAAAGTAATTTTATAATATAAATTTATTATTTAATATACTATATATATATATATAAGATTCAGTTTTTTTTTGAAAAACATAAAACCATAAAAGTGTTCAAATAATAAATTGATTATCATATTATATACTGGTTTATAGTAAATGTTATTATTATTGTTATGATTATAACCATAATATTCTTTTTGCACACAAAAATCATTAGAGAGAAAGCAAATGAACTCATGAAAGCCATATAATAATAGTTTTAGTAATGAATTTTTTTTATAATTTTTTTAAAACTAAGTTAAATATCATTATAATATAAAAATCTAAAAATAAGGTTTCAATACATTAAAACAGCATTCAAAGAGAAAGAGAGAAATATATTTATTAATGCTATGTTATACTGTATTAAGCAAACAGTCGATTGACAAAAAACTGCTACCAATATAACGAAAATTAATTTCCACTGTGTATTACAATCAGTAGTAATATAAAAATATAAGTTATATACAGTATATAAACACATAACTAAACAAACTTATGTGAACAACACTACTTACAGACAGACAATTGTAAATTATATTTATAGTTTGTTTGCTTTAGTTTCTCTGTATATTAGTGTATATAAATGTATGCGTTGTGTTGTGTTTTGTTTGTTTCATTTGATGCAAATTTAGATTAAAACTTATTTGCATTATTGATGAATGTTATTTTTTTTGCTATACTGTAGTTATGCTATTAAATGTGTTTTTAGTATTACTGTAGTAACAAAGTTTTTTTAAAAAAAAAAGTTTAACTTTTTTGCTGTTGTTTTTGTTGTTTCTATTTGTTGTATAAAACAAGTATAATATATTGGTATCTGTATTATTGCTATGAAATACTGTATGTATATATTATTGTCGAGTTAGTCTAAAGTTTAGTAATATTACAATAGTATATTAGCTTAACTTATGAATTGTATGCATGAATAATATAAATTTATATAACTAAGTATTAGCTGCACTTAATTAATATTAATAAATAAATAACAAACAAACAAAAAATCATTTATTTATTATGAATTGAACCAAAAGTTTTTACTGCAAATAACAACACAACTGTATTCACAAACACATACTGTTACAGACACAGCAAAAAAATAAATAATAATAAATTAATAACAAATTATTTATTATATGTTTGAATATATTCATAATAATAATAATAAATTAGTAAATATGGCATAAATGTATAATCTATTGATATGATTTGTATGTGTGTGTGTTTGTGTGTGTGTTTGTGTGTGTGTGTGTGTTGAATCAGTTATAGCTTAAGTATTGGTTTCAAATAATCATTGATCTAAAAACAAATATCACTATTAGCTAAACAAATAACCAAAATCAGTTTAGATAGGCTGCACCTACAGTAATATACCATAAGCAACAACTCAAACAATACATTTACTAAAATAAAAAATAACATAATTGTAGAAATTTCATAAAACATGATGTTATTAAAAATATATATAATTTATTACACCACTTGTTTTTATCATCATGTTGTCAATT